CTCGCTCTCGTGCATGTGCATCGACCTCGCGTCTTCCACCCGGCGGTCGCCTTCACGCAGAGCGAGGCCTTCATGCTCGTCTTGGAGCTCCACCCGACGTTGCCCACGAGCATCGACTGGCCCCTCGTCTCGAGCATCAAAGAAGAGGTGTATAGAGGAAGCACTCAGCTGCCCAAGGCGCTCGGCGACGTCCTTCCTTGCGACTTGGTCGTGAACAACGATCTCGTCGTCGTCCTCCCAGAGGCCAAAGCCCGCGATGTCTTGGCGGCGTTCGTACGAGCCATCACGAAGGACGAAGCCATGAACATGGAGATTCTGGTCGCCCATCAAGGCGGATACCTCGGACAGAAATTTGACGAGCGCTCGTACTGCGTGACCAACGTCGTGCAGTCGCCCATGCAGCCCGACGCCCTTCGGTCGCTTGATGCGGCCTTGGAGTCGACGATGGCCTGCGTTGCGACTGAAGACCCAAGCAGCAGGAAAGTCACGCGCGTCCAGGTGATGGCCGGGTACACGCTCTTCAACATTCCGTGGACGTTGCAGCCGACGGTCAAGGTTCCTTCCCTGTCCGAGGACTTGCATTCGACGAGGAATGGGCTAGGTGTACTCGACGTGGGAAGGCATTGAGAACGTCTCGGCGCTTGGCTGCAAGCCGCCTCCGCTCAGCGCGTCCGTCATTTGCATTGGCAACTTGGAGACGCTCACCGATGCGTCGCTCAAAGACTGCTTCACGGACCCGTTCCCAGTGCACTACAAGCGCCATCTCTTGTTCCTTGAATGGATCGAGCGGGTAGGTTTTCTGCAGTGAGAGTAGCATGCGACCGTGCTATTATAGAGCATTGAAGCGAACGGTGCGGCCTTGACGTTGCCTTGGCCGTCGACCGGGGCCGCCATGGACGTGAAACAGCTCATCTTGGAGCCCGACAGCATTTTGCTCACAACGCTCGGTATGTTGTTATGGTTAAGTGGCACGTACTGCTCGCTCACGCGAGTTTTAGATGCGGTCGATGATCCGTCCCACGCATCGACGCTGCTGCGCCCCGACATGGATCTTCTCGAGAAAGCGTGGCACGGCCTTGCGTACACTGCGGCTTCGACAGCATCGGTCGTCGACGTTGTCCGCGAACTGCAGTCGTGCTTCGAGCAAGGCTCGGTGTTGCCACTGATCCACAGCCACAATCCAAGCGAGCTCGCCGTGTATTTGCGGCAGCTCGTGCAGCAGGCACAACAGCAACGCTATGTTCAAGACGCGTCCGAGAGTCCGCCCGTTGCGCCACTGACGCTCGACCAGGACGATGCATCCTCCTTGCGGTACATGCTCCAGGTTGGGATCTATAAGCTGCAGCGCGATCTCGCACTCTGGCTGAGCCTCGTACGCTCCTCGACGTGTTTACCTGAATGGATGCAACAACCTGGATTCGTTGTAGCAAGGCATCGTTCTCGCCGACCTCGCAGCCTTCGTTACGTCGAGTGCACACTTCAAGATGGCTCAATGGCTCGTCGACGTCTGCGCGATCGGCAAGCTCTTGGGCTTGAACGTTGCGATGATCCGGCAGCTGGCACAAGAGGCGCTGGCCCACGCCCACGCCGGAACGGATCGGGCTCCGACGTTCTACGTGGTCTACGACGCATTTCTGCCCGACCGTTTGCGCTCGCTGCTCTCGGGTACATACCCTACTGTGGCAACTAGTGCACCGTTCTATGTGTTGTGCATAGAGCCCTTTCTTTGGAGCCTCGAGATGCAACTCGAAGATGGGTTCTCGCGGACTCTGCGCATGGACGACTTGCCGGGCCACAGTGCCAACGAAGACGATGCGCCGTTCCGCATCTCCGCCGCGGCCGCGACCCGTCTCGCAGATGCCATGAACGCTCAGAGCGCCGAGGCCAAAGACATTCTCGCACGCGGCATCCTGTGCTTCGAGTCGACGTTGGCGCCCACCGTTCGGTTCTACGACAGTCGGCGCCGCACCGTGCGCTACCCTTTTGTTTGAAGCGGGAAAGTTCCCTTGACCTCGGACGAAAACAGTATAGCTATTTGGATCCACTTTTCTACTACTAGTACAATTGCAGTACATTTCTCAGTGCATAGCACGACGCCATCGGTCGCAATCTTGTTCTGGCCGGTCGTTGGCATTTGCGCGGGAACTTGAGGCCAACTTCAATATCGATTGCTAGAGGTTTTACCTCTCGAATCCAATATCCGATCCACCACCAATCGAAAACCGTTTGCGATTCCTGCGGACGCGATGGCCGACAGCATGGACATGGACGCGGAAGCGCTGGCGCGCGATGCGAAGAAGCGCGAGAACGACCCGAACACATACAAGCGCAGTGGCGGCCGCGACGACCCGATCAACAGCCTCGAAGACATCTACCGCCAGTACGACGAGCTCATTCCGGCGGACGAGTGGCCCAAGTTTGAGGCCATGACCAAGTTTGTCGTCGAGGCCAACCCGCAGACGCCCCGCGCCCTCGAGAAGACGTTCATCTTGCTGCGCCGGCAGTACAAGACGCTTCCGAAGAAGTCGCAGATCAAGTTTGTCTACAACGCACTCGTCAAGCGCGGCGAGGCGCCGCCGCACCTCGAGATCGACAACCTTCTCGTCAAGAAGGCCGGGAAGAGCCAGAGCGGCGTTCTTGTCGTGACCGTGCTCACGAGCCCGTACCCGCACGGCCAAAAGTTTAGCTGCCAATGGAACTGCTACTACTGCCCGAACGAGCCGGACCAGCCGCGGTCGTATCTCCACGACGAGCCGAGCGTGCTGCGCGCGAACCGCAACTCGTTCGACCCAGTGCTGCAGTTTTGCGACCGCTGCGTGACGCTGGCGCTGAACGGCCACCCGGTCGACAAGATTGAGCTGCTCGTGCTCGGCGGTACATGGGCGTCGTACCCGGTCTCGTACCAGGAAGAGTACGTCTCCGCTGTGTAATACGGGTTGCTCATGTACGACGCAGGTTCATCCGCGATCTCTTCTACGCGGCCAACACGTTCCACGACCGCGTCAAGCGCGAGAAAAAGTCGCTCGACGAAGAAAAGAAGGAGAACGAGACGACCGCGGTCAAGATCATTGGCATCACGCTCGAGACGCGACCGGACTGCATCACGCCGGACGAGCTCCGGCGCTTCCGGCGCTTTGGTTGCACGCGCGTCCAGCTCGGCATCCAGCACACGGACGAGGGAATTTTGAAGAAGATCAACCGCGGCTGCACGACGACAGACGCAAAGCGCGCGATGAAGCTCCTGCGCGACTGCGGCTACAAGACCGACATCCACCTCATGCCCAACCTCCCGGGCAGCTCGGTCGAATTGGACCGCGCGATGTTCGAGTACGTCTTGCACTCGCCCGACTTGCAGGCCGACCAGTGGAAGATTTACCCGTGCGAAGTGACGCCGTGGACCGTCATCAAGCGCTGGTACGACGCGGGCGAGTACGTGCCGTACTCGGGCCACGAGCTCATGGCGCTCCTCATGGACATCAAGGCGCAGGTTCACCCGTGGATCCGGCTCAACCGCGTCATCCGCGACATTCCGTCGCAGTACATTCTCGGTGGCGTCGACGAGCCCAACTTGCGCCAAGTGATTCTGAAGCGCATGGAGCAGGCCGGGCGCACGTGCCGCTGCATCCGGTGCCGCGAGATCAAGAGCGACGCGCGCGCGGCCGCCAAGGCGGTCCTCATCACGCGCAAGTACGAAGCCAACGACGGCACCGAGTACTTTTTCAGCTTTGAGACGCCGGACGAGTCAACCATCTGCGGCTTTTGCCGTCTCCGCCTCTCGCCGACAGCCGGCGCCGGCGTCTTCCCCGAGCTGCAAGGCTGCGCGCTCGTGCGCGAGCTCCATGTTTACGGGCAGCTCGTGGCCGTCAACAGCGGCGACAAGTCCAAGCCGCAGCACATTGGCTTTGGCACGCAGCTCATGCTCAAGGCTGAGGAGGTTGCGCGCGCCCACGGCTACACCAAGATGGCGGTCATTGCCGGTGTCGGCGTGCGCAACTTTTACCGCAAGCTCGGGTTTGAAGTCGAGGGCGAGGGCGAGCTCATGACCAAGCTGCTTCCGCCGGCGCCCGGCCTCCGCCTCTTTGGAAAGACGCTCGACACGCGCGCGGTGCTGGCGGCGGCGACGGTCGCACTGGCCGTCGGGGCCGCCTTCCTGCTCAAGAAGCGCTCGTAACCTATTAGATCGACCCTCTGTTTAACGCAACAAATATTACTCGCGTTTTTCTAGCGTCCCCGCAGGTAAATCACGTTAAAGTTTAAACCTGCAAGGTAAAACGTGACGGAATCGCTCAAAACGTGTTTGGCATGATCGGGTTCAAGGGCTGGCGCGCGGTGCGCCTTCCGCGTACGGCGGGCTTGACGACGCTGTCGCCGCGGAAGCTCGCGGCCATGGAGGCCGAGGTCATGGAGCGCCTCCGCAGTGTCAAGGACGACCTGCTCAACGCAGACCTGCCGACGCTCGGCCGCATCAAGGTAGTACGCAAGGTTGATCGGGAAGGCTCATGCATTCCTGGGTTAGAACTTGGTCATCCAGCCCGACCACTGCGTCACGTTGGACATCGAGACGCCGTCGCGCGTGCTGCGACAGAACGACCAGTGGATTGCCGCGGCGACGGAGGCGATCCAGAGCCTTCCGTGGGTCTCGCGCGCCAACGTGTCGCTGGCTTCGGCGTCGACGCGCAACGCGCAAGCGCCGCGTCACTCTGCACTGGCGAACGTCAGCAATATCGTCGCTGTCTCGAGCTGCAAGGGCGGCGTCGGCAAATCGACGGTGGCCGTCAACCTCGCCTTTGCGTACGCAACATTCATTACACGTGTTGGTCGCTAAGGTGGTGTAGGCTTCAGAAGCGCGGGGCGCGTGTGGGCCTCCTGGACGCTGACGTGTACGGCCCGAGCTTGCCGACCATGATCTCACCGGACGACCGGGCGATTCGCAAGTCCAAGACCAACCCATCCTTCGTCGAGCCTGTGCGATACCATGGCGTCGAGTGCATGTCGTTTGGGTTTGTCAATAGCAAGGCCGCGCCGGGCGCTGGCGGTACTCCTCCTCTTTAACATCTAGGTGATCCAGCCGAGATCATTAGGCAAAGGTGCAGCCGTCATGCGCGGTGCGATGGTGTCCAAGGTCATTGACCAGCTCGTCCTTGGCACCGAGTGGGGCGCACTCGACTACTTGGTCATCGACATGCCGCCGGGCACGGGCGACATCCACATGTCCCTCGCGCAGCAAACCGCCATCACGACGGCCGTCATTGTCACGACGCCGCAAAAGCTCAGGTACCATTCTCGGCCGACTCGACCATCGCTCGATGATAATCTTTAGCTTTGTCGATGTGGAGAAGGGCATTTCGATGTTCGAGGACCTCAAGGTGCGACGCCAGCGCTCCATAGCCCGCGTCTTATGCAGCACTTAGATCCCGACGAGCGCGGTGGTCGAGAACATGTCGTACTTTGACTGCGCCCACGGCCACCGCCACTACCCGTTCGGTAGATCCACCTTGATGGCGATCCTGTCCTCAGCGGCGCGTAGGGCACGGGCACCTCAAGCAGCTGCAGCAGTCGTTTGACATTCAGCACACGTTTCAGTTCCCGATGGCCGAGTCCACGAGCGACAGTGCTGACGCTGGACGGTCCTCCTCATGTCGACAAAGCCGAGTGTTCTCACTCTCTACTAGGCCGCTCGTGCTCACCGACGCGTTGCCCGAGGTCTCGGCAACGTTCGAGTCGCTCGCGATCACGGTAGAGCTTTACGAAGGTTGACAGGAGAACTCAATCGTGACGCTAGGTCGCGGAGGAGTGCGTGAAGCTCAAGCACCTCGCCAAGCTCGCACCCGAACTCTTGTACGACGCCAAGCGCGGTATTGTGCTCCGCTTCTACACGAGCGAGAGTGCCCACGAGGTCGTCTTGCCGCCCGTCGAGCTGCGTGCGCAGTACGTTGTATTTTCAGGAACGCGCAGGCTACATCTCGCTGTAGGTGTCGGTGCGCAGCGTGCATTGAAGAGTTCACTGGCAAGCCCGTACGTCCCACCGCATGCAACGCCTTGTCTGATGGTCGCTTTAGCTCCTCGACCCGGAAGCGATCCCGGACGACATTCGACCCACCGCCGTCCAGCGCAAGGGCAACTACGCGTTCGCTGTTGTGTGGAGCGATGGCCACTCGTCGTCGCTGTACACGTTCGAGCACCTGCGTACGCTTGCGCAAGTCTAGTACAGATACTAATCATCCTCGATGGACCCTTTCTCCGCCGTGTATGTGGCGCTGGATACTGTATGATGACGTCCCACGCTCAGTGTCTTTTCGACCGTCGCTTCTGCGCTGCCCACCACTACTGTAGCGCGCCTTGGCATCCGCCGAGTAGCCGCATCGATGCACTGTACCGTTGGCGCCAGCCAAATACCTACGGTCTCGGGTACACGGGCAAGCGTCCTCCTTGGCCGGCGCTCGTCGCTGGGCCTGTCCTGGGGTCTTGAGCTGTGCCATGCGCTGGCAGCCCCACGGATGGTCTTCAGTGAATGCCACCAATCACAGGCAGCAGGCTGATTAGCGGTCTATTTTAATTCATATTTTATTTCCACGCCTGTCGTGAATACAATAACAGAGTGTACTAATGGGGAATTTAATATATACAATAAAATAATGAGCATCCTCGACTAAAATAATACTCGACGAACGTTCCAGCACGCAGCCACGTTCGGGGGGTCATTCTATTATATTTAAATACAAAAGAATAATGCAGGCTTTGTATATGTATGGGATACGACGATATGTAAAATAATATGTGGGTTGGCGGATTAAAAATGCGCGCTCGAGTTGGAAGCGCTCATCTTGGGCAGCGGCGCGAGGAAGAGGAAGGAGGAAGCGCAAGGAAGACGAAGGAAGAGGACGAAGATGCTACGGCGACGCTCCATCACGACCTGCCCGGGGAAGCGCGCCCTCGACGCGGCCATGCCCCCGAGGAAGCGCAAGCGATCCATCGAGACCCGCGACGACGACGACTGCTTGCGGCGCATGGACCTCGAGAGCGCAGCGCTCATGCGCCGAGTCCCTCGCATCGAGCTCGGGCGCTTCGTCATCGACACGTGGTATCCGAGTCCATACCCCGCGAGCGCGTACCCGGATGGGACGCTCTACCTATGCGAACGCTGCCTCGGGTACACGAGCTCCAAGCGGTTTTTGCAGCACCACAAGCGGACCGAGTGCGCGCTCAGGAAGCCACCCGGGCCCCGCGTCTACTACGAGAAGGTCGACCGTCTTGCTCTCTACGACGTGGACGGGAAGCTCGAGACGACGTACGCGCAGAACCTCTGCCTCCTCGCCAAGCTCTTCATGGACCAAAAGACGCTCTACTACGACGTCACGCGCTTCCGCTTCTACGTGCTCTGCCGCGTCGACGACGATGGAAGTCACATCGTCGGGTACTTTTCCAAGGAGAAGATGTCACCCGAGGGCTACAACCTCTCGTGCATCGTCGTGCTCCCGCCATACCAGCGGCACGGGTACGGCTCGCTCCTAATCTCCATCTCGTACGCCATCTCGGCGCATGATGGCCAACTTGGGACGCCCGAGCGACCCCTCTCAGCCCTTGGCCAGGCCGCGTATGTGGAATACTGGAAGCATTGCGTCCTGCGAGAACTCGCGGCGACGTCGGGGGTGGTATCCATTGCATACCTTACCGACCGGACGTCCATACTCCCGCAAGACATTGCGGTGGCGTTGCTAGCGTGCGGGCTACTCAAAACAGCGTCGCCCGAGGTATGTAGCGCGCGGATCAGCACCCACGACGGGCGTTTGGCTGACGTTGCGATAGATCCCAGCGACGCAAACCATCCGAGCCTCCAAAGCCCGCGTGCGCGCTGCGCTCGAGAGCGTCCGCCCGCTCCGGCTGTGCCAACCGCGCGCGTTTGCATGGCGAGCGCTGCGACCGTCGACGACGCCTTGAGCGTATATGCTAGCAAGCACTGCCTCAAAGCATCGTGCTTGAATTTGAGTTATCGGTGCAGTGGAAACGACGACGATCAGCTGCCGTCGTAGTACCCGCCGCCTGTATGTGGTGGATCTTTGGCGTGGCCTTGGCGCGCAATCTCCAAATTTTCATATGGGTCAGGACCAGACGCCGCCTGTCCCGTTGCCGTCTCGTTGAAGCGCGCGATCTTCTCCGTCGACTTCTCCTTCGCTCGTTGTGCTTCCATGGTTCGTCGCCTGTCGGCACGACCCGCACCGTCTTCAATACAAGAGGCGTACCGTACTAGGCGACGGAGGGAAAGGCCTCCGTGGTTGATCATCATGCTGGTACTCGTGAGCAAGAGACAACCGAGTCATGCAAAGGAGGATTAAATTAAACAAGTCCGGGGCTAGTACGCATCGTCGTCGTCGTCGCCGAGGAGCGTCGGGGCCATGTCGTCGAGGAAGAAGTCGAGACACTCGTCGAAGTTCATCATGCTCGCGATCGACGCAAAGACGTGCAGCTCCATGGCGTCGTCGGTCGTCGGCGTCTTTGTCGGGTCGAACGGAATTGGGTGCACGTCCGGCAGCTTGGCGTCCTCGCACTGCTTGTAGTGCAGCTGCTTGAACGTCTTGATGGTGCCCATGGCCTTGGACGCGTCGTACTCGGCCGAGACGTCGTCGACGTTGATGTCCATCGTCCGCAGCTTTCGCAGCATCTTCTCCTTGCACTTTTGCATGTGCGTCTGCGTCTGCTTGGCGTTGCGCGTCTGCACAAACTCGGCCACCGCCTTCCAAGGTCCTTCGGAAAACAGGCGAATGCCGAGGAGGAAGCGCTCGTGCTCGTCGTTGGTCCACGGGCCCTGGCCTGGCACGGCGTTGGTCGTCGTCGATGTCGTCTCGGGCCGCCGCCGCTTCTTGGACGGGTCGTCGCGCGGTGTCGTTGCCGGTGTGAGCATTCGAAGGGCAATTGCAATATGGTCGTCGTCCGCGCCCCCAAATTGGCGACCATACGATTTGAGAGCGTCCGCGAACCAGCTCGGCGCTGTCGTAATCACCGCCTCGGAGCGTCTAATGTGATCGACATCCAGCGCCGAGCACCGTGCGACTCGAGCTAAAGAGGTGGACGGTGCGCGTATTACCAAACGAAAGAAAGCTTCAACCCTCGCCACGTCACACAAGGTGTTTCTACGGCCGCCGATTGTAACTCCGCGCAGCTGCTGCAATTTGGCGCTCGTCGTGCACTGTGAAGAACACTAAACTAAACGTTTGTCGTCTTGACCAGGCATATATCAGGCGAGGTAGACCACGAGAATACTCGCCCACATGGCTGCATGTGGCTCCAGATGTTGCCGACCCCTGGGCCAAAGGTGCGGTCGAGAACCAGGCTTCAACGAGTAGCAAACCCAGATTGCCTGCGACAGCGCGCGCGGGGCAGAAACAACGTGGGCGCAGCCGGCGTCCACAAAGAGTTGGTGTCTCTCGCAAAATCGCCCTACTCTCACCGGCCCAGATCGCGTCTCTTCCACTCTATCGAGCCAGTCCTGCATGATCGTCGTCCTTATCTGGTGTGCGTCATCATTCAGATCCAGATCCCGACCCACATATTATTCACACTCGTGGCATCGTACTAGCTCATACAGGCTGTACGTGGTGCTCGAGCCAGACGTGGTCGGCGACACCATCGCCGACATGCCACGTAAACCGCGCGTGGGAAGCGTTGGCGATGTCGAGGTGCCCGTACCCATATCTAATCGTAAGATATGGTCGGCCTCGTCAGATAAATATGGACGCGTACTTGGCCGCACGGTACGCGGACCACACTGGCGCGGGCTCGATGAACGTCTCGGCGAGGCCTTCGCGGTTGCCTCCATCCCCAATGGTAATGTAAACGGGCCCGCTCTGGTGCGGAGTGTCCTTGTACACGGGGCGCGACCGCTCGTACGCGTGGACGTGGCCCGCAAAGACGGCGTTGACGCGGGCCTCGTAAAGCAGCGTCTCCATGTCCTTCTTCATGACGTGCTGCGGCTCGTGGTGGTTCTGGTGCGCCGTGTTGCTGTTGTACCACGGCGCGTGCATAAGCACGAGAACCCACGGCGTGCGCGACCGATCGACGCGCCCCAAGTCGCGCTGCAGCCACGCGTACTGCGAAGAGCCGCGAAACGTCGGGACGTACGGCGTCAGCACAATCACGTGCAGCATCCCGAGGTCAAACGCGTAGAACAGGTTGCCGCGTGGCGCGCCGCTCTCGGCGGCCGGCATGCGGAAGCGCGCTTGGTACGCGACGAACGGCTGCAGCGAGCATGAGAGCTCAATTTCGTGGTTGCCAGGTCCCACCATCCTAGTACGTTGTCGCATCAGATAGGCCTCATCTGTTAGCCGCAGAATCCTACCATGGCGTCGTGGCTGTCGACGGTGCAACCAGCTGCCCCCAAGAATCCCATCGCTCCTGGACCGTGTCTGCGTACGAGAGGTCACCTAGATTTCAAGTAGATGAGAACGTAGCGACAAGGGCAAACGACGCCGCAGCGCAACGTGGCATGTGGTAGCAGTGTACCTGCCACGAAGATCGCGTCGAGGTCGGGCTGCGCCTGCACGTGCGCGAGCGTGCGCCGCGAGTCCTCGGTTTGCCCGAGGTCGCCGAGGATCGCGATCGATAGCGGCGCCGCGAGGTCGCCACGCCGCGGCGGCGTCTTGAAGGCCGTCGGCACCGACCAGCCCGACTCGTCACTGCCGACGACATCTATGGCGACATTGGTGAGATTGTGCTCCGCCCATGGTCCGTGGCGCGCGTACAGAAATAGGTCGATCGCGGCGACAGCGTCGGCACGACCACATGGTGGAGGTAGCCGGACGTGTAGTTGCAAAACGTGTATTGTGCGCTGGGCGTCGTCGCCGTGGCGCGGCCGTCGAGCGCGGCTGCGTCGCGCCCATACTTGACACTCGAGGCGCTGGCCGTTGGCGTGACCCACGAAAAAGCCATGCCGCTAAAGTCGTCGCCGGCGATCGCCAAGTGCACTTGCGACGGCGTCTCGACGCTCGCCACGCGCACCGCCCACCCGACCAGCAGCAGTCGCACCGCTCGCCAAGTCTTGCCCATCTTCCTTCGTCGTTCTTGCTCAAAGATCGTTGAGTTGGGATCCAGCTTTTTCCGGAGAAATCCCGGAGTCTACGCGCACGCAACTGCTCGGTGGTTGCGTGTCTTCTCCGCCAACGTCTGCACCACCCACTTGGCGCCGCATCGTCGTCTCTCCCGTCACACGATTAACTGTACTAAAACAGCGTCGCCGCCTCCGTGTCCTTGAGCCATTCTGAAGGTCACCTGCGCTTCCTCCAGCGTTCACGAGCGTCGGTCGCGAGGCCGGTCCTGTCGGCCGAGAAGAAATCAGCATAATATCCGCCAATGAAAACGTGTATTCGGCTTCTCTGCATTTGGGATTGGCTATAATGCAAACACAGCCAATATCCGACCCATTTCAATCTCTTCGGGCGAATATTAATATGAATATGAATATATAAATAGGCGCGAAACGACCTCGATGCGAAGGTCCTTTTTCATTGGCGCAGGCAGCAAGGGAAGGCGGACCATTGCGATTGGACCTCGGGGTAACCCTACCGCCACTCAGTCGGAGGCTTTTTTCCGCGGCCAAAAAAACACTACTATTTCCACCTCGGCAGCCGCAGCATGAAGACCAAGACGACGGACCTGGCCAAGGCGATCCGCAAGATCCTCGCGTCCTCGGACCTCGAGACGCTCTCGCGCAAGATGGTGCGCAAGCAGCTCGAGACGCAGTTCGGCGAGTCCATGGAAGAGCAAAAGACGTTCATCAACGCGCAGATCACCAAGATTATTGAGGAGCAAAATGACGACGACGACGATGACGACGAGAACGACTCGGAGGACGATGCGCCGCCGGCCAAGCGCGCCAAGGTCACCAAGGCCAAGGCTGCGCCCAAGAAGCGTGCGCCCAAGAAGGAAGGCGGTGGCGGCGGTGGCGGCTTTGCGTCCGAGATGGTTTTGAGCCCCGAGCTCGCGCAGGTGCTTGGCGTGGAAAAGTCGTCGCGCCCGCAGCTCGTCAAGAAGATGTGGGACTACATTCGCGACCACGGCCTCCAGGACCCGTCGGACAAGCGCACGATCTTGCTCGACGACACGCTGAAGGGCGTCTTCAAGCGCGACTCGTTCACGATGTTCTCCATGAACAAGTTCCTCAAGCGCCACGTCAAGAAGGAATCGGAAGTCGTCAACGGCTGGGACGACATCATCCGCGACGGCGAGTCGAGCGAGGAGGACGAGGCCAAGACGGCCGAGAAGGAACGCAAGAAAGCGGTCAAGGCCGCGCGCAAGGTGGCCGCCGCTGGCAAGGAAAAGGGCGAGAAGCCCAAGCGTGCGGCGCCGGCGCCCAACACGGGCATCAACGCGCCGCTCGAGCTCTCGAAGGAACTCGGCGCGATCCTCGGCGAGTCGGTGCTGAGCCGCCCGCAGGTCGTCAAGCGTCTCTGGGCGTACATCAAGGAGAACGAGCTCCAGAACCCCGAAAACAAGCAGGAAATCGTTTGCAACGAGCTGCTCACGTCGCTCTTTGGCGAGCCCTCGGTCACCATGTTCTCGATGAACAAGCTCTTGAAGCCGCACTTCCTCGGCAAGGCCAAGGTCGTGCCCGAAGCCGCCAAGCCCGAGCCGGTCGCCGCGGCTGCCAGCGACGACGACGCCGGTAGCGACGACGCCAGCGACGATGCCAGCGACGACGAGTAAAAGCCCATGTCTCTCGCACCGTCGACGGCTGCATAGATTTGTATATTTGTAAGTTAGGTTTTCAACCCTCTTCTCCTCGTCTTATCGTTCTTATATGTCGAGGAGCCGGCGCGCCTCGTCTTCTTTCGCAATCTTCTCTTCCTCGAGCGTCTGCGTCATGAGCTGGTAGCGCGCGTCGAGCTTGTCCTGCGGCTGCGAGTCGGCGTACGCCGAGCCAAGGAACGTCGGGTTCTCGGCCGCCGCCTTGGCATACTTGAGGATCGCTTCGCGCGGGTCTTCGCTGCGAATGGACGCCGACTTGACGTGGTCGCGCATGAAGAACTGCGTGAATGTGTTGCCGCCCGTCCGCCCGGCGACGCCAACGCCCGTGAGCGGCCGCTCGGGAATCTGCGACGCGATCGGGTCCATGCGCACCTTGGCGTACTTGCGCTTCGTGACCGTCGTCGACGTCTCGCGGTACATGGGCAGCGCGTGCGGGTTGACGACGCGGCCTTCACTGAGCGAGTCGAGACGCACAAAGCCCGCAGTGACGACCGGCAGCTTCTTGGTCGCGCTCAAGAGGACGCCCTTGGCGCTCAACGCCGGGTCGTACAGCACACGCACGTTGCTCGAGGTGCCGCCCACAAACACCTACGTTGCGACTTGAGTTTGAGAGGGCGACATTGAGAGTGTACTTGGTTGATGCCGGCATGCCACGCGACGCTGACCGCGCTCTCGTCCTCGGCCATCGGAACCGACCGCAAGGGCGTCGTGGTCGCCGTGTAGACGTCGAGGAAGTGCACTTGGCCGCGGTCGCCCGACCCGGCACGGACGCCGGAGCCGACGACGAGCGCCGACCCAACGCCGTTGAAGGCGAGGTTCGCCATTGAGAACACAGTCTCAATCCCTTGGTACTACAAGAGCAATGTAGAGTCGAGCGCCAACGAACATGGACGTACCGTCTTGACCGGTGTCGACGGCTTGCGCATGTCCCAGAGCTTGACGCAGTCGTCGCTTGCGGACCGCGTCGCGAGCATCTTGCCATCCGGCGAGAAACGGATGCTCGAAATCCCAAGGTCGGGGCTGCCCGGCTTGTGCGCGTCGAGCTTCCACGCCGCGCCGGCGTGCGACCGGCGCAAGTCGTAGGCGTACACCAGCGCGTCGGTCGTCGCACCCGCAATCAAGCCGCCGTCGATGCTGTAGGCGCAGGCAGTGACTTCGGTGCGCTTGCCTTGGCGCGACTTGAGTTTAAGCACCGCGTCGTTGAGGAGCTTGTCGAACGACGTTTTGCCGTTGAGCTTCCAGACGCGCACGGCGCCGTCGAGACCGGACGTGATCATCGTGTCCTTGAGCAGCGGGTGCCAGCTGCCGCCCGAGCACGACGCCGTGTGGCCCTTCGTGTGCACCATGTCCAACAGGTACGGGTCGCCTTTTGTAAACTGAAGCTCAAAGACGCCTTCGCGCGAAAACACCTTGGGCTGCGCCGAGCCCGTGACCGCGAGGACCTACGTAGGAAGGAGTCGTTGAGGACGACAGGAAGAGGTAGAACGTCGTACGCGATCGCCGGTCGGGCTGTAACTCAGCGCCATGAGCGGGTGGCCATCTTCGACCTCCGAGTCGCGGAAGGGCCGGACGTGGCGCGCCATGCCGGCAAAGTCCCAGAGCTTCATGTGGTAGTCCATCGAGCCTGTCGCGACGCGGCCACCGGAGGCGTCGACAGCGATGCACGAGACGGTCTTGGCGTGCGCCGAGAGCACGACCTCATTGGTGATTGGGATGTTGTAGCGCTGCGCGACGTCGTCCTGGCCCTCGTTGTCGTCGTCGTCCGAGTCGGACTCGGGGCCCGAGTCGTAGAGCGACGACGATGCCGGCTTCTTCTTGTCGCTATGCTCGCCCTCGTTGTCGTCGGCGTGATCGTCCTCGTCATCGCTGTTGGTTTCGTCCACCTCCTCGGTTGGTGCGGGCTCGTCGACGGCGACGCTCGTGAATTGCGGCGCCGACGCCATCATATCCATCGTCATCTTGAGGATCTCTTCCTCGCGCTGCTTGCGCTCGAGCTCCTTCTGGCTGAGCTGCTTTGTCGTCCCTTGCTTGGCAAATCCTGTCGGCAGCGACGCGATCTCGTCGGCCACCACCGGCAACGGCACCGGGGCTTCGTCCTTGGCGTGCAGACCGCGTACAATGTACACGCGCGAGCTTTTACCAAAGCGGACTTCGCTGCCGTTGGTCAAGACCCGCCGCTCGTCCCCATGGAGAGGCTCGCCGTCCACGGTCGTGCCTTGGGCAGAGCCGAGGTCCATGATCTCGATCGAGCCCGTCTTTGTGTGCACGATAGCAGCATGCTGCCGCGAGATCGTCTCGTGCGCGAGCTCAACATCGCAGACGTCGCTATTGCGGCCAAAGACGGTGCAGGCTTGCTGGCCGATGGCGACCTTGTCCAGCACGGCGCCATCCTTGACGACCTCAATGTGGCCCTTGACGTTGGCATGTGTCGGGGCGCCAGCCCTACATGCAGCTTAAGCTCCGTCCATGGCGCGTCTCGGTCGTACCACCGGGGCATCGGGAATCGCTGGCTCATGCGCTCGACCTGCTCAACCTGCTGCAATGCTGGTTCTACCACTCGAGCCTACGAGACTTAATATCATGTTTCACAGGTCCTTCGAACAAAATTCAAAACATCGCAATTCTCAAAACGAAGTCGCGGAACTCAAAAACAAGTTCACGTTGAGTTAGAGACGCTTGCGCCACTCGGGCGTGGCCCGGGGCTGGCTGGGTACGTGGCCGAAGCTCCGGCCTTTGACGTGCGCAGCGCCATCTGCCCCGGGTATGTAGCCGCGATGGGCGACCCGCGCCGTCCGCGCTGCGCTCTGCTGCTCGACCTCGTCCGGCGTCATTGCCCGCGCCGCCGACGCGGCGGTCGGTTTGAGCACGTCCGAGCTCGCGCTGGCGACCAACTGCCGAGACGATTTTGGTCGCACTGGTAGCTCTGCTGCCTGGCGCGTTGCAGCAGCGTTGGCGAGCACCTTCTCCAGGCGGACTTTGGCGGCGTGGACAGCCCGCTCGGCCGACGTCATGAGTTGCTCCTAGGAGATCTTTAGCGAGTTGCATTGTCGGCGCATGGACCTTGGAAGGAGCGCGGGCCAGGGGCTTCATGAGCTCCGAGAGGCTCGCTTGCCGCATCTGCTCCTCCTCCTTCTCGAGCTTGTAGAGCGCGACCTTTTGCTTGATCTCGATGCGTTTCTAATTCGTGTTGCATTAGCTTGCATGCTACATGTCCATGAAAGTACGAGCGTCGCCACGGACGCCTGTGCAGTGAGCGTCTCTGGCTCGAGGCGCTGCGACTGCCGCGCTTTCGCCGCCTTCCACTCGAGGATGAGCGTCTTCTTCCGCTGACGCGCCGCAAGCTCGGTCACAGTGCGCGACGACCGCGCCACGGGGCGCTCGTTGTTGTGGCTCGAAGCGGTCGCTTGGCGTCGCTCGAGACTCTTCTTGCGCTCTCGCCACGTCGCAATCGTCTTCTTCTTGGCCTGCAGCAGCGAGAGGTGCTGCGCGTACCACTCGAGGTGCGTCTGCACTGCGCTCGTGGACTTGAACGGCAGCTTGGCGTGGCACTTGGTCTTGAAGAGACCCAATTTGCCAGCAATCGCCGCGCGTTGGTCGAGGTGCGCAATCTCGTCGGCCACCGAGTCGTCGTCGTCGCCGGTTGGCTCGTCGATGCTTGTGGTGGTTGCAAAGTACGCGACGAGGTCGTCTGCGTCTGTGAGCCCCGACGCGTGCAGCAGCGCGACAAAGTGCGCGTGGTCGTCGTACGCCCAGCCGCCGCACGCATCGCCCGTCTCGTGCAAGAGATCATCGAGCATACGCACGCGCTCAATGTCCTGGAGTGTGTCGACGTCAATGGCCGCGGACGCTACGGCGGGTCGCGGCGCCTTGCCCGTTGTCGGGCGGTCGATTGGGCGCTCGTTGGACCATCCCTCGAGCTTGGACTCAAAGCGGAGCAGCTAAGGATGCGAATTCATCCCAGTGAACGAAGTTGGAGGATGTACATTGTGCTGGAGCTGGCCTTCGTGGACGACGAGGTCGTCAAACTGGCCATGCTGGTTGGACCGAAACGCAGCGAGCGTGCCTTCCATGGCTTCGATGGCTTCTCGACACGCGTCGACATCGGAGAGCGGCGCGCCCCGTCGACGGAGCGCGCCAATGGTCTGCGCGGTGCTCTGCAGTTTGCGTCGGAGCCCGTCGAGCTTTTGCGCCAAGAGGCGTCCTAGAAAGACATGGTCGCTGTCGGCAACGTGCGCGATTTGCACCTTCGAGCTGCAGCGCGTCGTCGTTGGCCTGCAGCGTTTTGAGCATCTCGATGCTGATCGACTTGATGGCGAGCGACGGGGTCGCGAGGTACGTGGCCCGGTCGCTCTCGGCCACGCGCCGCTTGCGCAGGTAGTACTCTTGTCGTTGAAACCACGCTGTAATCGCGTCGGTGGTCCGCTCGCCGCCAACCTTTTTGCGTGCTGGTACGAGAAGCGCGCGCGACGGGCTCGCGACTATGCGCCGCTGCACCGACTGCGCATCCATGGCCTGCAGCGCAACCTCGAGCGAGTCGACAAAGGTCGCTGGCGATGGCGTCGCTGGAGGCGCTGCCTCGGGCAGCTGCCGCTGTAGCAAGATGGATTCGATGGTTGGACAGCCGCGCCGGGGCGACAGCGGCGCGGCGCGCGCGGTCTGCACCGCCCGGTTCAGTGGCCGCGTCGGCGGGCTGCTTCGTCGCGCGCTAGCCGGGCCCTCTCGGTCATGTGCCGCCTTGTTCAAGAGCACTTGCCGTCCATACGTCCGCGACAAGACCGTGTTGCGGGCGCGCACGGCCGAGAGGTCGAGCTCGAACTCGTGCGCCTGGACTGCCGCCATGCGTGCGCCCTTTCCCAAAGATCGCGCCCGCGGCGTCCGATTGGCCCATCCGGTTACCTTCAAGTAACTTCTTATTGCGTTGAAGCTTAGTGTTGACGAGCATCTACTCTTCCGTGCGCAAGACGGCGTCGTGCGCCATCTTGGACCAGTCGACGCGGCGCAGAACAAAGTAGTAGACGGTGCAGGCGGCCAGGGACCCAAAGGTAAAGCCGGCCCAGAGCCCTTCGATGCTCCAGTCCAAGTAGAAGCCGAGGACGCACGCGGTGGGGATGCCCACCATGTAGTACGCGCAGCCATTCGTGATCGTCGCGATGTGCTGCTGGCCCATCGACTGGAGCACGCCCTGCGAGACGGCGTTCATTGCGTCGCTCATGTGCAACGGGATCACAAACACGAGGGCGGTGGTCGCGCGCCTACGCACAAATCATTGCGTCCTTCGCTCATAGAGATACCAGCGCCTACGCAATGACTTCGGGGTCGTTGATAAAGACTTGGGGCAAAATGCTGCGCGAGAAGAAGATGAGCGCGCCCGTCAAAAGCGTGCAACAGAGGCAGAGCGAGTACGCCATCTTCATGATGAGCTCGGCGTGGTGCGGCTTGTTTCCGCCAAGCATGTTGCCGACGCGGATGTTGGCCGACGTCGCAATACCAAAGTAGATCATGTAGATGAGCGCGATCGTGTTGGTCATGATCTAGCAAGGTAGCACGATATCAGTTCCCTTGAAAGATTGATAGATTGATAGAAAAAAATACCGAGTTGACACCGATCGTGACGACGGCGTTGGGCATGAGCCCCGAGAGCAAGGTGAGAATCTCAAACGCGCCGTACTCAAAGACGAGCATGAAGAGGCCCGGGAGACCAAACTTGAAGAACTGCCAGAGGTGCGCGCGCGCGTCGGCGTAGCTCCAGCGCAGCTCCCACTCGCGGTAGAGCGGGTTGATGGCAAAGTACGGCACCATCATGAGGAGGAGCGCGACGTACGCGACGGTCCGCGCCATCGACGCGCCGTAGAACCCGAGGCTCGTGTGGTGCACAAAGTAGTAGCCAAGGCCGACGTGGATGACGTTGCTGAGGAACGTCATGACGAGCATCGGCATGACAATGTCATGGGCTTGGATCATCTTCTTGAGGATCTCGTAGACGAAGAGGAACGGCAGGCCAGGGATCGTCCAGCGCGTAAAGACGCCAGCCATGTGCGAGATGGACGCGTCTTGGCCGAGCAGCACGAGGATGTCGCCGCAGAACCAGTTAAGGAGGAAGACTGGCACAAACACGATGCTGAGGCCGAGGAGCGCGCTTTGGAGGTAGATGCCAAACTTGTACGTGTGGCCCGCGCCCGCCGCTTGGTTACAGAGAGTGTCCATGGCCGTCGACATGCCCAGGCCCGCCGAGAGCGACGTGATCGTAAGGTACTAGCATTCGTCATGAGCACTCGCGATGCGTCGAGACAGGCGTACCATGCCCGAGATGGCGGCCGCGTCCACGTACTCCTTTGTGAGCTCCGACTGCATTTGGCCCACAAGCACGATGTTGGTCGAGCTCGGGATGTACTCCATGAGCAGCGTAAAGATCTACATGGCATGGTGAGCACGGACGGACTCGGATGCGGGAACGTACCACGGGCCCGGCGAGCGTGACGAGGTGCCACCACTCCTCGCGCGCATCGGGCAGCGTCTCCTCCTTGGCGTGGAGGCAGAGCGTGTGGTCCGAGTGGTCCTTCACCAGCGGGAGCTTCTCCTCCTTGCGCACAACTGCTTGATGCCCGGCCATCGGATTGCGAAATGAGGATGCTTGTGATAGAGCCGGAGACAGTGACCAATCAAACGCCAGGAAACGCCGTCGCGGGCGCGGATTGGTCGTTCGAAGTTTCCCTGGAAAGGCCAAGTCGGCCGCCAAGATTCCCACCCAGCGAGTGCACCCAGCGACAGCACCCACGTGCGCTAGAAGATCTACGATACGCGAGCAGACGAGAATAGCGAGCTCATCCCATGCGCCAACAGCTTTATGTTTAGTGCCACGGAGCATGCACGCTGTGGGGATGACAGACCGCTCCTCTTCCGTTGGCAATCTTCGGTCGGCCAAAGACTCGCCACGAGTGGACCACGTTCGCCCTTGGTCAGGCACGGTGATATCTGATATGCAAGTTTGACGCCAGCCAAAGATCACTTGTCGCTGATGGGGGCACTCGCTGGCGACGGCGCGTGGCGTGCATACCACCATCTCCATCTCACAGATCTGCGTGGCTGCCTCGGCTTCAAGTGCGTAGCTAATGCACCGAACAAGAAAATACTTCGATGCGCACATGCAGACCTTTGGTCCAGTGGGCGTGGTGATAGCAGGGCTTGACTGGTATGGCCTATCATCGATCACGTGCATCGCGCAGACCATTCATTACTGCGTATGATGGCACGCCAACGGCTCGGCGTAAGCAGCCGCGCAAGTAGCTCGTCCGGCGATCAACGAGTAGCTCAGGCAAGCAGCAATGGCTGCGGGGAAAGCGCGTGTGATGCATCAGCGTGCTGCTCGATCCACAATTTTCAGCTCTCGCGATCCCTTTGAAATAATCAACCAATCAAGTGCGACAAAAATTTCGAATGGTCCAATCAAATGGCGACTCGTGGCAGGCGCCGCTACACGTTGGGGAGATGGGGGACCTGGGCTCGCGTGAACGCCTCGAAGGCCATGCGCTTCCAGCTGATGTGGCTCAAGAGGACCCAGTAGATGCCGCCCGCAAAGACGAGGCCGAGCGCATACCCGATCCAAAGCCCTTCGAGGTCGAGCTCGAGGAAGAAGGCGCAGTACGATGCGAGGAGGAGGCCGACGACGTAGTACGCAACAACGTTGACGAACGTCGCAGAGCCCGGACGGTCGATGCCGCGCAAGACGCCTTGCGAGACTGCGTTGAGCGCGTCAAGAAAGTGCAGCGGTATGACAAAGAGCACGGCCACGGTCGCCCGCCTACACCGCCGTAGCAATGACTTCGTTGCTGGTGATAACGAATGTGTACGTGAGAATGGCAGGATCGTACGCGAGGAAGGCGGTCGAGAGCAGCGAGCGCCCCAAGAAGATGCTGCTACATGTGACCGTCGCGCCCACAATACACACCGCGTAGCCGAGCTGCACGGTCGCGGATGCGTGGCGCGGGCGGTTGGCACCCAGAAAAAATCGCAGGCGCGCTGCGATCGCAAGCGAGAGACCGTAAAAGAGCACGTACAAGAGTGAGAGCAAGGTGACGAAAATCTACGCTGCTACGTCATTTTCCCGTAAAATAAAACAAAACACGGACCGAATTGACGCCGACGGCCGTGATCGGGTCGGGCAGCCGGCCAGAGACGAGCACGAGCAGCGCCAGCGCACCCCACTCAAGCTGCATGGTCGCCGTGCCTGGGAGGCCGTATCGCGCAAATGTGCAGACGCTCGCACGCGTCGGGAGTGCCCATGACGATGTAAGGCCCCGTCGCTGCATGTGCCAGAGAAGCAAACCGGGCAGCGCAAGGTACGCAACCGCCCGCGCGAGGCCGACACCCGCCACACCAAGGCTCGTAAACTGCGTGAGCGCATATCCGAGCGCAATGTGCAGGACGTTGCTCGTGAGAGCGACCAGAATCGGAGGACCAACGATGCCTTGGAGGTGCAGTTGCTTCTTCAGCACTTCGTACAGGAAGAGGAACGGCAGACCCAGCGTCGACCACTGGATGATGTCGCCCGCGAGAAGCGCGAGCGACGGGTCCTGGCCCAAGAAGCGCAGAATGGACGCTGCATGAACGTTGAGAAGACAGATGGGCACGCACATCTAGGCGAAATGATCCGAATGAGCGCGTAGAGCCTCGAGACTATGCAAAGCGTACGGCGGTGAAGGCCATGCACGCGCTCGGTAGGAGCTCGTCGCGCTTGAACGGTCCTTTCGATCCGAGCGTATCGACGGCTGTCGCAAAGCCCAGTACGATTGCAATCGACGTGACGTTGAGGTACTATAGTACAAAGAGAGGTCATGGTTACACAGAGCATTTTGAGTTTGAGCACCGTGCTCGACATGGCGGCCGCGGCCACGTACTTGGCCGAGACGCTGCTTCCTGGCATTTGCCCAGCCAAGATGACGTTGGTGACGCCGGGCAGGTACTCGAGCAGGAGTGTCAAGACCTAACGTGGGGAAAAGTGGAGCGGTAGGGCGACGCGGGCGCGGTACCATGGGGCCTGCCAGCCGCAGGAGGGACGAGAGCTCGGTAGCGACATGCACCTGGGGCTCCTCCTTCGCCTGCAGCGCCATGCGCCGCAGCGGGTCATGCACGAGGAGCGTTCTCTCGGACATCATCTTGCTCGGCGGGGGCGATCGGCACACTGCAAAGACGCACGCCGGTGGTCCACCAACATTCTGACATTTCACAAAATGCATGCGTAGCTCGAATGTGACCAAAATCACGTCAATAATTATTGACCCTTGCCAAAATCAAGGTTGGCAGAGCTGGTTGGGGTGCGACGTCCGATCGGATCCCGGCCTGCTCTCAGCGACAGTGAAGTAGGTCCGCTCGCGCACAATGCTAGAACGCTTGGGCAAAGAAAGATTCGCGATCGGCCAAGACGCTGCGCGACGGTCTCGGCAAGCTCACCCAAACGTGTGCGTCTCTCGTGCCCAGTATCCAGAAACAACTCTTTCTATATATTCGAGTATGTATAACCGATTAACTTCGTCCCATCAACGTCGTTGCGGTTGTCACTGTCAACGCGCTGCCACAGCGCTTCAATCTGGTTCAAGATAATGAGTGCGCTCAGGCTGTGCTCTGGCAAAACATCACTGAAGCTGTTCAAATGCTTTGTAGTTTGGCAAATGCAGCGCATCGTCAATGGCGCGGACCATTCAGTTGCCGTGTGTTTATGTCGTAGGTAGTATCTCTACGATCTTAGTCGGTCTCGGCGCGCGTGACGGCTTCGGTGGCGACGTCGGACCAATTGACGCGCGAGAGCAGCGTGAGGTAGATGCAACACGCCGTGAGGGGGCCAGTCGTGAAGCCGGCCCAGAGCCCTTCGACGCTCCAGTTCAAGTAAAACGCGCAAAAGGCCGCGACAGGAATGCCCACCAAGTAAAACGACCCGGCGTTCACGTACGTGGCCACTTGCTGGTGGCCCATCGCGCGAAGGGCGCCCTGCGAGTTGCCGTTGAGCGCGTCAATAACGTGGCATGGCAAGAGGAAGAGGAGCGCCCACGACGCTCGCCTAAACGATGAGACTGAGACCACACTTTGTACTCGCTCGACGTACGACGTGACTTCGGGGTCGTGCAGGAAGAGCTCGGGGATGAGAAAGCGGCCAAAGTAAATGCTCGCAAACGTCAGCGTGACACATGCGCACGTGAGGCCGTAGCCCATGGCCATGATGAGCTTGGCGTGGCGCGGCTTGTTGGCGCCAAGCATGTTGCCCATGCGGATGTTGACAGCGACCGAGATACCCATGAAGATCATGTACACGATCGACACGACGTTCATCAGAATCTAAAGTACATGATAAGTATCAATCTTTCAAGTGCGCACAACATACCGAGTTGACGCCGATCGTGACCATCGGGTTGGGCATGAGCCCCGTGAAGAGCGTGAGGAGCTCAAAAGCCGTCCACTCCATCATCATCATGAGCATGCCGGGGATGCCAAAGAGGAAGATTTCGGGCAAATGCGCGACGGCCTCGGCGTAGTTGCAGCGCAGGTTCCACTCGCGGTACACCGGGTTGTAGCAAAAGTAGGGCACCATGAGCAGCGGCAGCGCCATGTAGCTCACGGAGCGCGCGAGGCCGGCGCCGTAGAACCCGAGGGTCGTGTAGTTGGTGAGGTAGTACCCCAAGACAACGTGGAGGAGGTTGCTGAGGACCGTCATCGCCGCCATCGGCAGTACAATGTTGTACGCTTGCAATAGCTTTTTCACGAGCTCGTAGAAGAAGAGAAAGGGAAGGCCGAGGGTCGTGTAGCGCGTAAAGATGCCCGCGAGCGCCGAAATTTCCGGGTCTTGGCCCAGCGCCAAGAGCACGTCCTCCGCGAACCAGTCGAGGAGGACGACCGGTATTAGTATCTACAGATGTACATCAGCACCGACAACTAGGCAGTACATGGAGTGTACCAGGCCGACACTGAGGAGTGCGCTTTGGAGGTAGACGCCAAACTTCTTGGTGTTGCCCGCGCCGTACGCCTGCGTGCAGAGCGTGTCCATGGCGGTGGCCATGCCGAGGCCGACCGAGATGGACGTAATGTTCAAGTACTACACAGCCAATAATGTCTCCACTGTTCTAGACCATCATGTACATACCATGCCCGAGATCGAGGCCGCGTCGACGTACGCCTTGGTGTGCGGCGAGTCCATTTGTCCGACGAGCACGACGTTGGTGAGGCACGGAAGGTACTCCATGAGGAGTGTAAAGATCTATCCGTTGGCATCAGGTGACGAAGGGTGTGCTCAGAGCATCATCGTACGACAGGACCCGAGAGCGTCACGAGGCTGCGCCACTCGACCCACGCGTCCGGCGTGTCGTCGATGGCGCCGAGCTCACAGGAGAGGAGCGACGTCGCTTCGGTCATTCGCTTGGCAGTCTCGGGCGGCGGCGTGGTCATGGTCGGAGAAAATGAATTTAGACAGGCGCGTTGAAAGGGGTGGCCCGTAAATAAGCAGATGGCAGCGGTCCACAGCCAATCAAATCGCGTCCTTTCAATCACCCAAACTCCCAGTTGCATCGATCGGCGCGGCTTCGCACCCATGGCAGTGCACGCGCCGCCAGCAACATCGACGCAGGTTCGCCGATAGCGCCCTCAAGTCCACCGGCGCCCAGAGCGCTCTCAAGAGCGAGCCATCGAGTTTGGTCAACTTGTCGGAACCGCTCAAGTGTGGGCCTGTCGACAACGGATCATGTGGGGTCGACTGAGATATCTCATCGCACGCCGTCGGCGGCGACCCTGGTCACACGGTACATGCGCCAACACAAGCCAGACGAAACTACTGCCTTGCCATTAAACACTCAGCGCTACGACTTGCCCGATGCTTTGTCGATGAAGTAGCGCTTGATGAAGAGCGCGGTCTTGACGGGCCAGTCGATGAACGGGTCGGGCAGCGCGTAGCCAGCGAGCCCGACAACGGCCTCGCAAAACTCCGAGTAGAGCATATTGGCCGACACCTCTGCTTCGTCCAGTGCGCCATCTTGCACGTTGAGGAAGAGTGCGTTCGCGAGCTCGATCGAGAGCCGCGGTGTCCAGAGTCCGTACTCCTAATGCGACGTAGTGTCAGCCAACTATCAGTGTATGCAGCCTACGCGGAGGAAGAGCGACCACTCGCGCTTGGTGAGGTGCTGCGGCACGGCGCCTTTGTCCTTGCCTTTCAGCTTGACCGCGTACGCTTTGAAGATGCCAAAGAGCACATCCTTGTGGTCCGTTAGCGTCGACTACAATATCGGTCTCAGGTATTATTGGCCAAGACTCTGGATGGCAAGTACGCGGACTTGCGGCGTCGCCGTGAGGTCTCGAAGCGGCGACCGCACCTCGACAGCATGGCACAAGTGCAACGAAATGAACAGCTCGACGCGCCGCGAGAGCCGGTAGAGCTCGCCAAACTGCTCGTTGCAGATGCGGAGGACAATTTCGGCCAAGTCGACGACCGGGATGTGTTGCCTAGTCGCATCACTACAGTTAAGCCTTTACCAGCAACAGCGTACGTCTCGTCGTCCTTGGGGACCGGCACGACTTTGGTCGTCAGCCGCATGCGCTTGAGAACGCGCCAGAGCTCGTCGAGCGAGAGCGCGTGGGAGAGAGTGTCGTTGCTGGGGGTTGTGTACATGGCGCGGAATGCGCGCTCGTGCTCTTGGAAGAGGGCACGGACAGAGACCATCTCGGGCGACGGATCGGTCTCGTCTTGGAGCAGCGCCGCTATCCCTGGCGTCTCCCAGCTAATCGCTGTGTGCAAGCTCGGGCGGACGTCTACCGTCGAGTGCGTTGCATCCATATGTACACATTGCATCAATACCGACAACGACCGCCACGGTCGCCCGGCGCGAGGCCAGCTTGGCGTGTTCTTTCTGCGCGACAAGAGCGCTCGCGTGGCCCCAATTCGACGCCCGCGCATGGGGCACCGCAGCGTGCATGGCGCGGACCTAGTCGATGTCTCGACCACAGCGATACTAGGTATCAAGGTAGCACCTCTTGGCCCTTGCTCTGGATCGCCAAAAGCGTCGCATGCAGCGTCTGGACGGTGCGATTGAGGTCGTGCACGGGCTCCTTGGGCACGACGTGGAGCTTGGCCGAGACAAAGTCGCCAAACTTCTTGCTCGCGGCAGACGAGCCCGTGATGTAAATGCTCGTGGGTTGAGGTTCGCAGTGGTCGGCTTGTGGTAGTCGCTTTGGTAGGCGCATCGTTGGCATGTGGCTCAGCGACGTGATCGACATCTTCTTGGAGGCGCGCTTCTACATGACGTTCGCCCAATTGCATTTGGGTTTAGAGATCGCACCTCGGACGACGGCAGCACCATCTCGCTCGTGTCGTGGTGGAGCTCGGACGCACTGCTCTGCACGACACCACCAGCCATGAGGTCGGCACAGACGTCGTGCCATATCCGGTAGCTGTCGGCGATGCAGTCGGCGGCCAGCGCAGGCAGTGGCTTGGGCTCTTGCGTCAGCTCTTCGGATATAGTGAGGCGGCGCTGCAACGGCGGCAGTTCGCCGTCGCACGCTGTCTGGAGCTGCGCAAGGCGAGCCATCTCGATGTCTCGTATCGCAAGCGAGATGCAAGCGTTCCGGAAGTACGGGTTCATCTCGCACGGGTCAAAGAGAAGGGCGCTGAGCTCCATAAAGAGGCGGCCGAGGACGAGGTACCGCCAGTGCAGTCCAAAGTCCGCCTTGACGTCGTCGGGTACAATTGTCTGAAGTAGCGTCAGCTGCGACTGCGCGTGCACCGTCGCCATGTCGGCCAAGACGGGTTTCGACTGGGCCTGCGACGAACGCATTTTGGCGACCGCCGCTAGAATCAACAATTCCTTTGTGAATGCAAAGAGAGGCGAACGGACCTTGCGACGGCGGGGCCACGGATGCCTCGTGGTCCTCAAAGTGCCGCGCGTAGTACAGCGTCGACGTCGCCGCGTAGTGCTCAACCTGTCGCTGCCAATCGCGCACCATCGCATACATCGTGTCGACCTGCAACCTGATACATTGATAGTTTTGAGAGCTTTGGACCAATACCGTGGACGGCGTCATTGGCTGCATGGAGCAAAAGACGAGACAGTTGGCGCGGTTCACGCACGCGTGGTGGACGCCAGCGACGAGACTGAACATGTCGTCCGCTGTCATATCCTGGACCGTCGGAAAGTCACTCGGCTGCGTCTTGCCAAGCGCAAAGGCCGCAAGCTCCTCGAGACAGTACGAGTCCGGCGTCACCTGCCGCCAACTCGATACAAACTTGATACAAAAGAGACACAACACACCGCAAACAAGGTGGGTTGGTGGAAGCCCGTGTTGTACTGCAGTCGTAAGAGCGACTCGAAGACGTAGTGCGCAATCTCCGCGACGACTTCCATGCGCAGCTGTCCGTCAAAGCACACGCTTTCTTCGCGCGACGGCGTGGTCTTGAGAAACACTTTGGCTACTCTCCATGTGTCAATATTTCAACTTGATACACACGCGCACCATGCTCGATGTGTGTTGTGAATGCTTGAATCGACTCGAGAAGCAGCCGGTTCTCTTCGCGCAAGCGGTCGTACTCGTCTTGAAGCGCGACGTTGGTCTCGGAGAGCTCGGTCACGTTCTTTTGAGCGATGGCGACCTTGTCGCTATCGGCGCAGCCCCGTTCAGCGCTCACACTAGATCGCCCATCGATACCAATCTTCCTGGAGCTTTTGCGTAATGCGAAGGCTTGTGCTAACGAGGACAAAGCGCCGCCAGTCTTCAAACGTCGACGCCACCAGCGTGCGCGGCGAGCCCGAAAACCACATGGAGAACCAGCGCAGGTTCTTGGCCAAGACCTAGCGTCGCGGTGGGCGTGCCACGTCATAGAAACGAAAAACTCGACCTTCTTGCGCACGACGGACGTCTCGTACCACGCGTACAAGCACGACTTGACGACCTCGTCGCTCCAGTCTTGCAGCGCTGACTCGAGCGTCTGCTGCGCGTGCACGAGCTCCTTTTCGAGAAACAGGTTGCGCGTCAGGCAGCGCCGTCTACGTTGTCACTGGTAAGGACGAGACAAAGGCAAACGGGGCGGTCGCACCGCCGGTCGATGCGGCTCTTGACGTCGCCCTGCGCTTGCTTGACGGCTGTAAAGTACGTTGTCTCGTGGAAGAGCTTGCGCCCTGTCGACGGACGCACGTACATCGTGCGCTGCACTTCGCTGCTCAAGAGCGTCAAGAGGCCTTCGTACGGGCCAAAGTAGTGTGCGAGCCGGTCTACACTCGTCACTATGCTGCAGTCAGGCGCGCATTCGGCGGGTACCGAGGAGCATGCAGCAAAAGGTGGCCATGACGTCGTTCGGGAGGCTCATGTGGCATGTGAGCCGTTGGATTTCGGTAAAACCGACTTGGGCATGCACGACTAGGCGTACGTGAGTCATGGTACCTACAGCGTAGTACCGATGGAGCGGTAGTTGATGTCCTCCGACTCGAAGCGCTCGAGCCAGTCTTCGAGAAAGAGGTGCAACACGCCGGCGTGGCTCGTCTCGCCGAGCGTCCTATTGGGTCCTGCGAACGCTTCGATGGTCTCGACGGCAGCATTCACTGGCACGACGAGTGACGATACCCACGTCTCTTGCGTCTGACATGGCGTTGGGCGGTTTCGCGTGCGCGGTGTGCTTGGCGGGCTCGCTATCGTCGTGGGCTTCCGTGGCAGAAACTGGTACTTGGCTGTCTCGTCGCGGCTCAAGCCCAACGGCCGTGGCGACGCCGATCCTTGGCTGGCTGGCCGCTGCGGTAGCGGATGCTTGAGGTTCTGTGTGTTTAGTGAATAAGGCTGACGCGCGTCTGCGGCGCGTGGTGTGACGGTCGAGCGCGGCTGCTGTGACGACGTACAGCGCGGCGACTCGGCCTTGCGTGGCGTCGAGATGGACGGGAAGAGCACCGTCGGGGCCGAAGCGTCCCACTGCGGCACGAGACCAAGGCCGTCCGCGCGCCGGCCATCGCGCTTCTTCACGGACCGGCGCGCTGCTGGTGGTGGCCTGGCGCCGATCATATCTTATTCTCCCACAACGTTTCATGTACCGGTAGGTAAAAACCTGCAGGAATGGATACCGAATTATCCGTACAGGGTCAGTTAATTGCTCGCGCCAAGGGCTCTCGACGCTCTCGGCAGCTAGCATTCGCCGGTCGACCGAACGATCCACCTCGTCCTACGGCAGTAAGAAGTTTCTTATTGCGGGTGCTGAGCTCTGCGCTCAGCGCAAAAGACGGTGCGAAAAGAAAGCCCAGTATCTTGCCGGCAATGATCTGCTCCTTTATCAAAACTCCAACAATGGATAGTTGCCAATATCCATTCCCAAAGATTCCCGCGAGCGCTGCTTCGTCGGTCCAGCATGTCGTCGATCGAGAAGCTCTCGATCTGTGGCATCCGCAGCTTCTACCCTGGGCGCGCCGAGTCGATCGAGTTTAACCAGCCTCTCACCGTCATCCTCGGTGCCAACGGTACGGCGCCTCTTGATGGCCAGCGCTGAGGGACACGTAGGGTGCGGCAAGACGACGATCATCGAGTGCCTCAAGATCAGCTGCACGGGGTCGCTGCCGCCGAGTGCGCGCAGTGGCCAGAGCTTCATTCACGACCCCAAGATCCGCGGGGACGTCGAGGTCAAGGCGAACATTCGGCTGCGCTTCAAGAGCCGCGCCGGCCAGACCATGGTCGTGCAACGGACGTTCCGGTTGCAGCAGATGAAGTCCACGTGCAAGTACCAGGCGCTCGACGGCGTCGTGCGCATGCTCGACAAGCACGGGAAGAAGCTCAGCATTAACCAAAAGTGCGGCGAGCTCGACAAGCACATCCCGGATCTCCTCGGCGTCTCGGCGGCCGTGCTCGAAAGCGTGATTTTTTGCCACCAGGAAGAGTCCAACTGGCCGCTCCAGGAAGGTATCGTGCTCAAGAAGCGCTTTGACGACATCTTTGAGTCGGCTCGCTACACCAAGGCGCTCGACGCGATCAAGAAGCTCAAGAAGGACCGGGTCGGCATTGCCAAGGACATGAAGCGCGACCTGGACGTGCTCGCCGAGCAGGTGAGCCGCGTGCGCGAGATGGAAGAGCAGCTCGAGGAGCAGCAGGCGAAGCTCGAGTCGCTCCAAGCCGACTATGCGCAGCTCTCGAGCGACATTGACCTGCGCGAGACGCGCGTCCACGAGACTGAGGCCGCGCTCGGCCACGTGCGCAGCGTCCTCGACCAGCTTCGTGCGCAAGAAGCGGTCGTCAAGCAGAAAAGCGACGAGATCACACGCGTGTACCAGCAGATGGGGCGTGAAATGGCCGAGTCGACCGAGAGCTTGGAAGAGATCCTCGCCAACTACGACAGCATTCTCGCGATCAAGCGCAAGGAAGTGCAAGATCTCTCGACGCAAGAGTCGCAGCTCCAAGACGAGCTCGCGAGCGTCGACCAGGCCGAGCGCAAGCTCGCGCATGAAAAGGGCGTCCTGGAGGCCACCATGGCGCAGCAAAAGGAGGCGATGCGCGCGCGGACCGACCTCGCGACCAAGTTGGGCTCGACGTACGGCATTGCAGCTGCCGTCGTGACCCAAGACGACGCTCGCATCTTTGCGTCGCGGCTCCAGGACGTCCTCGCGCAGCTCGGCGCGACGCTCAAGCGCCTCGAAGCCGACGCCCGGCGCGGCGACGACGAGTGGAACGCCAAGCAGACGACGGTCTCGGCCAAGGTGCACCACTGCCACGAGACGCTCGGCGCCAAAACGCGCGAACTGTCGGCGTTGAAGCGCAAGGAAGACGCGCTGGTCGCGGAGCTCAACACGTCGAGCGGCGGCCTCGACGCGTCCCAGCGCGAGTGGGGCGTCGTGGAAGCCCGACTTGCAGACGCCGAGGCCAAGCTCAGTGCCTTGCGCGAGTCGGCGACCACCGCGACGCTCAAAGAAGACATTTTGGCGCTGGAGAAGGAAGCCAATAGCATTACGTTTGATTTGCGGGCGCTCGACGACAAGCTCCAGATCTTGCGCACCTTTGAGCGCGACCAGATCGCGCTCGAGCACAAGCGCAACGAGCACACGGCCAAGCGCAAGGCGCTCGAGACGGCCCTCGCCTCGAGCCAAAACGTCCTCGAGTCGCCGCTGTCGTTTGCGACGCTGAGCGACGACCGCAACCGCGTCGAAACGCTCGTGTTTGAGCTCAAGCGGTCGCGCGAGACCTCCAGCGCCAACGTCGCCAAGCTCGAGCGAGAGATGGCTGAGGCCCAAGTCAAGAAGCGTACGGACGAGGGCGCAATTGCGAAGACGCGGACGCGGTACGAGACGCTCTCAAACGGCCCGATGCTCGAGTGGAAGACGCTCCTCGCCACCTTTGGGCTCCAGCCCGAGACGGCGCTGACCCAGCTCGAAGCGCAGTACCTCGATGCAAAGGACAAGACGCAGAGCCGGAAGAACACGATCGTGTTCCTTCGCACGTACATGAAGAAGGGCGAGAAGGACCACTGCTGCCCGCTCTGCCAGCGCGGGCTCTCGCCGGACGAGGAGACGCTCTTCTCCCAGCTCATTGCGAACAAAATGGACGACAGCAAGAACCAAGAAAAGATCGCGAAAGCTGAGCGCAACGAGAGCGCGGCGCTGGACGCGTGGAAGCGCTGCGAGAAGCTCCAACCGCTCTATACCGAGTTTGCCGCGCTCGAGGCGTCGCTTCCGACCAAGACGACCGAGCTCGAGTCGCTCTACACGACGATCCGCATGTTGGACGTGCAGCTCCAGGAGGCCAAAGCGACGCACGCGGCCAACGTGACGCGCTCGGATGACGCGGCGGCGGCGCTCAAGCAGCTCACGTCGCTGCAGACGCAGTGGGAAGAACTCTCGTTTGTGGGCCACCGCCTCGACGGTGACGACGACCATTTGCTCTCGGAAAAGACGATCCGTCTCGGTGCCAACCCGCCGACGCTCGTTGAGGCGCAGGCGGCGCGCGATGCGAAGCAAACCGGCCTCCAGGACAGCCAGTCGCGGCTCAAGCGGCTCCAACGTGAGCTCCAACTGCACCAAGAGACGCAGCAAGGGCTCCAGAACGAAGTGCACAAGTGCCGCGAAGAGAAAGCCGCGATCCAGCAACGCCGCGTCGACGTCGAGAAGGCCCGCGAGGCGCGCGAAGGCCTCCGCGTGCACATCAAAGCGCTCCAAGACGAAGTCGCGACGCTCCAGCGCGACCTGCCGGGCTACCAGCGCGAGCTGCAGCAGTGCAAGAACGAACAACTCTTGGCGCGGGATACGCACCAGCGCGCAATCGCGACCGCGCGCGAAGCGTCCTCGCGCTGTGAGAACGACAAGCGGCAGTACGACGACAAGAGCAAGCACGCCGACCAGTTTGCGCGCCAAAACCTCGACGGCCGCGCGCTCGAGCTCACAAGCCAGATGCAGTCTCTCCAAGCAATGAAGGCCGAGAAGGCGCGTCGCGTCGAGCAGATCCAGCCCGAAAAGTCGTCGGCGCTCCGGGCGCTCGATGAAAACGTGAGTTTGAAGCGGCAGATTGACGACAACTTGAGCTACCGGCGGCTCCAAGCCGAGCTGCAGCAGGCCAAAGCGGCCGTGCTCGCGACGCAGCGCCAGCTCGGGCAGCTGCCGAGCGTGGCTGAGGCCGAGCGGTTGGTGGCCGACGCCAAGAACCAGTGCGACGCGACGCGCGAGGAGCGCGCAGTCTTCCGCGGCAAGCAAGAGGCGCTGCAAGAGGCGATCCGCAACGTCCAGCTCAAGCTCCATGGACGGGACTTGAAGAACATTGATGAAAAGCAGCGCTGCAAGCTCATCGACTACGAGACGACGATGATGGCGGTCTCGGACCTCGACAAGTACTACAAGGCGCTGGACCTCTCGCTCATGGAGTTCCACTCGAAGAAGATCGAGGAGATCAACGCCATCATCCGCACGCTGTGGCAGATCACGTACCGGGGCAATGACATCGACACGATCGAGCTCGTGAGTGGCCAAGAGTCGGGGGCAGCCGCGCGCGCCGGCCGCTCGTACAACTACCGCGTCGTGATGCGCAAGGACAACACGTTGCTCGACATGCGCGGTCGGTGCAGCGCCGGGCAAAAGGTCCATCTCTGAATCATCCCAAGTTCGATCCGCGACCGCTTGTGTGCTGCTAGGTGCTGGCGGCGCTCGTGATCCGACTCGCGCTCGCCGAGACGTTTTGCTTGAACTGCGGGATCCTGGCGCTGGACGAGCCGACAACGAACCTCGACTCGGCCAACAAGCTCGGGTTGGCGCAGGCCATTGCCGAGTACGTCCATGCTTTGGTAGTCAAGCTGTCGCGAGAGCGTATTGTAGCATTCTCAAAGCGCGGGAGAACCAGCACAACTTTCAACTGATCTGCATCACGCACGACGAGGAGTTTGTGCAGATGCTCAACCGGTCGCAGCTCATGGGCGGGACGCGCCCCGAGTACTTTTGGACCGTGAGCCGCGAAGAAATGTACGCTACGATCTTAGTATTCCGGACGACTCATTCTGTGTCTTAGCTTGCCCCGCTATTATTGCAGCAAGATTGAGAAGCGCAACTGGAACTCGGACGTGATTTACCGCCCGAATGACGACATTTAAACGCATAAAACGCATTTTATGATACATTGATATCTTGATATATACATGATGTGATAGATAGACTAGACGGCGCCGGTGGAGTTTGTTACCACACAAACGGCGCTTGGAGGAACGGGGATCGAAGCGCATGAGGCCGAGGGCGAGCCTGGACCGGTCGGCGCGGCAGGACGACGACAAGGGTCCCGTTGGGGTGGAGCTGGTACGAGAGATTGCGAACGTCGATGAGCTGGAGGGCGAATTGCTCGCGAAGGAGGAAGCGGCCGTAGGTGGGCGACGTCATTGACGGCAGCTTGTAGCCCGTCACTTGCAAGACGCCGTCGGGGGTGATCGACACGCTCAGGTTGGCAGGATCGACGCCAGACAGGTTGGCAACGAGGGCGAGACCGTCGAAGTGTCGCCGGATCTCATACGCCGGCCGCCAAATCGGCAGCTTGGCCACATCTGCGGGTGACAGAGGCTCGTTTGTCATCGCTTCGTCTTCTTCCTCTTCCTCTTCTTCTTCGCCGTCGTCCTGGTCGTCATCTTCAGCGTCTTCTTCGGCGTCGACTTCGGCATCATCCTGGTCGGCGTCGTTCTGGTCGTCTTCCTCGTCGGCCTGATCGTCCATAGGCTCATCGACGTTGTCATCGTTGTCGCACTGGTTGTCAATAGAGTCATTTGCAGCCTTGGTCGGGGAGGATGGAGGCGTCTCGGGGGCAAAAGGCGCGAGGAGACGCGACGCAAAGGCCGAGAGGTGGTCGCACTTGGCCTTGAGCGCATCGGCGTCGCAGAGGAGGTCTTGAATGCGAACGACTGTCTGCTTGCGCTGGAGGCGGATGGTTGGGTCGCCATCGCTCAGCACCAAGTCGAGGTCGCATAAGAGGCGCGTCAAGAGCTCGCCTTGCTCCAAGACGCGGAAGCGGTAGGCTTGGAGCTGCAACATGGTCTTCTTGTAGATCGTCGCATGGTCCTTGGCGGGTAGCGCGGCGCAGAGCCACTTGGCGCCCATGACGGCGGCGGCGACGATCTGGTGCTGGTGCGGGAGGCGCGACTGCAGTCGGTCTTGGATTGGGTTGATGCGATCAGCGATCGCTTCGAGCTGCTTGGAAGCTGTTGTCATGTTGAGTGCAAATGAGAAATGAGAAATGAGAGCTTTGGTGAGCTGGCGCGCCCGTGGCTTTTCCAGTCGGTTCTAGAAATTCGCGCATTTCGATTGGCGTCTCGAACTTGCCGCGGCTTCTGATTGGGCCGTGCCTCTCGCCGATAATATCCGGACATCCGGACGACTGACGAAGCCGTGCGACGATGCTCGCAGCGCTGTGGCCGTGCGCCCGCCTGCAGCAAAAGTACGCACTCGTGGCGTACCTCCTGCACTTCCTCCATCATGCGCTCTACGCCAAGAAGCCGCGCTTGTACAAGCAAGACAACCCGGTCACGGCGCGGCTGCTCGCCACCTGCAGCCTCCTGCGTACGCGCCGCCTCTTGGCCTCGGTCGCTCACACCGCCCAATGTAGTGGACAAGTACCATCCGAGTTGGTTTCTCTTCAACGGGTTTGCCTCGCGCGGCGCCAACCCGGCCCGATGGCTTACGACGAGGCGTAGGCACGTGCAGACGATCCTGGTCGCGATGGGCTCCGACGCGCCGAAGGTCGACTACAAGCGCGAGATCATGAGCTTGTCGGACGGCGGGATCGTGTCGCTGGACTGGGCGCAACATCCGGATGGCGGATCTTACGGCCATGACCATCCGACGGTGGTGCGTCCTCCCGATGACGACTTGAGCGTCTCTGAACGTCTCCTTCTTTAGCTGCTCTTGCACGGCTTGACGGGCGGTAGCTCCGAGGTTGACCACCGCCAGTATGCTCGTGCGTGACGTTGATATCTTGGTAGATTTACATTCGCATGACAGCGGTGAAGCTCATGCGAGCAGGGTGGCGCGTCGTCGTCATGAACGCCCGGGGCTGCGCCAAGACACCGGTCGTGACCGCCAAGGTGCACTACGCACTGTCTATGGTCCGTGATACATCCTTCGGCTAGCTCTTTTGCGCCGCCTATACGCAAGACATGCGCGAGACTGTTCGGTATCTGCGCGAGGAGCATGTACCAACAGCGCCGCTCATTGCCGGTGGCTTCTCGCTCGGCTCCAACATCCTCCTCAAGTACGTCGGCGAGGAAGGCGAGAGCTGCCTCCTCACCGGCGCCGTCTCGGTGGGAAACCCCTACGACCTCCTCGCCTCGAACCGGAACCTCATGCACTCATGGCTCCATAACCTGTTCTACCGCAGCGCGCTCACGTCCAACCTCCTCACGCTCTTCTTTGAAAAGGTACATCATCGTATGCTGTGGCGCTAAGGGAGCGTGCAACTAGTCGAATGCGCACACCCACTTTGTGGAACACCCCACTGTCGACCTGGACCATCTCCGCCGTGCGCAGAGCGTCTGGGACTTTGACGACCGCCTCACGCGCCATGTGTTTGGGTGCGTTCAGAGACCCCTTGCCGCTGCAATAGTATGCCATTGTAGGTATGCGACCGTGAGCGACTACTACCGCGATGCATCCTGCAGCCAGTGTACGTCGTATGCGCTCGATTTGCGAGCGCTAAGGGGCGTGCGACTAGACCTCAAGCACATTCGCATTCCAACGTTGTGCTTGACGGCAGAAGACGACCCGATCTCGATCCACACCGGTATCCCGTACGACGACTGCGAGGCCAACCGCCACATATTGCTGGCCGTGACCGAGCGTGGTGGTCATCTCGGCTTCTTCACGGGCGGCAGCGTCGTCACCTTCCCCGATATGTGGGCGTCCAATGTGTTTGTCCAGTTCTGCAACGCGCTAGAAGACCTCGCGTCCGAAGCGGTTCCGCTGCAACGGCCTGGCGTCTCGGTGCTCGGTCGACTCTTCCAGCCCGGTGTCAAGCCCGTTTCGACCAGCACAGTGCAGGATCCAGCAACGCCCGGCGAAGCGCCAGAGACAACCAGCGCGCAATGGGTGTATGCTATTGGTGTGGTCGTCGGGCTTGGTCTCGGCGCCAAGGCTATGTACGACCGCCGGTCGCTCGTGCTCGGAACGCGTATCTGGTGGTATTAACGGCCTTAGTACTGGAATTGCTTGTCTTGGCCCTTCTGGCCTCCCTACGAATTCGCTCCAGCTCATTGCACCGAGATCAACGAATGCGTACCAGTGTCTTGTTGGAGGTCGTTCGCCGCATCTCCTTGACGGCGGCGGCGAGCGCCTCTGGGTTGACGCCCTTCTCGATGAGCGAGACGATGATGCCAAGCGACTCGCGGTCGAGGCCTGTGTTGAGAAGCCGCGAGAGCTCATAGACCGCTACGCATGAAGCATATGAGTCCACGTCGAGGTCCATGCAGCGCCGTACTCTCGAAGGCTTCCTTGGCCTGCCCGACCTCGCTCGCGCTGCTGTTCATGCTTGTGTTCTTCCGCATACGTTATCCGGCGACTGATGGATCGTGTTTGAAACACGAAAAAAACAGCTTTTGGAGGTGGAAATGCACGTTAAACGAGCGTTTTATACTGCGAATAAAACGCAAGGTCCTTGGGTTAAGACGCGGACGTCCTAGGCGGTAAACTATTACGGTAATATATAGAGCACCGTGTACCTGCGTTGATGGCTCATCTCTGGCAGGTTGACCTCTGGGTCGCTGAAATCGGGACTTCGGGAGTCGTCGTGCCCTTGCCGAACAGCTCGGAAAACCGCACTTGATCGAGTAACCGGCTGTGTAACCGTACTTTGCCGGATATTCATTCTCGGTTCCATCGATTTATCCGGCAGCGCTTGGTTGCCCCTCGCTAAGTAAGGAAAACGAAGGCAGGAAGAAGGATGATGCTGCGCCCTGCCATGAGCCGTCTCTCGGGCATGCGTGCACTCCAAGGCGGCCGCGCCTTGTTCTCGACCGTCGGCCTCACGCCTGAAGTCGCGTCGCCGGCGGCGTCGCACGTCAACATTGTCGTCGAAGATGCGTCTGACGACGATCTTGGCCGCAAGCTCAAGCCCAAAGAGGTCGTGGACCAGCTTGACAAGCACATTATTGGCCAGAATGACGCCAAGAAGGCCGTGGCCGTTGCGCTCCGCAACCGCTGGCGCCGCCAGCAGCTGCCCGACCACTTGCGCCCCGAAGTGTCGCCCAAGAACATCTTGATGATTGGCCCGACGGGGTGCGGCAAGACGGAGATTGCGCGCCGCCTCGCCAAGCTGGCGCAGGCGCCTTTTGTCAAGGTCGAGGCGACCAAGTTCACGGAAGTTGGTTTCCACGGCCGCGACGTCGACCAGATCATCAAGGACCTCCTCGAGAACTCGATCCAGCTCGTCAAGAAGACGCGCATGGAAAAGGTGCGCAAGGACATTCAGCACGTCGTCGAGCAGCGCATTGTGGATGCGCTCGCCGGTCAGCACTCTGGCGCGCAGTCGCGCCAGTCGTTCCTCAACCTCTTGCGCGCTGGCGAGATGGAAGACCGCGAAATCACGATTGACGTCCGAAGCCCAGCGTCGTCGACGACGACGATCTCGATGGACTCGTCCGGAAAGCTCAACAACATGAACGAGCTCATGAAGGCTGTCTCGGGCAAGAAGCTCGAGAAGAAGAAGACGACGGTGGCCGAGGCGCGCCCGATCATGGAAGAGATGGAGCTCGAGAACGCGATCGACATGGGCGACGTGGTCAAGGAGGCGATTTCCGAAGCCGAGGAGAACGGTATCGTCTTTATCGACGAAATTGACAAGATCTGCTCCAACGGCAGCTACCGCGGCGCCGACGCGAGTGACGAAGGCGTCCAGCGCGACCTTCTCCCGCTCATCGAAGGCTCGACGATCTCGACCAAGCACGGCAACGTCAACACGGACCACATTCTCTTCATCGGGTCCGGTGCCTTCCACGCCGTCAAGCCGAGCAACCTCCTCGCCGAGCTCCAGGGCCGGCTGCCGATCCGCGTCGAGCTCAAGGGGCTCACGGAGCAGGACCTCTGGCGCATCTTGACCGAGCCGGTCGCGAACCTCGTGCTGCAGCAGAAGGCGCTCATGGCGACGGAGAAGGTCAACCTCGAGTTTGATGACGACGCGATTCGTGAGATCGCGGCCGTCGCGTACGCGATCAACCAGACGATCGAGAACATTGGCGCGCGTCGGCTGCACACGGTGCTCGAGAAGGTCGTCGAAGACCTCTCGTTCGAGGCCGCCGAGTACCCGGAGAACCACACGGTGCACGTGACCAAGGAAATGGTCCAGACGCGCGTTGGCTCGATGCTCAAGAAGACGGATCTCTCCAAGTTCATTTTGTAATACGACCGAATCCTAGTACCCGTGTAAATCCAGTGTATGGCCGAAGCAAGAGATAATAACCTACGCTGTGTTCCCTTCTGGGTACCACTACGACAGGTTGCCGCATCAGGGGCCTCCAAGCTCGAGGAGCTGAAGTGCATGCTGGTCGAGAGTGACTCTTTAACGTTTTCTTGACTACGGTAAAGCGTAAAACGCGTACGTTTTAGGTGCTGGACGACATGTTAAAATATTTAACCCGCCGTCCAACAAGGATTTAAGCTATTTTAACTTGATAATAAAATGGCTTTCAACTTATATGGCTTATATTTTCAGAGAAGGGAGCGAGGATGATCTTGGTCGAGGGTCTCGTCCTTCAGATCGCCATGTTCCTGCCGTCGCCCATGGCCGTCCGCGTCTTTCTCGAGGCGCTGCCGCTAGCGTCTCTCTCGCCGCCATTAGAGGCGCTCCGGAGGCTCCTCGAGACGCCGTGTCTACTGGACGACGACTGGCCGCAGCCGGATGTGCCCATTCTGCTGTATCATCATGCGCAGCTCGTACTCACTGCGCTGCCCGTGTTACCGCCCATTAGGCTCTACCCGTACTGCATCGCCAAGCTCGAGCGCAGTCTGCGCCATCTCGCCGAGTACGAGGAGGACGGCTGCGCGTTCCGAACCTTCGTCACGAAATGGGCGCACAAGATTGCGGCCATGGACCTCACCGACACGGCGCGCTACGACCACGACGTGCTCTGCAGCCTACTGCGGCAGTGCACGCAGCTCGACCACGTCTCTGTCGAGTGCCGGCAGCACGAGCGGGCAGTGCTAACGGCCATCACAACACCGTCGCACCGCGTCCGCAGCCTCGAGCTCGTCGTACCCGGCGACGTCGCCAACTACGCACCTCAGGACGCAGCGACGCAGCTTGCGCCGTGGCTGCGCTCGGGCCATGCCACTCATGTGGGCTTCAAACGCTTCCGGTCGCTGGACGAGGCCAGCGCCAGGCACCTCGCCAAAGCGCTGCTCTCAACGCCGTCGGTCGTTAGCCTAAGGTTGCACGAGTCGGGTCCGGTCACGACGGCGCTGATCGAGTCGGGTCTCTCGCTGGCGCACCTCACGCGGCTTGAGGCGTCGGCATCCGACCTGCACCGGCTCGTGCCTCATTTGGACCTTGCCAAATTGACGCACTTGACTGTGCGCTGCGAGTGGACCCGCAACATCGACTGGCTCGTCGCTTTGCTCCCCGGTCTTACGGCGCTCGAAGACCTCGCGGTCTATAGTGGCACCGTCACTGACTATGACGGCTTTACGACGTCGACGGCATTATCACTCAGGACTGTGCGCTTTTACGCGATGGAGTGGACGCGCAACGGCCTCCTCGCCGTCCTCGACTGGATCTCGACGTCCGCCCAACTGGAGTCCGTGTCGCTGGACGCTCTCAGCTTCGGCAAGTGCGCTGCAGAGCTTAGTGAAGCGCTACGTCAATGGATTCTTGCTGGGTGCCGTCGCGTGAGCTTCTCGGACACCAACCTCGACGACGCTGGCCTGGCGCATATTGCGCGCGCCCTGAGTCGAGTCCGCCACCGCACGGCGCTCCTCGTCGCATTGGAAGGTATCCAAGTGGGTCTAAGCGGCTTTCTTTGCCTTCTCGACGCCCTAGCGACAAGCACGTACGTGTCCGTGCTGCTCGAAGTCGAAGACGACGCGCTGACGCCGCAGCGTGATGAGATAAATGTCCTCTTGGCCAAGTACGAGGTGAGCTATCGCGAGCGGAGTGATCTCGATGACTACCACTATCTCCACAGTCCGCTGCATGGAAGAGAAGACTCTTCTTGAATATGACATTCAAGCTTCAGTTATCTCTAAAGCTCAACTGCTACGTTTGTGGGCTTGGACCTGGAGGAGCAGCCGCAGCACATCCGTGGCCCGCACCACCCCTACCCCTAGATATGTCCTCCGAACGACAGACGATGCGAGTGCGCACCGATAATGTCTTGGCTCATTGCCCGGACATAGAGGCGTGACGCGTTGCGCGTGTAGAGCTCCGAGACAGCTTTCACCAACGAGCAAGTCGATGGCACCGTATGCAGTGGTTTGTTCTACCCATTCATTAAACGAAGAAACAGAGTTTTATCCTGGCACCTTGAGCACATGGCCAATCGGACGCAGCAAGTAGCCAAAGTTGGGCAGCGGCGTCGAGAGCGAGATGCTTGTCGGCAAGACGACGCCAGCGTCCGTGCGGGGCGGCCAGTTCTCGACGAGTTCGAGGATATCCGACCAGCTACCCACCAAATAAGTCGAAAGCTTCCGTTGCTAGGGTACCCAAACGTCGAGTACGCATCGTCCTTGCCGTCATCGTTGAGCAGAAGCAGGCCCGAGAGGTTGCGTGCGCGGAGGAGCTGGAACGCCTCGAGCATGCTGCTCGACGGCCGACGCAGTGCCAAAGGTTGAAACACGAAGTCGCTGATCGGTCGGTGGGCGTACTCCCCTAGTCATACGTAGCCAGTTTACAACCCTAAACCCAACGAATACAATACCTAGCAGCGAGACATCTTCCAGGACGAAGCGCAGCACGTCCCGAGGCGAGAGCACGCCAAGAACGTCGACTGCATGCGTCGGGCTCAGGACCATCGGGATGTACGTATCGCCTGGGCAAGACACGTAGCAGGTAGAGCAACGATCACATGGCGTACGGGTTGCGAGTCGGTAGATCAAGTTGAAGGCAAAGTCGTCGCTGTACATGGCGCGAGGTCCTGGCGCCGACGCGGTCGCTTCGTTCGCCATGCGCAAGACGTCGCGAAGCGCGAGCATCGCAAAGCGCCGACCCGCGTCCACCGCATAGCTCTCAAACTTGAGGACTTGCATGTCTGCCAGCTTCTTCTGGTTGAACAAGTAGGGACCCAGACGCTGCATGTCCATTTCGAGCGGTGGCATGAACGTGAGCATGCACCTACTCGATACTTTGATACATTTGGCATTCAACAAGATTGCCACTTGACAAAGAGGGCGCAGTCGACAACGCCGAGCACCACATTGCCGCCCGTTTTGGTCGTCTTGCCGCGCTCGTAGACAAGGGCAAAGTCGGTCTTGTTGAGTTGCAGCTGCTTGAGAGCCAGGAACGCGTGCGTATCGTCCGGTAGCTCCAGCACAATTTGCGTCGTACACGGCAGCCGACCAATATCACGAATCTGTCACCGCCCAAATGATGACGGATATGGAGGCCACGAGCAAACCTTGGTGCGCCAGAGCGGCTCGTGCGGCGGAGGAACCGGCGTGTCGGGAACGTCGCTGTCGTCGAACGACGGGTCGTAGACGCTGGGCTTCGTAGCTTTAAGCTGCGCGTCGCGAAGGCCTGCGAAGAGCGTCTCGATTTCTTCAAAGCACAAGCACATTGCAGGGTGTGTCAGTGCGATCTCGGTGGCTTCTTTGATCGTCACGTGCTTGGAGTCGTCGTTGTTGTCGCGCAAGAGACTCTACACATCTCGATATATCCGGCTGGAGGTAGAAGGGCGTACTTCGACGGCGCTGATCACTTCGGTCGACGGCGGCTCGGTTACGCGCAGCACCTTGGTGATCGCCGCCACGAAATCGCGGTAAATACCCACTTTAACGTGGCTAGCAATGTCTACCTCGTCTCAGCCGAATCACGTGACGCTTTGGACGTACACACGTCGCTCGGGTCGGCGAGGTACATGCGGCAGAGAAACGTGAGCTTGAGTTTGATGTCGACGGGCAGCGCGAGGCAGATGCCGATGAAGACTTCAGCCGCGACAACGACGGGCGTGTCGGCGTGCCCGTGCTCAAAGAGCTACGTCTTCAACGCTCGATGCGAGCGAAATCCTTGGGATTTCTACCTGAAAGTGTGGCTCGGCGTCTTGCACGACAATGCCAAACACCTCGTCGAATTGAGTTGACGTCAAGAGTCGCGCCGAGCGGACCTCGTCCCGGTAGATGCTCCAGCTCTCTTCGAGCGTCTTGATGCTCTGGAGGACGTACTCGGAGACGAGAGCGCGATGGCTGTCGTCGCCGAGGCTGTGCGACGATGCGGCGACACCCATTTTCCTTCGATTTCGATGCCTTTTTCGCGGGTGTACGCCGTCGAAGGTTACCAGTGCGTTCGACGATGGAACGCCCGACGATCATGCTCGCGCTTCCCCCCACGTGCTGCAACGACGACCAGACAGTCTGGTTTGCCCTCGTCGGCGTTTATATCGTGCTGCTGCTCAAACTGTAGTAAAGCGTGGTCATCTTGGGCTCACGCGTGCGTAGGTGGCACGCGCCCGTCATCTACCCGTTCAAGCTCCTGTGCGGATTCTCCAATTTCTTATCGCATGCGCTCATGCACGCTGCCTCTAGCGCCTACTTCACCCACGAGCTCCTTCGATGCATCGGCGTCGTCCTCTCGTGCGGCAAGGTACGTTGCGCGCCATCTCAATCGAAATGCAGCGTTTCGTAGCTGGAAGGCATGGCCATTCATCCCGAAGAAGGCTCTGAGACGCACTTTGAGCTCGGGTCGCCCGGCTTTGTCCTGTGGCTGGTATCGGTGCTCTTAAGGTGGATGGATTCGAACTTCGATAGGGCTACCTCGGGACCATGGGGTGGGGACTGGTGCAAATGTGTGCGAGGTACCCCGCGGTATATCCTTTTTGTTTAATTGCATGTCACGTGCGTAGCCTCCACTACTTCCCGACGGTTGTCTGCACAAGCGTGACCCTCGGTCTGCTCGTGTGCTTCTTCCTCTGTGCCGACACGCGCTATCTCCGGCTCGTCACAGCGCTTTCGTTCACCGTTCTCGTGGCACTGCTGGCCTATGCGCTCAGCACCCACTCGACCGACGTGTGTTTGGCTCTCACGATGTCGAATGACTCACACGCCGCTAGATGCTGCGCTTCGTCGTGCTGCTCTCCGGCGTCAACCACGCACTCTTCTTCTTCTTGGACGCCGCCGACGACCTCCGCGTGCACCCCAGGTTCAACGACACCTCGATGCTTCCTTCTCAACCTTTGGCTCTAGCGACAGCTACCAAATGCTCACGCTGTACGGCAGCACCGCCCTCGTCGTTGCGGGGCTCTTGCAAGCAGCCCTCTTCATCGCCGCCGTCGCATGGAACCTCGTTGCGCTCGATAGCGCGATGCCGGTTTCGCTCGACACGATGGCCACGTCCACCCAAGTGGCTTGCGTTTGCTTTCTTATTGCGCTCACCGTCGCTGTGAGCCACTCGCTCTACCGACAGCAGTGTACGAAACGACCAAACAGTATCAAGTTGATGGATTTGGTGGTAGGCGCCCTGCGGCGGCCCGAGTTGGTCGTCTTGGAGGATGACGACGACAAGCTCGTTTAGGAAGAGCTGAGTCGATCCCCGTATTGCAGTTGGTAATACGCTTGGAACTCGCCGTCCTTGACGGGCCGCCACCAGCTCTCGTTCGCCACGTACCATTGGACGCTGGCGACAATGGCTTCTTGCGGCGAGTGCCGCGGCCGCCACCCGAGCGCGGCAATCTTTTCAATGTTCACACTGTACCGCCGGTCGTGGCCCGGTCGGTCGGTCACGTGGCGAATGAGACTCTCGGGCTTGCGAAGGGTCTGCAGAATTAAGCGCAGCATCGAGAGGTTGTCGAGGGTCTCGCCGGCGCCCGCATTATAGATCTCACCGAGCGCGCCAGTGTGGAGGACGAGGTCGATTGCTTCGCAGTGGTCGTGCACGTGCTGGTACTCGCGCTGCTGGAGCCCGTCGCCGTACACGGGCAGCGGGAGGTCCTCGAGCGCGTTCGTGGTGAAGAGCGGGACGACTTTCTCGAGGTGTTGGTACGGGCCAATGTTGTTGGAGCCGCGCGTGATCGTGACGGGCAGACCAAACGTCGTAAAATACGACAAGACGAGCAAGTCGGCGCTGGCCTTGCTCGCCGCGTACGGGCTGCGCGGGTCGAGCTTGTCCGTCTCGAGCGACGAGCAACCGTCGGGCACGTGGCCGTAGACCTCGTCCGTGCTAATGTGGTGGAAGCGCGCAATGCGATGGCGCTTGGCGGCCTCGAGGAGCACATAGGTGCCGAGGACATTTGTCTGGACAAACGCATCGGCATTTAGAATTGACCGGTCGACGTGGGTCTCGGCGGCGAAGTTGACGACGACATCAATCGCATGGGCCGTCATCGTGGCCTCGACGATCGTGGCGTCAGCAATGTCGCCCTGCACGAAAGCGAAGCGCGGGTCGGCGGTGGCGGCCGCGAGGTTGGCCAGGTTCCCGGCGTACGTGAGCTTGTCGAGCACGACAATGCGGTAGCTCGGGTACTTGGCGAGCATGAAGTGGACAAAGTTGGCGCCGATGAAGCCCACGCCGCCCGTGACAAGGAGGTGCATGGTCGACGTATAAGTATAGGACGTGTACCGACAGAAGGCGCGCTCTGATGGCAACAGCTGATAGCAAACCGAAACGGGCCAATCAGGAGCGGCCAATCAAATCGACCAATGGCATCGCCGCATCGAGTAGCCAAGATCTTGAAGTCTCCACAGGCTGCTGCTTCCAAGCTCGTGGAAGGCGCAGATACATCATCTTGCACAATCTAAAGCCAGCTGCACTAGTCAAGTTGATCGATGCACCGAGCTCGTTCGATGTTACGCGTAAAACCTTCCTAACGCCTAAATTACGAGCTCGGTTTTTACGTGGAGAAGCCTACCCATTGTGTCTTGTTGGCTGTTTAGAGAAGCGCAGCGTGATACTTATGGTTATGACGCTGCGGTGTCATTAGGACGCAGGGTGGCCCGAGTTCTCTAATTCTTCCGGCCCAAGGCGCCTTGACGGTGCTGTAACCGAACGAGCGCGAATTAATCGGATGCCTGTCAACGTAACCGGCAATAGATACCTTTGCGAATGATGGCTCTCGATAAAAAGTACATACAAATAACAAGCATGCAATATTATAAAATAGATTGCGATCCAACCTGCACCATTTGAGAATTTGCCAGCCGAAGCTCAAGCAAGACGACGACGATGGACGCGTGGACGACGATGCTGGACCTACCCTCGTACCTCTACCTCGCCTGGAAGAGCATGGCGATGCTCCACCTCATGTGCTGCGTCTGCATCGGCCTTGTCCATGTCGCCAGCGCCATGAGCGACAAGGACGACCTCCGACGATACCTGCCTTGTCTCGCGGTACTGCCGCCACCGACGCCCATCAAGACCATCACGATCTCCAAGCAGTGGACGACGCGCTACAAGCTGGCCGACGGCCGCGAAGTCGTCACGAGCCAGACCTTGACGTACGACGAGCTGGCGTCGGCAGCGACCGACACGGCGACGCGATCGGCCTAGTACCCGCCTCTTCCTACTCTGCTACGACGCTCACCCCCTCGTCCTAGACCCCCGTAGAGACACTAGCCATAGCAGGCCGAGCACGATAGATACATACTAACCCACTACCTTGACACTATTCACGCGTGGGTCGGAAATAGTCTGTAGGTGAAAGATCGCGCGATGGCACCGGCGCCGACGCTCCAGGTCGGGATGAAAATCCCCAAGCTCGTGGGCTCGACGCAAATGGGTGCGATCAAGCTCCACGACTTCATCGACGGCGCGTGGGCGCTCCTCCTCACGTTCCCCCAGGACTTCCACCCGGTCTGGATTACGGTAGGTATATGGCTGCATTCGCATCCTCATCTGCACGTCTAGGAGCTGGGCATGCTCGCCAAGCTCAAGCCCCAGTTCGATGTGCGCAACTGCCGCGTCCTCGGCCTCAGCATTGGCTCGCGTCTGCTTGCTTCCTCCTCCGCATTGCGCGTCTCATGCTCGTCTTCGTAGTCAAGAACCAAGCGCGGTTCCTCGACGACGTCAACGAGACGCAGGACACCCAAGTCAATTTCCCCATCTTTGCCGACGAGAGCGGTCTCCTTTCGCGCATGCTGGGGCTCGTGAACCCGACGTCCGCGCCGTCCAGCGCCGACCACGCGGTTCTGCCCTACAGCGCGGCCTTTCTCATGGACGTCGACATGGTCATCCGCTTTGCCTTCTACTACCCCATGTCCATTGGCCGCAACCTTTATGAGGTTGCACTGCATATATCTCTTCTTCATCCATCTCAGTGTCATCGACGACTAGTTTATTCGCGTCCTCGACGGGCTCCAGCTCGCGGCCTACAACCAGGTGGTGCTCCCGACCAACTGGAAGATCAACGACGACGTCTTTGTCGAGCCCGACATTAGCTCCGAGGCCGCCAAGGCGCTCTTCCCCAACGGCTTCCACGAAATCAAGCCCTACTTCCGCGTGACCCCCGCGCCCGTCCTCTCGGAAGACCAGTAAGACACTCACTACTTCTATTACCTACTACAGCGTGGTGCTCGACGACTCTCGGGGACTGGCGGCGGGTGGCGGGCCGTCGGTCTCGGGCGCGGCCGACGGGGCCATGTGCGGCATCGGATGCAGATACGGCGGCGGGTGGTGGTGCCCGTACGGCATGTGCATGTTTTGTCGCTGCTGCATATGACTCGTGTACCGTGCTGCGTTGGCCGCCAAATGCATGGCTTCTTGCCGCGCTGCTTGGGCTTCCTGAAGCGCCCGAGCTGCGGCGGCGGCCGCGGCGGCCGCCCGTGTTGCCTCTTCTTCGGCACGCCGGGCAAACGCTTCCTTCTCCAAAGCGGCGCGGTGCAAGCTCTGGGCCTCTTCTTCGTATCGCAGCTGCTGCTCCATCGTCCAGACAGACTCGGCGTCCGACGGTGGTGCCTTGTCCATGGTGTAATGCACCGGCGTCTGCTGCATCTGGCGTTGCTGCAACTGCTGCTGGAACGACTGTCCCGAGTACGCCATGTCGCTGTGCGGCGCCTCGTTCAGCACGGACGCGTACGGATTCCGACTGGACTGTCCGTGCTGGTGCAAATGGCTCGGGAGCGACGGCGCCGAGCCATAGTACCCTAGCTGCTGCTGCTGTTGCTGATGCGAGTGTTGTTGCTGTTGCTGTTGTTGTTGCTGCTGTTGCTGCTGCGACGGGTGGGCCATGGGTCGCAGCGGGTGGCTCAAATGCAGCTTCATGGCGGCCGACGGTCCTTGCTGGAGCTGCTGCTGTTGCAGTTGCGCCGCGTGCTGCGACGACGATGACGACGCATTGGCTGGCGGCGTGTGCGACGCTCGATGGTGCCGGTTGAGGAGGTTCGAGACGCTCGACCGAGACATGTTGTGCACAGGCGTCAAGGTCGGTGGCGTCTGCGCGCCGTACGGACTCCCGTTGCTCTCGTTCAAAATGGACGAAAAAGACATGAGACTGCGCGACGTTGGCGGCGGGATCGTAATCGGCGGCGCCTCGGCCAGCGGTGGCAAGCTCGAGCTCGACGGCCGCTCGGTGGACGACGACGGTGCGTCCAGGTGCGGCCGTGGCACGATGGGCGGCTGCTGTGGCACCTCCATCTTCATGTCGCTGTAGCGCGGGTCGTAGTAGTTGTCGGTCGCTGGTCGCAGGTGCATGCGCTCCTGGAGGGGCCGCGGGGCGTACGGCGCATTGCTTTGCAGCTCCTGTTGGTGAATCTGCATCTGGAGCATTTGCACTTGCTGCTGCAGCGAATACTGGAGCAGCTTCATCTGCGACGCTTGCGAGTTGATCGTCGAGTACGCCATCGACGTCGGGTTGGACGAATTCGACGGCGCTTCCGGCGGCGGCTGCTGCATCGTGATCCGAGAGAGTTCGCACTGCAGCTGCAAAAGCTTGTGCCGCGCGCTCATCGACGGGTACGCATTGTTGTACTCGCTGTTGTTGGACGGCGCCGACGTCTGCTGCGGTTGCAGCGGCGGCATCGACATCGGGAACGCGTACGTCGGCGGCGACGACGACGGGGGTGAACTCAGCGCCGTAGGAGAAGCCTGGCCCGGCATCGGACCCGACTGCGGCGTGTTGGGGCCGCTGCCGGTCGATGTGATCCGCTCCGTGCGCTTCTTCAGTATGTCCTACGAGCCGATTTACGTCAGAGGTGCCGTAGCGACGTGTGTACCTGGAGGCCGAGGCGGTTTTTGTAATTTTGATAGTAATTTTTGATCTGGGCCGCGGTCTTGGTCGGAATGCTGTTGGTGAGCGCACTCCAGTCCTTGCCATAGACCTACTCAGCGCGCATGAGACGCAACAGACGCGATCGAGTTGTGTACCGAGAAAAACTTCAGAAAGTCGGATTTCTCTTGCTCCGTCCACTTTTGCACGACGCGCTTCCCGGGCGGGAGGCTCGATGCGTTGAGCACCGACGGTGGCTGGCCCATCGGCGTCGGCAGCAACGACGGGTGGTGCATGCTGCCGCTCGGCGACGGCGTGTGCAGCACCGGCACGTGCAGCGGCACGCTCAGCTGCAGCATCGGGTTATTGTGCTTGCTAAGGAGTTGCGGTGGCGCCACCATGGGCGGGGGTGGCAGTAGAGGCAGCTGCGCTGGTGGCAGTGGCTTCGACGACTTCTTCTCGCGCATCGGCGACGACGGTTCGGGCGCCGGCGGCGGTGGTGCGTCGTCTTGGACGTTGGTCGGTGAGACTTTTGCGCGTTTCGGCGCGTCTTCCCGCTTGAGTTTGGCGCTGCGCTTGGAATCCTTCTTCATTGGGTTGGCCGCGCGGGGCGTGCCCGACTTGCGCCGAGATGCTGGCGACGGCATGGCGTCGGCGACGGCTGCATCCTTCTTGAGCTTGAGCTTCGAGACGACCTTGATCGGTTCGTTGTCGAGCGCGACGGGCGGCGGGTCGGGCTGGTACTGGCTCGACGCGCGAAAGTCCAAAAAGCGCTGGCGCACGCTTACGCTCGAGGTCTCGTACCCGGTGCTAAACGCATTGTCCGAGAGGAGCGTCGTGAGGTCCAGCACCATGGGCGGCACGCCGAGCGTCGATCCGTCCTTGGACTCCTTGTCGTCGTCGTTGGTCGTCGACGCCGTGTCGTCGTTGGCTGTCGCGTCCTTGACGCCCTTGACCGCGTGCAAGATGCAGTTGGCAGCCTGGTGCGACCGAAAGTTGGACGGCTGCAAGAGCATCGCCTTGATCGAGTCGGGAAACTGGACGCCGAGCGCCATCGCGACACAGGCCGAGAGATGCCAGCAGTTCCATGTGTTTTTGATGCCAGCGCCGCGCCGCCGCAGCTGCTGCTCGCGGATGATGGCCTTATAGTCGACGACCTTCTTTGTGTTGTAGTAGAACGCAATGACGTCGCCCGTCGTCTTGTTCTTGAGGTACGTTCCGATCTGGTAAAACTGCTTTGGAAACTGCAGAAACTTGTCGACGAAAATGCACTTTTCGACGTCGCTCCACGGATTCGTGAGCTTCTCGACCGCGACCGCCAGCTGCCCGTCCAATGGCGTCGCCGGCGTCTCGAGGCCCGTCAGCGTCGGCCGCGGCAACTTGATAAATCGCTGCACGCACAACTTGTCTTGGTCGAGCAGCATGTCGGGGATCACGTACAAGCTCGCGCTCGACCCAGACGCCACCATTGCACCCTTGAGCCTATGCGTCGCCTGTGTGAGTCCCATACGTCGTGCATCGCAGTGGTTTACCGCTTGCGCCGATTGTCTTGCTCCCACTGCGCCGCCGAATCCTTCTCGAGGCCGGTCTGCAATGTCGGGAGCAGTGGCGGGTTGCTCGAGTTGTTGGTGAGACGGGATGACGTCCGGACACTGCTGCTGTTGGTCGCCGCCTCGTCCGCCGCCGCCGTGCTGTCGGTGGCGGTCGTCGTTTGCGTCTTCTTTTGCTGCTTGAGCAGCAGCTTGGACCGAATCTTCTCTTGCTTCTTCTTGTCCTTCTCAATGCGTTTGACGCGGTGCCGCCACGCCTTCTTGAGCTGCACAAACTCCACCGCGAGCTGCCGCATCTTGGTGTGGTGCGCCGCCTTGCGCGCCATGATGCGCGACAGCACCCGAGGCCGCAGTGACGCACTGGTCGTCAGAATCTCCGACAAGCCCGGCGCGTCACCCGGCGTTGCGTACTGCACGGCCGCCGTGCCGAGCGTCTCGAGGTCCGCGGCAGCGTCCGTCGCCTTGGCTCGGTTGGTCGTCATCAGCGTATTGACAGTGGCCATGAGTTCCGGGTCCATAATCACCGGTCGCGACTTGGGCTTGGGCGGCTCCACGACGACAACCCCCGGCTCTTCCGGCTCGTCAAAGAACGTCAGAGGCTGCATCTTAAGCGCTGCGTACTCTTCGCGGTTCGCTTTGATCTGGCCCTGGACGCGGGTGATGTCGGCGTCCAGTGCGTCGATCGAGACCAAAAGATCTTCCTTGCGCGGTGGCGCAGCGACTACTGGTGCGACGCCAGCATCGTTGTCGAGCACGGGTGCTGCTGGCGGTACGGCCGAAGGTCCAACGGCAACGGGGGCAGGTACAATTGGTGCCGGAACGGGCGCAGGCACCGAGGCTGCCACTGGTGCTGGTGCTGCTACAGTCAAGACTGCTGGCGCTACCACTGCCACAGGCGTGGCCGCGGAGAGTGGCGCAGACTTTGGCAGTGGGAGGAGACCTGGCGACGAGAGAAGACCGGTCGATGGGTGTGGAAGAAGCCCCGCTGTGGGTGGTGATGCGAACACTGCGGTCGATGACGTTGGCACTGGAAGGAGCCCCGCCGGTCGCGCTGGCGACGACACGGACGACACGGTGGTCGAGTGCGCAGGCGGCGTGGCGGACGCTGGCGTCGACAAGAGCCCCGTGGTTGGCGTTGGCAGCAGCCCCATCACGGGCGTCGGGAGCAAGCCAGGCAAGGGTGCTGGCCGGGGCGGTGTCACATCTGGCACACGCTCGGTCTTGGCCGACGCTGGCAAAGGCGACATCGAACGGCGCTCCAGGGTCGTCGTCGACTCGGCCGCCTGCGACATCAAGCCCTGGCCCCAGCCGATGCGGGGTCGTTTGACTGCCGACGTAGCGCTCGCCGCTGCGCTGGGCGATGACGCTGCCGCGAGCCCTTGGCCCCAACCCAGCCGAACGCGCTTCATGCCTTGACTGTCGCGGTCGTCGTTCGGCGTCGAGCTGCCCTCGACGGTGGTCAAGTCGGACGGCGGCGGTCGCGGCGGCTCCAGCGTCACTGCGTCATCGACGTCGGGCTTTGGCAGCGTCAGCGATTCGGATCGCTTCAAATCCAGTGACGGACGGCGCGTCGACGAAGCCACAATCATCGACTCGCTCCGCTTCAACGGCTTTTCGCTGGCGTCGACGATGCTGGCTCGACGCTTGATGTCAACGCTGTCCCTTCGTCGTACTGGTGACACTTCGGTCTCGCGGCGACGGGCAGTCTCGGGCTTGACGACGGGCGAGCTCGCATTGCTCCAACTCGGTCGTCGTACGGGCGTCTTTCGCGGCGAGTCTTCCTTGACCAAGCCTTCTTCGTCTTTCGAGTCGGTGTCGTTCGCGTCGACTTCCTTCCTGGCTGCTTGCTTCGCATCGGTGTCGTCGGCGTACGACCGGTCGAGCTTCTCGGGTGACGAATTCGACTGCAGCTCGTCTTGATGGTCCCGCGGAAACGAATCGCGCCGACGGTCGCGGGATCGGTCCCGAAAGCGGTCGCGTGATCGGTCTCGCGACGCGCCTCGCCGGTCCATGCGGTCTTTGGAGCGGGATCGGTCGCGGGATCGGCCCATTGGCCGCTGCTTGTACGCCATGTAGTTGCCACCGCTGCTGCTGCGGTTGCGGTTGTAGTTGTTGCCGCGACCTTGCATACCGCCGCCGTACATTGGCTGGTTGTGCGGTGGCGACCGGCCGCGGGGGCCGCTTCGACCCCCGTTGCCTTGGTTCATGTTGCGCCCGCGGCCGCGCATACCAAAGCCGCCGCTGCGAAAGCCAAAGTTCACGTTGAACTGGCCCGAGCGGTCTGGCGCGCGTCCGGGGCTGTCGTGGGATCCATGGTTGCTGGATGAGCCTCCGTTCATTCTCTACACGCACGCGCATGAGCCTTCCATGCTGCACATATCGTCGCACCTGCTGCTGCTGCTGCGGGCGTCTCGGTCCTCTCGCTTGGGATCTAGCCATCCACGCGGTGAGCTTCCATACGTCTGCGCCATGGGCGAGGTACCTGCGTCGCGCGGTCTCGTGTCCACGCTCGCTCTTGCCGTCCGCTGTCGGCCGCTCACTCGGTCTCCTTTCGCCCAATAGTTGAACTTATTGGAACTTTAATCGATGATGGAATATTAGCCAATCAGCGGCCGGGCCACGAGAAGGCCACCATTCTCAGTCTTTGCAGGATCCCTCGGTTGAGCAACACTTCGTGTAATGAATGTACCAAACATCACAATTTTTCCCTCACTTGAGAAACATTGTGTCTGTATCGCGAGGATTGCCCGTATGTAATTTATTCCCAGCTCGACGAACGCACATACGTTTTCCAAGTGTTTTTTTTTTAATTTGCACCAATCACATTGGAGAAGAACTTCCGGCGATGACGCAGGCGCGCAAGGAACAAGCGCGATCGCCTCCGATGGCGTCAGCGTGCTGACCGGCCGCCTCGGCGCGATGCATGGAGCCATGGTAGACGCCATGCAGCGGAGCCATGGCAGGCTCGCCAGGGCCACCTGTGCGTCCTGGCAAGCACCGAGATGTTGCGACCAAAGGTCAAGAAGCATGCAGCTAGCGTAAGCACGACCGAGGGGGCAGCTGTGGACTGTACATCATCATGTAATAGGCGTGTGTTTATGATGCGGGCTGGCGACAAGGGTCTAGTGCGGGCGGGCTTGGCGTGGCAGGCGTGCACGTCGCGACGTGGGTGGACTCTCTACGTCGCGGGCGCTCTCGCAGCTGCACCCGATCGGGTACTCGGCCGTGCCATCGTCGACGACGAGCTTGGGCATGGTCTCCATGAGCTTCTTCTTGAGCTCTGGCGGGCAGTCGCAGGATGCAATGTTGAGAAAGGCGAGGTGTGGGCATTGCTTGGCGAAGAGGACCGACCAGAGCCGCGTTTGGCGCTCGATGGACCGCGCGGACGGCGCGTTCGGGTCGGTGCTGAGCGCGAGCATACTGCGGTTGCCCCGCAGCTCGAGCACACGGAGAGACGTAAGGCCAAAGGACTTTGTGAGCTGCCAAAAGTGCGTCGTAAGGAGCTTGCAGTGCGCGAGGGTGACGTACCAGAGCCGTGGCGCGGCCTTGAGCACAGCAGCAACGCTCGCGTCGTCGACCGCGCAGCCCGAGAGATCGAGCACGTGCAGGTTCGCAGCGCTGTTGTTGGCCAAGCTAAGAAGTCCCACGGATGTGATTTGTGTACAACTCAGGCCCAGTTCCAGCAGCGAGGGCATGTCCTGAAGCGCCAGGAGACCACCGTCGGTCACGTTCCGGCACATGTTGAGCTTGAGCGACTCGAGACGCAGGGCGCGAAGGTGCTGCAGCCCGAAGTCGCCAATGCGCGGGCAAAACGAGAGGTCTAGGAACTGCAGCTGCGAGAGCTGCGCAAGGTACTTGCAGCCATCGTCCGAGATGCGCTTGCACCCGTGAAGGTTGAGGTGCGTCAGACGGGGCAGGTGCTGGGCCACGAGGGCCAGCGTGGCGTCCGTGCAGAGCGTCCACTTGAGCGAGAGGCGCGCTATGGATGGATACCGCGGTAGCACGCAGCTTGCGAGGAGCTCATGAATCTCGAGCGTCGAGTGCAGATCCATGATGCGGGCATGGTCGTGGGCGAGCGCGCGGAAGGCGTGGCAGACCAAGCTCAGCGTCCGCACGACGACGAACGAGTCGAGGTAACCACCATAGAGCACCCTGCCCCAAACCACGTTCGTATCCTGAGGCTGGCATGGTCGCCGATCGAGCTGGCGGAGGTCTTCTGGGTACGCCTGTCGCTTCGCCATGGGCTGGGAATCCTGCCTGCTGCCGTTTCGATCCATTCGGCCAATGGATCAGTTCTTTGCTTGTTTCGGACTTTTGCCAGTTTATGGCGCCGCTTGAGATAGGATAGAGCCTAATTGAAAGACTCCACAGTCCTAGTTAGGCTTTCCAAGGGTTAATTGGCGAATGCTACATCGCGGCGCGACGCCGTTCCAGCGCGTCTGCGTCCGCGGTCTCGACGTCGTCGTCAAGCGCGACGACCTCTTCTACCTCTCGGGCAACAAGGTGCTAAACGAGCTACGTACGCTTCTCATCCTGCATAGTTTCGCAAACTCTACTGGCTCATTGAGCAGGACGCCACGTACTTTGATCGTACGCAGCCTCTCGATGTATGCACACGCTCATGGCCGTAGACAACCACATCTTTAGCTACGGTGGGCTGCAAAGCAATGCGATGCTTGCTATCGCCCAGCTCGCGCATCTGAAGCGCGTGCCGTTCACGTACTTTACAAAGCCCACAGAGCTCAAGTCTGCGGGAGCGCCGGTCGCGACGAACTTGAAGCTCGCGACGGACCTTGGCATGCAGCACGTCAAGCTCTCGTCGCACGAGTACGAAGCGCTGGCAGAATCTCGAGAGTTTGGGCCATTGGTGCCACCGGCAACGTCCAAGTGGATTGGCATTCCACAGGGTACCGTCCATGAGCGTTAGCCCGCGGACGTAACCATAAGCGCGTAGGCGGTGCCACGGCCGATGCAGAAGTCGGCGTCCAAGTCCTGGCCAACGAAATCAACGCATTTGCTTCCGGTGAAGCCAAGGTGCTCTCCGGTGGGCGATACGTGCGAGGCTGAGAAGTTAACTTGTAGCCGCTCAGTGTACTCTTGCCCAGTGGCACGGGCACCACGGCATATTACCTCGCCAAGCATCTGCGTCCCGGCATTGACGTCTACACAGTACCCTGTGTTGGCAGTGCAGCGTATCTCCGTCAGCAGTGGCAGCAACTGGAACCGAACGGTTTGTCAACCGGTGATTGATGAACCGTGACAAGAGCACTCTTGTAGCGCTGGTGGCTCGGGCGCGTATCTTGTCGCCAACGAAGCGCGTTGCTTTCGGGTCGCTCTGGAAACCTCTTCTCGCCATGCACAACGAGCTTCTGGGCGCGACAGCGATCGAATTCGACCTTGTGTACGCAAGCCTCGCATGGCACACGCTCTTTCACGCTCTCGAGACGCAGACGCTCGACCTTACGGGGAGGCAGCTCGTCTACGTCCACTGCGGTGGTACCTCGGGCAACCCAAGCCAACGCCAGCGCTACGAACGCAAGTGGCCGCGGCCGTAATCTCAACTGCAGTCCCACTCTGTTGCGTCCACACACTTCCCACGACGTCCGATGCCGGCGCCTTGGCCCACGACCTTTTAAATCGAGATTTGGCTCTCAGATCTTCGTCTTCTACGGTAGCAAGCTAGAGCTAGAGCGCTATCGAATCTCGGTCTATTGCGTGGGATGATCGGCGAGGGTGCTCACGCCACTCGTGGTCCACGATTATACAAACGGCTAAGTCAAGTTTCGAAAAGGTGCCACCAGCCGGAACCGTTCCCGTCCAAGATCGTCGCCCTTGGCCTTTCTTGTACTTGTATTTTGTATGTACCTGAGCCAGTTCGTAGAAGATACGCTTGATTGAGGCAGTCTCGAGACTCTTGTAGATAACACGTATACCGGCTTTGTCTAGTCAACACGAGCGGTTTCGAGGTCGAACTCTTGGCGCTCACAAGTCGCTTTGCCATGTTGACCACGCAGGCGTGGAACCGCTATGAGCTGGCGATGCACCTGCTAAACTATGTGCATTTCGAGCTCGCGGCCAAGCGCCCAACGCTCGTCAAGGCCGACACGCCCCGCACGACGCGCCTCCTGCAGCGCTGCACGCTTCTGCGTACTTGATGCATGGATGATTGCCGCATCTCATGCCAACGTTCTAGTCGAAAAGTACCATCCGACGTGGTTTCTCTGCAACGGGTACGACCATGACACACAACGACTGGTCGCGAACTATGGTCCTGCGCACGTAGCCACCTGCAGACGTTCATGGTCATTGTGAGCGACTCGCAGCCGCCCGTCCTGTACAAGCGGCAAGAACTCGTGCTGGACGACGGTGGCACGGTCTCGCTCGACTGGGCGCTGCCTTCGTCTGTCTCGGGCCACACCGACGACGACAGCGCACTCGCCGACCTCGACGTACCCACGATCGTACTCTATCCCTATCCGATGCGGCCACCTCATGAACAGTCCCACTCTAGCTGCTCCTGCATGGCTTGTCGGGCGGCAGCCACGAGGTACGAGGTGACACACCGTCTATCGTGGAGGCTCCATCGCCATCGTAGGAGTACATGATGCAGACGGCCGAGAAGCTCCTGCGCAAAGGGTACCGCGTCGTCGTCATGAACGCGCGCGGCTGCTCCAACACGCCCGTGACGACGCCCAAGGTCCGTATTCTTGTCGGTGTCAGCTCACAGTGGATGCTAGCTCTTTTGCCCCGCGTACACGCAAGACGTGCGGGAGGTCGTCGCGTACTTGCGCAACGAGCACATGCACACGACGACGCCGTTTCTCGCCGTCGGCTTCTCGCTCGGTGCCAACATTTTGACCAAGTACGTGGGCGAAGAAGGCTCAAATTGCACGCTTCTCGCGGCCGTCTCGGTCGGCAACCCGTACGACTTTGTGGCGACCAACATTCACATCACGCACTCGTGGTTCCGCCGCCACGTGTACAACGCCGCGATGACCAAGAACTTGCTCCAGCTCGTCTTCCACTTGGTCTAGTTTATCGTTGTCACTGCTTATTTCTAATAATGTGTACGTAGAGCGACGCCCACGAGCAGCTCAAAGACCACCCGGACGTCGACCTCTCGCAGCTGGAGCAGGCCAAGACGCTGACCGAGTACGACAATTTGTATTCGCGCCACGTCTTTGGGTACGAGACGCCGATGGACATGTACCGTGACGCTTCAAGCACCGCCTGTAAATACGCTGGACTAGTGTGCAATAAGATGCTTATTGATGCGCCTAGACATCAAGGACATTGCGATTCCGATGCTTTGCGTCTCGTCGGACGACGACCCGATTTGCACGAACTCGGCGATCCCGTACAAGGAGTGCCAAGAGAACCCGAACATCGTGCTCGCCGTGACGCACACAGGCGGCCACCTCGGCTTCTTCACGGGCAACGGGCTCTCGGCGTCACCCGAGCGCTGGTGCGTCGACGTCATTGAGCAGTACTGCTCCAGCGTTCTGGAACTAGCTGAAGACGACGGACATTTGACCAAGGAGTCGATCAAGAAGGTGCAGTCGCTGCCCAACCTCCTCCATTTAGACACAGCACTGCACGAGCCGGAAGACGACGACATCGAGCCCGCGGTGTCTTCGCTCGTCTCGTGGGATGTACTGGGCTACGCTGCGCTCGGCATCGGCGCCTACATGTGCTGGAAGCGCGTCGTGGCGTGAGAATATTGTGGTGAATATCGTAATATATATATATATATATGTGTGTATCTATATACAGAGAGTCGTACAAGCCGGTATCCTTCCCTCGTTACCACACAAACGGCGCTTGGAGGAACGGGGATCGAAGCGCATGAGGCCGAGGGCGAGCCTGGACCGGTCGGCGCGGCAGGACGACGACAAGGGTCCCGTTGGGGTGGAGCTGGTACGAGAGATTGCGAACGTCGATGAGCTGGAGGGCAAATTGCTCGCGAAGGAGGAAGCGGCCGTAGGTGGGCGACGTCATTGACGGCAGCTTGTAGCCCGTCACTTGCAAGACGCCGTCGGGGGTGATCGACACGCTCAGGTTGGCAGGATCGACGCCAGACAGGTTGGCAACGAGGGCGAGACCGTCGAAGTGTCGCCGGATCTCATACGCCGGCCGCCAAATCGGCAGCTTGGCCACATCTGCGGGCGACAGAGGCTCGTTCGTCATCGCTTCGTCTTCTTCTTCTTCGCCGTCGTCCTGGTTGTCATCTTCAGCGTCTTCTTCGGCGTCGTCTTCGGCATCGTCCTGGTCGTCATCTTTGGCGTCGTTCTGGTCGTCTTTCTCGTCGGCCTGATCGTCCATAGGCTCATCGACGTTGTCGTCGTTGTCGCACTGGTTGTCGATAGTGTCATTTGCAGCCTTGGTCGGGGAGGATGGAGGCGTCTCGGGGGCAAAAGGCGCGAGGAGACGCGACGCAAAGGCCGAGAGGTGGTCGCACTTGGCCTTGAGCGCATCGGCGTCGCAGAGGAGGTCTTGAATGCGAAGGACTGTCTGCTTGCGCTGGAGGCGGATGGTTGGGTCGCCGTCGCTCAGCACCAAGTCGAGGTCGCATAAGAGGCGCGTCAAGAGCTCGCCCTGCTCCAAGACGCGGAAGCGGTGGGCTTGGAGCTGCAACATGGTCTTCTTGTAGATCGTCGCATGGTCCTTCGCGGGTAGCGCGGCGCAGAGCCACTTGGCGCCCATGACGGCGGCGGCGACGATCTGGTGCTGGTGCGGGAGGCGCGACTGCAGTCGGTCTTGGATTGGGTTGATGCGATCAGCGATCGCTTCGAGCTGCTTGGAAGCTGTTGTCATGTTGAGTGCAAATGAGAAATGAGAAATGAGAGCTTTGGTGAGCTGGCGCGCCCGTGGCTTTTCCAGTCGGTTCTAGAAATTCGCGCATTTCGATTGGCGTCTCGAACTTGCCGCGGCTTCTGATTGGTCAATATAGTATACTGTAGAAGCGAATATGCATCCACGTACAAGTATTGAGAGGTTTCGGGTTTCACCGAAGAAACAAAATCTTGTCCCGATGGACGGCTTCGACTACGTGGGCGACGAGGACCAGTGTCTCCTGCTCACGGACGGCTTCGCCCGCTTCATCCAAGTGCTCTTGGGCTTCTGCGCTATGGGCGTGCTCTACGTCAAGCGCGAGCTCGAGCAGCCCAAGCGCTCCTTCAACGTAACCTACGTGGCAGCCGCTGGTAGCCCATGGCGCGATGTAGGTCTGGACCTATGACGTGAGCAAGCAAGGCATCGGCGCGCTCATGATCCACATGCTCAACATCCTGCTCTCCATCTTCTTGACACGCAGGGCCGACGTCAGCGACGACGAGGTGCGTATGGTCGTCTTGGCATCACTCAGTGTACTCTAGTGTGCAATCTACTTTATGACGTTCCTCATTGACGCGACGCTTGGCACTCTTCTCGTGCTAAGTAGATACTTGCGTGCATGCTATTGCAAGCTCATGCGACCATGCGTAGTTCTGCTTCGCCAGATGAAGAAGCTGGCGACGCGGTTGCAGTGGACATCGATCATGCGCTCGGGCGAGTACGGCGACCCGCCCAACTTTCGGTTCGCGTCGAATCATTGCAAAGCAGTGGAGCGCTCATGGCACGACGCGTAGCATTTGGCTCAAGCAGCTTCTCGCCTACGTCGTGCTGCTGCTGACCATGAAGTGCCTCGTCATCCTCCTCATGTACACGGCCTACAAGCAGCTCGCGGCGATCGCAACGTCCGCGTTTGCCGTCTTCGCGCGCCACCGCCACTTGGAACTCGTCCTCGTCATGATCCTCGGTCCGTGCGCCATCAACGTCATCCAGTTCTGGGTCCTCGACAACGTCCTCAAGACTACAACGACGACCGCCAAAGGCGAGTACGTGGCAACGCCCACGACCGACGACGGTGACGCCAGTCTCCTCGACGACACGCCGTCACCCTAGTTTCTCCTCTGTCTCTGTCTCGTGACGACGTCGCGTCCTCATGCCATGACGACTCGCATCACCGTGTCTTCGTATTAAATATGCACAATCTATTCAAGTTCTTATTTGTGGGACTGGTGCAGCTTGTCCTTTTGCATTTGCTGGCGCCGTTTCTGGATGAGCTCTTCGACCGAGAGCCCGCCGGTCGTATACGTCGAGGGCTTGCTGGCTTCGGGCGCCGGCGGCGGGTCGTTGCTGTTGGCGTTGCGCAGCGCGACGATCGAGGCGTTGACGAGCCGCTGCAGCGCGTGCACTTCGCGGCAGAGCCACTTGGCCGGCTCGCCAACGCGGTCGACGCCGCCGGCGGTCTCGAGCGTTGCGTCACTCGCTCGCGCGATCGCGTCGACGAGCGCCTTGATCTTCTGCTCCATGATGGTCTGGACCGCCTTGCGCTCCTTCGTGAGCGTGTCGCAGCGGCTCTGGAGGTCGACGTGCTTGGCGTCCCGCACGGCCGACGACTCGATCTTTTCGCGCATCGCGTACTCGACCGAGACCTTCTCGGACCGGACGTCTTCGAGCTCTTTGAGCGCGCGGCTGTACTCGGCCGTCTGCGCCTCGAGCACGCAATGGAGCTCGGCGATCTTCTCGTCCGCCGACAAGAGCCGGTCCTTTGGCGGCGTCGCATTGTTATCGAGCTTGGCCGAATTGTAGACAGTCGGACGCTCGTACGGCACGTACTGCTTCGCGCTTCCTTCGGGCGACGGCCGCTGCTGCTTGAAGCCCCACTCGCCGAGCGCCTTGATGAGCTCGGCGTTCTTGTTGGGCGACGTCGCGTTGTGCTCCATCGTCACCCGCTGCAAGTGGATGAGCTGCGCCGTCTTCTCGTCGAGCTTTTCTTCGAGCGCCTTTTGGTGCCGGTCGTACGCATCGAGCTCGTCCTAGTTGATCCAAGGTAGCGTAAAGGCAGGAGAAGCGACGAACGAACGAACCTGCAGCGCCATGATCTGCTCGTCGCGCTCGTTGAGGCGCTGCGTGAGCGCAATCATTATGTCTCGCTGCTTGAGCAAGAGCTGCTTGTACCGATCGACCTGCGCCTTCTCTTCTTCGATCGTCTCGCGCTCCTTCTCCAAGTCGGCCAGTCGACACTCGTACTCTTTGCGAATCCGGTCTTGCTGCTCTTTCAACGCGAGTCGAAACTGCGGGTCTTCGGTCGAAAACTCGGTGCTTTCCGTCGACGACGTCGACGTGGGCGGCTTCTTTTGGTGGCTCATGAGCATCTGCGACGTGAGCATGATGATGCGTTGCTCCAGCTTCTTCTTCTCTTCCTTCTCGAGCATGAACTCGAGGCTGCGCTGCTCCAGCGCGCGGATCGCGGCCATCTTGTCTTCCTCGGCGCGCCGGCGCTGCTCGTCGAGCTCGAGGAGCCGCCGCTTATCGACGACGTTCCGGTTCTTCTCCTCCAACTCGGCGCGGAGCCGCTTGAGCTCGCGCTCGTACTTGCGCAGGAGCGATTTTTGGTCCAAGTCTTCGTTGACGCGCGCTTCGTTCTTGATGTTTTTCGCGCGGTTGGCAAACTTGAGCGTCGACAGCGACTCGACGATCGCCTCGAGCGCCGGCGAGATCATCGCCATCATGGTCGTCTTGCAGTTGCCGCCGAGCGAGTCTTCGAGAATTCGGGTCAGCTTCGAGTCGCGGTACGGAATGTGCTGCCGCCCGCGCGCGTCGGTGAGCGCCGCGATGACATTTCCCAAGGCCGAGAGCGACTGGTTGATCTTCTTGCTTTCTTCGAGGCGCTGGCCGGTCGCACCCGAAAGCCGGACGCGCTCCGAGCCGGCCAAGTCGACGAGGTTGAGCTTCCCGACCTTGAAGCTCTGACGCACGAGCGACTCGAGTTTGGTGCGGTCTCTACTCAAACAACTCTAAATCGACACGTGGCCACTCGTACTCCGGACGCACCGCGTTGGCTGCGAGTTGACGAGCGCTGTGAACTCCTCGAGCGCGATCTCCTTCCCGGTCGTGTCGACGTACATGGTCTGGCTCTGCTCGGCGATGATGATAAAGACGGCGTGGGACCGCGACGAAATCTCGTTCATCTTGGTGCTGCCCGTCGCGCGCATCGCGCCACCGCGCTCCATGAGCCCGTAAATCTCCTCTGGCGACCGCACGACCCACTCGGAGAGCCCTTCGACAAACACGCCCCGCTTCTTGTCTTCGCGGATCGTCAAGTTGTTGCGCTCGGGCTTGAGGAGGTCCGAGATCGACTCGTTGTAGATCTGGAGGTACGACGCGCGCACGAGGAAGCGCATGCGAGCGCTCACATTTGCCTGAATATGCAGGAAGATCTGCTCGATCGCGCGCGGAATGATCCCCCGATCCTCCAAGGAGCTGCCGCCGCTCGAGTTGAAGCCCTCCATGGTGTACGTCTTGCCCGTGCCCGTCTGCCCATAGGCAAAGATCGTCGCGTTGTAGCCTTCGAGCGACGACTCGACGACCGCTTTGGCTGTGTTTTCGTAGACGGCGCGCTGTGTGCTGTGCTGGTCGTACACGTGGTCGAACGAGAACGAGTGGTTGCTGTACGACGAGCCGGCGTTGAGAAGCGACGGGTCGTCCGGCGGGTGCGACGAATCCGAGACGCTGAGGTAGTGCCCCGACGGGTCCACGGCCACGACGTTCTGGAACGGCTTGTCGCTCTGGAGCTCGCGCGGCAGCGGCGGCCGGACGCGGATCACGACCTTAAAGTTAGACCCGTACCGATGGCTTACACTCGAGCTGTGGCTGCTGATCGAGTCGCGGTCGTCGTCGTCGTCAAGAACGACCGGCGCTCGGCGCGCAGAGGGCGACGGGGTCGCGTCGCGTGCGACCTGGCGCTTGAGCGCTGTCGTCCGCGCGACTGAGCTCGTAGGGCGACTCAGTGGCTTGCTTCCGCGGGGCGATGCAGTGTAGTCGTACATGGCACCGCTCTTCATACCTCCATGCATTCACCTGCGCGCGGACCAGCCAAGCGTCTTATTCCAAGGAAGGAAGGATACCGAGTGGCGTCTCGTCAAGATATGTTTGCCGGATACGACGCCGGATAACGGGCCGTGATCGCGTGGCGGCACCAGCGATCAGGAATGCAGACGCGTCGGCAGGCCGTCGCCAGGAGCTCCAACGCGTCAGTCGTCGTCTGCGCTATGACGAGCGTGGCTGACAGCCCGGGATGCAGGCCAGCGCACGAGCTCGTGTCGACCTGTCGTAGGCGATGCCGAAGCCAAGCGTCAAGTGGCCAGGCATGCTCTTGTTGGCGTGCGGGAAGCTACCGCTGCGAGCTGTCAGTAAGGGCAGGCAAGGCGGAATCAAAATGCATTCTTATATTGACCCTTGGGGCAGGCGACATGTCGAGCATCGGAGGTCTTCTGTGCTGTGCTCGCTCAGCCAGGTATGCATCCGGTTAAATGCGCACAAAACCTTGGTCGTGTTTAAACAGTTTGCCGTGTTGCGTTTATGGCTTTGAGAAAGTAAAACGCGAAGGTTAAATGCGTTTTGCTTGGCGAAGTCGAATAACCATTTTCGAAGGATGGACCGCTTCAAGGAGCTCGACCAGCAGCGCGCCACGATCGAGGCCGAGATCGCGCTCATCGTGGAGGAGCTGACGTCAGGACCCAACCCCGCCGGGCTCAAGGGCCCGCTCATCGACGCCGAAGGCTTTCCCCGCGGAGACATTGACGTCTACACCGTTCGCCACAAGCGCCACCGCTTCGCCTGCCTCCAGACCGACCTCAAGTTCGTGATGAAGGACATTGAAGACGTGATGGCCGGGTACGCTCGGCGCCATAGCCTATCAAAACTTATGGTATGTGGCGCAGCATCTACTCTGCAAGCAAGCCCGCGGTCCCGACCCCAGGTACGAGTTCCATGAAATCGTTGCCGGCCTCATAAGCCGCTGCAGCCCAAGCGCCCGTGCGGCCTCCCGCGCCCATTCGGACTCCAGAGAAAGAAGCGCCTCTGCTTGTCAAGGTTGACGACCCTGTCGGTACGTCTCGACTGCGATAAACAGCGTCCTACGGTCAACATCTAGTGCTCGAGATGGCGCCGTTCGCGCTTGTCGACTCGGTCCAGCCTGGTGCGTTGCTTGCACATACATGCCTAGGTCTTCTCACGGCGTGACTAGACTCGCCCGCAAGCGAAGCGGGCCTCGAGGCCTACGATAGCATCATTGCGTTCGGGAGTGCCAACGCCACCAACCACCGCGACCTCGCTGCCGTGCGCGACATTGTGCTCCGCAACATGAACATGCCGATCGAGGTTGTTGTCGAGCGCAACGACAGCGACCGCTTCCGCCTCCAGCTCACGCCGCACCAATGGCTCGGCAATGGCGTCCTCGGCTGCCTCCTCGTCCCGTACAAGCACAGCGGGTAGCCTACACCGTACTAAGCCTTCGCTCATACCATGTTGATATTGCACTAACTTTGGCTCTCATGACGCGATGCACTCGCCTCGTATCGATCCCGCGTCTCGCTCTCTCGTAAAGCATCTACACTCGAGAAATCCGAACTGATGACGCCAAATGAGCTGTTTCATGCAGAAGCTAGCACGAGGACTCGGGGCTTGATCAATATGGCATCACAAGCAACGAAGGTTGGCCTGTAGGATTGCCGCAGCTGTAGATAGACTATCGCCCTGTAGTCTCATTCGACTCGGTGAATGCGAGCATCCGTGGGGCCAAGATGGGGCGTCGCGAAACGTCCTTGGGTCCATGTTGCTGTCGGTGGCCGCCATTGCCACCACCAACCGCAAGAACGTCGCTGCCTTTCGCACTTTGAAAAAGGCCAACGAGCGGGAGCAATGGACTCGTCGTCCGACGCTAATCTCGATGACGTCGCCGTTACGCTCGAGTCGGACGACACGAGTCGCATGCGCACGTACTGCGCAAGTGAGCACTGCGCGAGCGTGTGGTTTCAGGCGCCGATGCCGACGAACGCCGCAGTCTATTACCAGCACGACTACAAGGTGTACGACTACCTCCAGCTCATTCTCCATCTGTTCGATCCCAAGCCAATGCACTTTTGCGCCAAGTGCCACGAGACCCTCTCGCCCAAGGAGAAGGCGCAATGCAGTGGCCACGACGGCTCGTGGACCATCTTTGGTACGTCCCGCGTCGAAAAGTACGACCTCTACGTCTCCTTTGTCGCGCTAAGTCGGCGCTTTGCGATGCCACTACTCGTCTCGCTCGTCGGCTTTCCGCTCGTCGCGCTGCTGCAAGCGCTTCGGTGCCCGCTGCCCGCCCGAATCACCGAGCTCTATGCGCACCTGCCCCGCTTCCACGCATTTCTGTCGTGGGCTTACCTCTGGGCGACGTACGCCAGTATCGTCTTCTCCTTGCCATTCACAGCCCAAGTGCTCTTCTGGGGCCTCCTCGAGCTCTACACGGTGTTCCTCCTCGTTGTCGGACTCGCGTTTGCGACGACGCTCAAGCAGCGCGGCCGGTACACTGCGCGCTACCAACTCTTTTTCGCTCTCCAAGCGATCGTGTTTCCGAGCGCGTGCCTCCTCCTCCCGCTCAATTTGATCTTGTCGATCCCCAACACGCACCTCCTCGGCCTCACGACGGACCTCCGGACGCTGGAGCTCGTCGACGACCACGAACGGCCCTTGGAGCCGAGCTTTCTCCCCAAGCACTTTGCATCGACGCGGCTCGCGCGGTCGATTCGGTCGACGCTCGTCAAGTGGGCGATCCGGCTTGTCGTGCTCGTCAACTGCACCATGGGCCTCAACCTGCTCCTGATGCTCTCGTGGACAACGTGGGTGCTGCCGACGACCCCGATTCTCCTCCCCGGCTTCAACACGCTCGTCAACTCCCCAGACAACGTCCTCTACAGCGTCAAGGGCCACGTCACGTCGAGCTGTACACCGGGCGCGATGAGCCAGAGCGTCCAAGGTATCTGGAGCTTCTTGCTGGAGCCGACGCCGACGACCGCGCGGGGTCTCCCCACGCTGGTGCTTGGGTTTCGTACTGAGACGAACGAGCCGGCAACCTTCCGCTTGGAGAACGCAGCGTCGCTCGACGTCCGGGGCCAAGAAAGCACGTCGTTTTCGTTTGTCGCCAAGCACGGACAGGCGGCGTTCAGCTTCCTCGGGACCTTTTACAACACCACGTGCGGCGACGTGCAGGCGCTCACGCCGCGCCTCGAGACCGTCTACGCCGACATCTCGCTGCAGCACTACTTGGACCTCGTGCACGGCGCGCGGGTCGTGGCGCCGATCCCGGCCTTTCTGCTCACCAAGTTCCTCTTCCAAATGTGCTTCATCCCGCAGTGCGTCGGCACGTGTACGCTGGTCATCTGGACGTTGTGGCGGCAGTTTGACGCACTCACACCGCGCATCAGTTTGACGCGAGGCCGGAACGTTCTCGCTTGGTTCCGCCTCCGCTGCGCGGTGGTCGCGACCGTCAAGCTCTACGCGACCTTTGTGCAAGTGCTCGTGTCACTGGCCATGATTCAGTTTGTCGTTGCTGTTGGCGGCCTGGCAGTCTACTGCCTCACGGGGACGGCGCCGATGCCGACGTACTATCTGCTCATGGCGGCGCTCGCGGGGTCGCTCTCGATCCTATTGTACCTCTTCCCGCTCTCGTCGGTCGTGTCGCTCCAAGCCAACCACGCCGACACGCTGCGTATGCACTTGCTGCAGCTGCAAGATGCGCGCTTCTTGGCCGAGGCCGACGAGGGCCGGCGCATCGAGTACTTCAAGGCGCTCATCGACAAGATCGACCACCACGACGACTATATTCGGTACTGGGGCAAGCGACTCTCGCCCGACCAGCTGCTCGGACTCAGCGTCACGCTCGCGTCCGGCATTTCGTTTGTCGTTACCAAGTCGGTCCAGTTTAGCTGGTCGACGCTCAACCCGTGGTACATTTCATATTGAGAATCAGAGAAACAAGTTATGTATCGTCGTCGTCGAGGACGTGACCGTCGTACGTCAAGACGAGGACGTGGGAGCCGTCGAGAAAGGTGGAGCCGGGCACGAGCTTGGGCACGAGCCGTCTCGCCGGCGTGTTCATGTCAAACTCGACGAGGCCATCGCTGCCGTTGAGTGTCAGCCGCATCGCAGGCTGCGCCATCTGCGTAAAGAACCTAGCCTGTCATCGCACCTCGAGTCCCCATGGAGATGCCTACCGCTTGGCGTAGAGGCTGTAGCCGGACGCGCTGGCAAAGACGCCGATCGTACTCGGCGGCTGCTTGCCCAAGACGCCTTCAAACTCGCGCAGGTACGTCACACCCGTCGGCTTCTCTTCGTGCTTGCACTGCGTCACGATGCGGATCCGAGATGCATCCGGGAAGGCCCACATACCCTATGTGTGCTGCGTGAGAAAGGCCGGCAAATAGTTCCTACAATGTGGTCGATGCCTCCGTCCATCGACATGGCCGTCGGCGCGAGGTCGCAGCCAAGCTTCCGCAGCTCCTTAGCCACCATCTCTTCGTACGCGACGCCCTTGGCGGCGGCCGTGGCGTGCCACCGCCGACCAAACACGCTCGGCAGGCCCATCGCGCATGTCCCACCGATACGGATTCGGCATCCGCCACACTCGAAATAGTGTGATACGACGAGCGCAATCGTCTGAGGTTGCTGCGAGCGAAGCTGTTGATGCGTTGCAGGCACCTAGCACTGCGCTTTCTTTCGCAAGCATCGGCCTGTCTATGTAGCTGCCGCATCACGGCCGACCTGCCGCGCCACGGCCACTTCTCTGGCCTCGCGACGACTTCCACCAGCTTGGTGCCAACGCCAGCCTGCGACGGCAGCTCGGTGTAGTGCAGCTTGGTGTAGTGTGTGGCTACTCTAGACTGCGAGCTCAAGCATGGCTGTGAGCACAAGCAGTAGCACTGAGGTCCACCTTGACGTTGTGACTGCAGAGACAGCAGTTGCCCGACAGGTGGCGCTATCACACACTATTTACGAGGTGAGCTGTCTAACAACAAGCCATTCGCGAATTGCCATGGCTTCGTTCCAAATGCTCAATGCGCCGGCGACCGCCGTCGAAGAGATGCTCGACGGCCTTGTCGCGAGCTCGCCGCAGCTGACGCTCGTCGCCCAGCACAAGATCGTGCTGCACCGCAACTTCAAGCAGCTCCAGGCCAAGCAAGTGACGCTCCTCTCGGGCGGTGGGTCGGGCCACGAGCCGGCGCACGCGGGCTACATTGGCGACGGCATGCTCACGGGCGTCATCTGCGGCGACGTGTTTGCGTCGCCGACGACCAAGCAGGTGCTCGAGGCCATTCGCCTCGTAACTGGCCCCCACGGCTGCCTCCTCATTGTCAAGAACTACACGGTATTACCGAGCTAGTGTGGCCGATGGCCTCATCCCGATGCATAGGGCGACCGCCTCAACTTTGGTCTTGCGATCGAAAAGGCCAAGGCCGAGGGCCTCAAGGTCGAGATGGTCGTCATCGGCGACGACTGCGCGATCCAAGGCTCCAAGGCCGGACGTCGAGGCATCGCGGGGACGGTCCTCGTGCACAAGGCTGCCGGCGCGCTCGCTGCGCAAGGCCACTCGCTGGAAGAGATCCAGGCGCACGTTAATAGCCTCGCCATTGCGTCCATGGGCGTCGCCTGGAAGTCGTGCACGCTGCCGGGCCACGCTTCCAGCCAACGCGTCAAGGCCAACGAGATGGAGCTCGGCCTCGGCATCCACGGTGAGCCTGGGCTCCTCACGGTGCCGCAGGCGTCGTCCAAGGACACGACCGCGCGTCTCCTGAAGAGCATCTTTGCCGACTTGCACGTTGCGGGTATGTTCTTTTGAGTTTTGAGTTTCGATGCCCACATTGCCTTTTAGAATACGAGACGATCGCGGTGCTCGTCAACAACCTCGGGTCGACGACGGCGCTCGAGCTCAACGTCGTCGCCAACGACGTTGTCGAGTGGTGCAATGCGAAAAAGGTCCACGTGTCTCGGCTCTACGTCGGCTCGTTCATGACAGCCCTCGACATGGCCGGCGTCTCGCTCAGCGTCTGGAAGCTCAGCGACGGCCACTCGAAGTTACTCGACTTTGCTGTCTCGGCGCCCGGCTGGCCTTATGTGGCGCGCGACGACTTGAGCGAGCTGCCCAAGGTCATTACGGTGCCCGAGCCGCTGGTCGTGCCGCCGATGGCGACCGAAATGGCGTCGGGCGTCGCACCGACTGTGCGCATCGGTATCGAAGCGGCGACCGCACGCATCATCGAGGCCGAACCCCAGCTCACCGAGTGGGACGCCAAGGTCCAAACTTCTCGATACATTGATAGTTTACATCGAACTCCAGGTCGGCGATGGCGACTGCGGCGAGACGCTGCAGACCGGTGCCCAAGCGATTCGTGACGCGCTTCCATCGTACCCGCTGCACATCCCGTCGGCCACGGCGCACGCCATTGCTGCTACGGTGGCCGACGCGGTTGGTGGCACGTCTGGCGGTACTACAGTCTCGGACGCCTGGTCGTGCTCACATCGACGTCGTACTAGTGCTCTACACCATCTTTTTCACGGCCGCCGCCAACGCTCTGTATGTATTTGACCACGGCCACGCCGTCGACGGGCTCCCGACCGACGCGTGGCGCGCTGCCTTTGGCGCGGGCATTGCGGCCATTCAAAAGTACGGCGGCGCGGCCGAGGGCTCGCGCACGATGATGGACGCGCTCCTCCCGGCGATGCGCGCCAGTGCGAGCGTACACGACTCATCTTGCAGCAGCCATCTCTAAGCGTGTGCTGCGTAGGACGCGACGGGGGCGGCGCTCTGGTCTGCCATTGTGCAGGCGGCCGAAGCCGGCGCCGAGTCGACCAAGCACGTGCTCCCGAAGAACGCATTTGGCCGCTCGAGCTACGTGGGCGCCGAGTTTGCCAAGAACATTCCGGACCCGGGCGCCATGGCGGTCGCGTTCTGGCTCGCGGCGCTCGCGACAGCGTATGCATAAGCCGTCAATGGAGGGTGTAGCTTGCTGTGTGTGTGGCGGAGTGGAAGCGCAGTCTACTGTTTACGAGGAGATTACTACTGACGCGGCTTTTGCTGCATGTCTGTCAGGAGCTTGTGGCTCAAGCGCACGAGCGTCGCCCCTTCTTCCGGCGTCATGTCGCCCGCCGCACTAGACACATGCGAAGAATGAGTCGGCTCGAACGAGTGTTGATGCATACCTCCATCGCACGCGGCCCTTGGCGTCCACTAGCTGGACGTAGCCGACAAAGCTGTTGTACAGATCCAGCGTCGTACGAAAGTCGTTGCAGCGGCCAAAGTGCGTCAGCGTCTTCTCGAGGTCGGTCGTCTTGGCCTTGAGGCCGTTGCGGATCATACCGTTGAACGCCTTCCAGTACCACTCCTCGACAATGTTGAGCTGGAGAACCTGGATCGTCTTCTTGTCGCCAAGCGCCGCCTCAAAGTGGGCACGCCACGGTACGATGTGGTCAAAGCCCGAGTTCTTGAAGCACGTAAGGAGCAGCGTGAGCTTCCCGCCCGTGAGGTTCTTGATGTCGTAGTCCGAACCGTTGAGGTTGTTGACGGCGAGCGACGGCATGAGCGGCGCCTTGGCCACGGGCACGAGCTCCATGGGCGCGACCTACGCGGACATGAGCGCAAATGCAAGCACGGACGCGTGGCGGCGTACGATGACTTTGCCGTTCGTGTCGTTGAACTCCTTCATCTCCTTGAACTTGTCGGGTACGTACTCCTTCGGGCGCTTGGCGTCGATCTCCTTCATCATGTCTTCCATCGTGTGCATGGCTTCCTTCCAGTTCTCAAGCACGCTCTTGTCGGCTTGGTACACGAGCTCTACCAGCATGCTATGCATACGCATGGAGCTGCATGGAGCCTACCGCGGTCGCTGGCCATGGCCCGGCGCGGCTTGGCAGGTGGCGCCTCCGGAGGCGGCGTCGTGCTCAGGAAGCGGGCGACCGACGGCCCATGGACCGCGATGCGCGAAGTCCGCCGAATGTGCGCCAGCATTTTGGGTACTGAAGCACACCAATCGCAGATACTACGAAATACGATTCCAACTTCGAACTTCCACACTTCGAAACCTATGCAAGGCTCGAAAGATCGATCATCATGCCCATGCTTCATCCTGAAAGCACCATGCTGGAGCGAGCTGGAGTGCTTCATCGTCGTCCATGCTGGTGCATTCGTGGGTGGCCAACATGCTGAATCGACCGACGTAGAGAGACAAGAGGATGAAAAGACCAAGTGTGTCATTGTTAGGTTTAAAGTACCGCTAGAGAAAGACATGCAAGTGACTCTTTTGGTACAAAGCCCATCCACCACGTCAAGGTAGAGTCACATCGGATGGGAAAAAGATAGGTGCAATCACCGACATGCAAGAATACATGGAGTTCCCAATCGGCCTACCTCCCAGACGCGTCACTGGAAGAAGATGCAACCGTATCCCACGTGCAGACCTCGGCGGCTTGTAGATCGCGCGCCTCGTATGCCCATGTTGCCGTAGCCGACCGTGTCACCCCCGTCTCCAGACCACATACACCTTCGCGTCCGACTCGTGCTGCTCGACCCGTGGCGCGTCCTGCTGCGCGCTTGCGGTTGTACTGCTGCTGCGCTCGATCACACTGCTCCGGTGCTCTCGCGCTCGTCCTGCTGCCCGCTCGTTCAGATGCCCGCTCGTTCTGCTGCTGCTGCGCTCTTGTGCTCGTGCTCTGCGCCGTCGTATTCCGTTGCGGCGGCCATTGCGCTCGACCCGTGCTGCTGCTGCTACGTCTGCTGCCTGCTGGCGCTTCTCATGCTCGTGCTAGCGGTGCTTCTTCATGGCGCTGCCGACTTGATCGCGTTCGCTTCGTCGGGGAGGCGAGGACGCAGGGATCTATTCAAGCCTGGGCTACCGGGCGGGGCCACCGCCGTAGAATGCGAGTCTACCGCTGTCTGGGGCTCGGTGCGAATTGGGAACTGAGCAGCACAGAACGACCGCTCCGCCCACCCCGTCCGGATTGGCTGAAATCTTTAGCACCCTACCCCTCTTCTGTATACTGTATTCAAGTTCACATGTCTGCGGCCGTTGAGATGGCTTCCGATTGGCCAGCACAAAGATTCGAAACTTTCGGCTGCCCTGTCGCTTAACTGAATAGCATCAATAGTCGACTAACCACGAGGTTTAACCCAAAAACCCAGCTTCGAAATCGAACATGCCACGCGATTACATTTGATGATGACGCAGTATCACCCAGAAAAACCGTACTTTTTCGGGTGCTTTGGGATAAAGCTGTCCCTCCTCTGCAACATGGCCCTAGTCGATTAGTCGACGAAAGTGCAACGTCGCTGGTCGCATCGGGATGTGGCGGCGGCTGTGGCAGTGGACGCTGCCGCCAGTTAGCACGTACTAGTACAGTGTAATCCGTCGACCTGGGTGTGGCATGTGCAGCCATGCATCGCTATACCAGAACCCACCGTCGACAGCGTAGGCGATGCGGTGCAGTGCATGAGCATGGCGAAGGTGGCGATACACAGTCAGTCCTGCGCTACTGTATAGTAAGGACACCAGCCCGACGTTCTACCTCAAATGTGACCGAGTAGTTGCCGATGGGTTGGCGGGACGACGCGAGCGACCGCCGTTTCGACGCAGTTTCCGACGCTTCACACGCGAGAATGCAGCCGCAGTGGCGAAGCAGGTCGGCGTCGGCTACGTCATGGTCTCCGTGGTACTGAGTTGGCTCTCGCTCGTGGCGCCGTACTTGGAGAACGACTACAGCCGGCCCGACTATTACGCGAGCAATGCGTCCGATTTGCTCACGCGAAGCTTCAATATGGAGCGTGCGTTTGTACCGGCGACGGCGACCGGCTGGACCACCGGCGTCTCCCGCACCGAAGTGAGCCTCTCGCCGGCGTACCCACGCAAGCTGCTCTACGAAGAGCTCTCGGCGCCAGCGCCTGCGATACAAAGTCTGCGCGAAATGGACCGCGCAGCTCTCGATCGCTGTACTGCTGGGCAGACCTCGAGCTACGATAGCAGATGGCGTACACGTAGCGCGGCAAGAGAGGACTCGACCAACGACGAGGCCGTCAGCAGTCTCGATTTCTTCGTGGCTGCATCACTTGGCGCAGACGTTGCCGTGGCAGAGTTGGCACTCGTTGGCTTTGCGAAAGAGCCGGAAGGTCTTCTTGCAGTGCATGTACGCCGACGCATTCGCGATCACGGGCAGTGGCGGCGGCGCGTCCATCTGAATGCGGTGCGCAGCCGTGCACTTGGAAGATGTGTTGCGCAACATTGACCCAAGACGACGAACGGCCGCTTCGTGTGCAGCTGGTGCAGTGCATCAACAAGACGGCTCATACGATCGAACTCTATCGCACGCCGCTGCTGCTGGCGAACGACGTCGAGTGGTCGTTCTTTGGCTCTACGAGTGGGCCATTGGCACGCGCCAAGTCGTCTTAGTTGCACGCGACCGTGGCACCCTCGTGGCTCTCGCTGAGCCCCGACCCGGCCAACGTCCCTCAAAGCCTCGCTTTGCGGCCGGATCGTACTGCACATGCTACGTCGTCAGAAGTGCATCGAAGGTTTCAACCTCCTCGAGCTCAACCGGCTCGTCGGGTCACGGCGCTGTGCATGCTGCACTCGACGCCACTCACCTTGCGCTGCGTCGGCGCAGCCACGTGCTTTAAAGCGCCGTGTTGTCTCTTTCCACGACGGCGCTCGCTGCGTTCAAGTCGCTCTGGCTCGTCTTCGTGCTGCGTGCTGCGTGGGCAGCCTCGTGACGCCATCAAGAGCGCACTTTTCGTCTGGTCGTCAACTGTCGTCTGGACAAGCGCATGGACACGCAGCTCGCCTGTCAGAGTGCGGCGTCACCGCGACCGTCGTCGCCTATGTTTTTGAGCGCTGGTACCAGCTGCAGCTGGCGCCGGTGACGCTGCGCACGCTGCTCTTGTACACGAGCAGCTACTATATGCTCGATACGACAGCATGGTCGAAGTAGAGCGATGAGTACTCGGATCCTACGTCCGCCAATCTGGACCTGAACCTGGCGTATATCGACGTACCTCTTTGACATCAAGACGTGGCGGCGCCATTGCTTTAGCGATCTTCGACTGCCGCGTTTGGGGGCGCTCCCGCTGTCCAGCTTCTAATATCAAGTTGATGGTTGACATTCTGGTTTTGTGTATAAAACACTGTTTCAACCAGAATTTCGAATGCCATCGGAATGGTTATCCGGCACACACTTTCAAACAAGCTCATGGAGAACTGGACAGCGCGGCAGGTCGCCGAGTGGGTTACGCGGTCCGGCTTTGCCGAGTACGCGCAGGTACGACGCCATCGCATGGGCTAGCCTCATGGCGCTGCGTAGACCTTTGAGAAGAATGACATTACGGGCGGTATGTGTTGGCGCTGGCAGCAGCACCGGCTTATTATGACCATGTCCTAGATGTGCTGCCCACGATCACGAACGACGTGCTCCGGGAAGACCTCAAGGTCAGCGCGTACGGTCACCGCATCAAGCTCGTCAACGCGATCCAAAAGCTCATCGAAGCGTGCGCTACGATCCCAGCGGCGAAAGACACTGCGCCCGAAATCGCTCGCGCCTCGCCGCCCGCTGCCGCCTCGCCGCCGGTCGCCGCCGTCGAGCCCGCGCCGTCGCCAGGGTCTAGCCCACACGCGGCATCGTATTTGACGCCAGCGATTCTTGTAGCCTTGCTTTGCACTGCGCGGTGCTCACATGTACATGCAGGCGCCATTTCCTGTCGTCGAAACACCGGCCGAGGTCGCGGTCATCGAGGACCCGCGGCCGCTTCCCGAGATTCCCCGGCGCAACATGCGGTCGTTCTACAACTCGGACGTCGGCCGCGCCCTTCGCCTGGACCCGACGCGGGCACACGCGCTCGTGCAGGACACAAGCGGGAAGCGCAGCCACTGCGTACTCTGCTTCTCGATCAGCTCGACGAGCCAGCGCCGGCGCGAGATGAACACCAAGTGGCAGTGCGCAGTCTGCCAAGCGCACCTCTGCCGCACCAAGTTTGGGAAGGAAACCACGAGCTGCTACGAAAAATTCCACGCACTGCCCTTCCTGGAGCAAGTGCAGCGGCCGCGGCCCCGGCCCCGCCAGTACTTCATTCTGCCCGACTGGGACCCGGCCGTGGACTCGCTCGAGAAGCTGCGCCAACGCGCCGACCATGCGCACGACGACGAGAACGAGAACGACGAGGCGTAGACAGGGTGAAAGTGTATATAAGCGACGGGTGATGGATCACTGACAATCGTCAATCCCACTCGCCCCAGTCGTCGCGACTTGGCTCCTTGGCCTCGGCGGCGTCCTGCACCTCGGCTGCAAGGGGTGGCGCGGGCAGTGTCTCTTGTTGGGCGGCCAGCGCCGCTTCAAGAGCTTGGATCTGCGCCAGGTACGTCTCCTTCGCGGCCGCTTCGCCCGCCGCAAAGCCACTGGCTTCGGCCGACGCAACGGCAGCCTTGACCGTGACGAGCTCGGCGTCGACTTCGTCCTTCAGCTTTTTCATCTTCATCGCGCGCGCCTTCCAGAGGTCCAGCTCCTTGGCGTGCTGCGCATCGGTGGTGGTTGCTGACGGGGCTGAAGCTTCGGACTGCCGCAGCGCCCAGAGTTGCTGGGCCAACTCGAGAGAGAGCACCGAGGACGCAGGCACCTCGGGCATGGCAGCTGTCGACGAGTCGACCATTGCCTCCAAGAAGGCGCGAAGCTCGTCGCGCTCGGCTTGGGCCTCGGCGCGGATCTTGGCGACGATCGACTCGCTCTCGGCGATCCCTTCTTCGTAGCCGCTCGCCTTGGCGTCGTCAATGTGCAGCGTCATCTGCATCATCTTGGACTCGTAGTCGTCGCAGAGCGTCTTGTACTTGTCTTGCTCACTATGCTCGAGCGACCGGATCACTTGCTGGAGGTGGTCGACTTGCTCCTTCCACATCGCAACGTCTTCGGCGGCTTCGGCCGCGAGTCGCTCCTCTTCCATGCGTGCCTCGTACGCGATGCGGGCTTCGCGCTCGCGCTCTTCGCGGGCGGCTTGCTCTTGGAGCAGCTGGGCGCGCCGGGCCTCCTCCCGCTTCACCCGGGCTTCCTCTTCACGCTGCTTGGTAAACTCGCGAAAGTAGTACCTACACAACAAGTCCACTGTCAGCAAGTCGTCAAAGCACGAGTCTACCGCGTCCAGAACTCCTTGTACGAGAGCTGCTCGGGCACCATCGCCGTGTGGAGGTCCGAGATATACGTGTCGTCCTTGAGGATCGCCGCGACCTCCTCCGTCTTGTCGTCAAGGTCAAATACATCCTGGAAGGCCTTGTAGTCGTCCAGCTCCTCAAAGATGATCTACGAAGGCGTGGCCATGGGCCATCATGCCATGGGAAGGGCCATGTTCTACCTCGTCGACAGGGTTGTCTTGCTGCAGGCTCATCGAGTTGAGGAGCGTCTGCGCCTCGTCTTGGACCTGCGCGACGATGATGGAGGCCTTCTCCTGGACCTTCTCCTGGACTTGGACGACGCGCTCCTTGGCCGTCTTGGCGGCCTGGTTGGCGGCCTCATAGAGCCACATGCTGCTGCGCCTTGTCGCTTTCGAGCGAAAATCCTCGTATCCGGACGAATGCCCACCTCTCCCGAGTGTCTTTGGATCTGGTCAATCTCGCTTTGAGCCACTGTCTGCTGGAGTCCGAGGAAGAGTTATGGGCATAGACCGAGTGCGAAGGACGTCTTGTCACAATGAGCCTGCGTGCAGTTTGCCACTGCAACTGCACTGCGCTGATACCACTGGAGCTGATGACCGCTACGACCCACACCCTTGGTGGCCTACCCGCACCTGTATCCAGCATCAACATTCTGTTTTGAACAGTGTTTTTCAGGACCTTCGATATTTGGATATCCAGCATCGGCATTCTGTTTTAAAACAGTGTTTAGGACCCTCGACCTTCGATATTCATCTGCGATCCTTGGGAGACAGATCGGCGGCAATGGAGCTCGAGCAGGACCTCAAGGAGCATGGCGTCGACGTCGTCTGCTCCAAGATGGACTCGGTCATTAGCATGCGCGCGCACGGCGCGACGGGCAAGCGCCTCGTGGAGACGCTCCGGCTCATGGACAAGTACGTGGCGCTCAAGGTCACCAAGCTCGTCAAGGCCTGCGCCGACCACATCTACTGCGACCCGTGCTTTGGTCCCAACGACGCCGACCTCTCAGGCGCGCGGGCGCTCTGCAAGAACGGCGACGTTCGCCCTTCGCGGCCTTCTCGCGCTGCTCATGTTAGCTCGCGTCGTAGGTTGTCCCGTCCAAGGGCGGGTCCCAGCACCAGGCCAAGGTGCTCAAGCTGCTCAAGGAAGACAAATTGCGCTGGGAGCGGCCGCGGTACGCAGCAGCAACCCAAAACGTGCTTGAAGAAAGCGACGAGTCCGAGTACGTCCGTGCTCCTGTTGTTGCACAGTACTAACGCTGGCGTAGGAGCAGCAGCCACCGCCCGACGGACGACGACCCTGTCTTCTGCGACGATGGCGAGCTCTTCCGCGGCGGCCTCGCGAGCTCGGGCGACGTCATCCAGGGCAACCTCGGCGACTGTTGGTTCCTCGGTGCGTACAGAATTCTCTGCGCATTTCACATCTGAGTAACACAGGCGCGATCAGCGTACTGGCCACGCGGCTCGACCTGCTCACGCAAGTCTTTTGGCGCGACGACCAGTACAAGGGCCACGGGCTCTTTGTATGTCGCTTCATGAAGGTACTCCTCCTCGTGTCACAGCGACTTTGACAGCCGAGACAGGATTTTTCCTGGCACTACGTCATCATTGACGACCGCATTCCAGTGTTTGGGTACACCAACAACCGCGCCGGCAAGCCCTTCTTTGCACGCTGCAGCGACCCGAACGAGCTCTGGTACTCACGTCCTCGTGGTGTATGCGATATCATTCCGGGACTAGGGTGCCCCTCATGGAGAAGGCGTACGCCAAGCTCCATGGAAGCTACGAAGCCCTCATTGGCGGCTACATTGACGTGGCGCTGAGCGACCTCACAGGTCTCTGCTCGGAGCAGATCATCCTCAAGCCAGGCTACCCCGGTACACCTCTCGTACCAAGAAATTTCATTTTCGATGGAAACGGGGTAGGGTTCGCTGAAGACCCGTACAAACCCATTCGGGCGGACCAGAAGCGTGGCGACGAGTTTTGGCAGAAGCTGCTCGAGTACAAGCGCAACGGAACCCTCATGGGCTGCTCGATCCAGCCAGACCCGAAGAACGACAAGAACGTCGTGGCCGAGGGCAGCGCGGGCCAAGGTTGGATGTTCTATAATCACTAGGCAACGTTTTCTCGCGGTATCGTAGGACTCTACTACAAGCACGCGTACGGGCTCGTCGACCTCGGCGAGATCACGCTCAAGGACAAGTCGGTCGTGCGACTGGTCAAAGTCCGGAATCCGTGGGGCATGGGCGAGTGGGTAGTATCAATGTTTCAATATTGCAACGTGAACACCAATACATACGTAGACGGGGCCGTGGTCCGACCAGAGCGACGAGCGAGAAGCGTGCGACGACGAGATCCAGCGCGTCTTCAAGGTCATTGCGCGCTCTGTGGGCGAGAACGCCTACTCCAAGCTCCACCGCGAGCGTACGGTCCTGTCGGCCGCCGCATTTTCATCTCGTTGCACGGTAGAGCACTCGCAGCTGTCGGAGCTCGTGCAGGAAGACATTGCCGAGATCAACCAGAACGACGGCACGTTCTTCATGACGTACGCCGACTGGTCGGAGCGCTACACGCACTTCTTTGCCGGCATTGGTACTACGCGCTTGTACGATCAGCAACTAAGATCCGAGTAGACTTTGCGGACGAGTGGTGCGGGCGCCGCGTCGAAGGCAAGTGGGACGAGATCTCGTGCGGCGGCAACACGAGCAAAGCCACGTGGATCAACAACCCGCGCTTCCAGCTGCACGTGCTCGAGCGCTGCCACCTCTTTATCGCAGTGAGCCAGAACGACCCGCGCGGCAAGGTCGACGGTCGCGGCCTCGTGCCCATCGGGTACTCTCTTCCATCCTGAGCCTTTTTCTATCGACAAGCGTCCGTAGCTTCCACGTCTGCTCCGTCTCGGAAGGGGCGAGCGGCGCAGTGGAGATCCGCGAGCCCAAGAAGAAGGCGGCGCCGTACTACCGCTTGCACCCCGAGGCGTCTCGGCAGGCGCTCATTGACGGCACGGCGGTTGAAGCTTCACCGCCGCCCATCATTCCCGGAACGGTCATTGCTGGCGTGGACGATGACGGCGTGCCCCAGCCAGCCTACACGCTCAAGCAAGCCGCCTCGGTACTTTGAAACGATATCAAGTTGATACTGAGACAGTTGCGATAGGTCGACATGCACATTGAGCCAGGCCGCTACTGCATCGTGCCGAGTTTGTACATGCGCACGGTACGGTTTGTATCAATCTATCAAATGTTCACGGGGCGCAGGACAAAGCATCCAACAAGACCAATGTCGGGCCGTTCTGGATCTCGGTCTACGGCAACAAGCCGGTCTTTGAGCTCGAGGGCGGTGAGCCCATCATCGAAGAAGAAGAGATTGACGAGAGCGCGTGCAAGAGCAGTCCGTCGACGCCAGCACCGTCATCCGCCGTCGTTCTCACACCGATCGTGGTGCCGGGGGACGGCGCGCGTCGCCAGTTTGAAAATCTCAAGGAAGAGTTTCTCGCCCAAGCCCGCCTCAAAGGTCCTCATCCATAGTCCAAATTTATTGAATCAACAAATTGTCTCTAGGGATAGGGTTTCGTGAAGCCAAGCGCGAATTTACCAATGCCGGACCGATGCGGCGCGCCGACTTCAAGCGGCGGATGCTAAACCTCGGGTTCAAGATGGACGAAGTGAGTGACGAGAAGGTCAATGTCCTCTTCGAAGGCCTCGATCTCGAGAAGAAGAACACGATCCATGCGAGCGCGCTCCTTGAAATCTTTGTCCGCGACATTGACGAAGACCGCGTCGTGTCGATCGTGCCCGAGAAGGAAGACGAAGAGGTGCCCGAGAAGGTCAACCAAGAAGGCACTCTGACGCTACGGCTCATTGGCGGCAAGGACCTCCAGAGCGTCCAGGTGCTGCAGACGACGCCCCCGCTTCTCTCGTTCCCAGCGCTGACGTTTGGTCCCAAAGACATGGCGCTCCAAGAGGCGTGCATGATGGAAGTGCTCGACGAGATCCCGTCGCTCATTGCCGAGCTGCACCCGAAGTTTCTGCTCTCGCTTCGGCCGCACGACCCAATCTTCCAGAGTCGCATCTCGTCGCTTCTCGAGGTCGTCAAAGGCCCCGCCAAACTTCGCAGCGGCTCGCGCCGGCGCGGCCCCAAGAAGAAGCTCGTGCGTCATGACACGACGCCCGTGCTGCACTTTTTGGCGGCCGTGAGCGCGAAATTCCAAGCCGCTGTCGCCAAGGAGGAGGAGGATCGCAGGACGGCGCCGCCGCTCGCAGAGACAAAGACGCGCTTCAGCTGGATGGCGCTCGAGACGGCGACGACCACTCCCGTCGCGACCGAGACGCCACGGGACGGCAACGATCTCCACTTGAAGCTGCACACGAGCAGCTACATGCAGTCGCTCGAGGCCAAGCGCGCCGAGCGCTTCCGCCGCATGCAACTCAAGAAGGCCGAGGTCTGCGGCGACAAGCAAAAGCTCGCAAGCTTGCCGCGGCTCCTCGGCGGGCGCAAGACGGGCACCAACACACTGCACTGCATCGACTGCCACGCAGCCGTCATCCTCTCGGGCAAGGGCGACGGGAGCATGGAGCTCACCTGCAGCGCGCAAGGCTGCGTCCACGTCTTCTGTACGATCTGCTATGGCAAGCTCCCGGCGTGCGAGAAGTTTTGCGACGACTGCTACCTCCACGAGCACGGCAACATGGAGGTGCTCGGCATGCAGCTGCGCTCCGTCTTGCTCTCCAAGCTCGCGGCGTCCGACGCTCAGCTCATTGCGCTCGACGAGATGTTTGCGACGCTCGACGAAGACCATTCGGGGGACTTGACCGTCGCCGAGTTCACCAAGGTACTCGTTAGGCTCATCGATGTGCGAGTGAGAGAGACTGGTAGTTTTTGGAAAAGCTGGCGCTCCACCCGCCGCTCTCCAACGCGCAGATAGCGGCGCTCATGGAAGAGCTCGACGTCGATGGGAACGGCACGCTGAGCCTCGACGAGTTCAAGCGCTGGATGCTCGGGAAGGAGACCGCGTGGGCCCCCGAGATGGTCAAGGACGACGACGAGACGTGGCGTCGGTCGCCGCGCGCAGGCCGCCGGACGACGCTCGAGGCGGCCGAGCGGGCGCTGCTTGTGCCGTGGATCGAGTCGGTGCTTGTCGACTTGGTCGCTGACGTCCTCGGCGCAATCGCCAACACCCCGACGCCGTGGATCGTGACGGCGCATACGACGCCGACGCTCGAAGTCGTGAGCAAATCGGCGCTCGATGTGCGCTGGGCCAGAGACAACGTCGTCTTTCAGCGCATGGCGGCGCTGCCCGTCATCGACGGCAGCACGGACGAGTGCGAGAGCATCGGTAAGCTCTTTGCCCGCTTCGACGTCAACGGCGACGGCTCGATCGCGACGGACGAGCTCGCATTGCTCTTGAGCTGCGTCGGGCTCGAAGCCACCGCGCTTGACGTACGCTTGCTGTGCCACCGCCTCCAGCGCGAGCACGGCCAGATCTTCTTGTCCGACTTTGCGACGTTTGTGAGCGCCGAGACCAGTATGGTTTGTATCAACTTCCCACTTGATACTAAATGTCGATGGGTTTTAGGTGTGACGACACGGGCCCGCGAGCGCGCGCTGGTCGAGACGCTCTTAGACTTGGAGCAGCGCATCAAAGAGCACCGTGTTGTGGAAGGAGACGTCAAGACGGCGCTGCAGACGCTGCATGTGGGCATGCCCGTCCACGAACTTCTCTGGCTCAGCAAGACGCTCCTGGACCGCATCGGACTCGCCGTCGACGTCCTCTCGCTGCAGCGCATTGCGCTTGCGTGCACGCCGTGTATCTACAGTCCGTCCTTGGCCTGTGCTGGGGACGTGCTCTTGGCGCTGCTCCAGGCGCCCGCGGGCCTTGGTGGCACGCTCCAAGGCTTTTCGGTCGAGGTCGTCAGCAGCGCCATCCAGCGCCTCTTCAAGATCGCCGCCAAAGACGAAGAACTCGAGTGGGAAAAGCTCGGGCCGGCCCACGTCGAGCAGCGCGAGCAAGGACCGCTCATCGAGGGGCTGCTCCGGCGCGGCCTTCGCGTGCTCGAGACGCCGGATCTCGACAGCCTCGCGATCGAGAACCAAGTGTGCGTCGCCTTGGCGCTCGACGCGCTTCGATACCGCGACGCGCAGCTGCCGCCGGTCGCGACGCACGACGTCTCGCGTGGCCTTTTTCTCTCGTTGTCGAGGTCCTTCTGAGCTTGAAAATGAGGATCATAGGAAGTGGGTAGGTATACGACGCTCCAGCGCCTCGAAGACAAGCTCCGCCGGACGCTCCAGCGCATGGCGCGCGTCGGCAGCGGCCAGCAAATGTACCAAGTGACGTTGGCCTTCAGCACTGACAAGTCACTCCACGTGCGCGTGCTCGACTCGATGCTCAAGCAAGCGATGACGTTGTCGTTCGTGGACGCAGACATGGACACGCGGGGCGTCCCGCTCTTTGACCGCCGACCGTACGTACCCTACACCTCGACTAGGATCTTAGCGGGGTGTAGGGCACCTGGTGCGAGCCATTGGTCCTTGGGCGTCGTCAACGCCGAGTGGTACCCAGAGCTGAATGCGTACTTCTTGGCTCTCTTGCGGCGCCTGCGCATTTGCTTTCGCGACGACAATGGCAAGAAGCAGCCGTTCGTCGAGTTTCTCGAGAGCCAAAGTAGCCGAATCCGAGAGGCTTGCGCTCATCGGCGACGTAGGCTTTGTCGGGAAGCTCCGGCGGCTACTGCAGTCGACCCGCGTGCCCTTTTTCTGGGCCGTCTCCCCCGCGATGCTCGAGTTTAGCGTCGACCGCGCGACGCTGGACCGGGCCAACATGCGTCTGCAGCCGTACACGATGCTGGCGCTGCAGGCGTTGCCGGCGCTCGCCGCGTTCTTTCGCCAAGCGCACTCGAATCTCCGCGTGCACCTCGAAGTGCTCGACCACCCCACGAGCATGTGGCTGTCCTGGGCCGAGTTCAAAGCGTGTCTCGCGGGCCTTCGTAATGCATATGCATCGATCCAGCTGCTTCCGCAAGGCGACACGTTCGTGACGCCCCCGGACGACGGCGGTATTCCCTTCCTCCTCTTTCCGGTGCTGCAACATGTGAGGGTGTAGGCGGCTGCACACCGCAATGGAGCTACTCGACGTCCGTCCTCGTGCGCGAGCCCGACGAGTGCGTCCACAGGTCGGACCGCCCGGTCGTGTACGTCGATACGCAGCCGATCTTGGGTCGTCCCGACAGCTCGGGCACGAATTTGATTCCGTTCACGTCGCTCCCGGCGCTAAGTCAGAGCGCGACGCGGACGTTGCACTTTGTGGTCGTGAGCGTCCGGCGGACGGTGCCATCGAACGCCGAGGCGCCGCATCTGTACTGCACGGCGTACGATCCCGCGACCGCGAGCGACTACGAGGTCGTCGGGACCCCCACCAATTGGAACGTGAACTTCTTCGACCCGGACGTCAACCCGGACGTCGAGAAGCAGTGGTTGGCGCTCTTGAGCAAGATGAAGCTCGGCCGCACGATCACGCCCAAGCTCTTGATTCGCCTGTACAACAAGCAGCCGCGGTCCGACCGGCTCATTGGCGAAACCGAAGTCTCGATCGCGTCGACGATGGCGCGCGAGGGCTACGGCGTGCACTCGTGGTTTGCCATCTACGACCCAGTCTCCGAGGTCTTGAGGATGGGTCACTGCACTGTGTGTTCATGCAACGACGTAGCTCTGCACGGGCCAAATCGAGCTCCAAGTGCAGTTTGAGATGAAGACCAAGGGCGGCGACGGTCGCGCGATCGACGCTGCGGCCGCAGTCAAGTCGACGCCCAAGCTCAAAACCATGGCGAGCGTACCGGCAACACCAGTGGCACCGACTACTGACGACGGCCAAGTCACCCGCTTCAAGCAGCGTATCATCGAGCTCGAGGCCCAGCTGCAGGCCAAGCCCGAGCCAGCGCCCACCGAGACGACGTCGAGCAACAACTTACTCAAGTGGAAGCGGAAATACGAGCAGCTCAAGCAAGAGGCTGCCGAGCAACAGGCCGCCACCGAAGCCAAGTCGGTCCTCGTCGTCGGAGCGTAAGAGCTGATGCAAGCTTGGTCTAGGCTCGCAGCACTGCAACAACAAATGACCAAACTCGAAGCACGTACTCCACGTGTCGAGGAGGTAGCACCTGGTGACGCGTCGGCGTCAGCAGCGTTTGCAGCGCTCAAGGCGACACTGAGTCGTCGGTGCCCCGACCGACCGTTCAACGGCCTCAAGAAAGCCATGGTGGCTGTTGCCGAGACGCCCGGGAAGGTCGCCGTGCCGGCGCTGGAAGAAGTGCTCGATGACTTTGGCCTGCGCTTGGACGCCGCTCAGCGCCAAAATGTCCTTGCGCTGTTAGACCCAGATTCCTCCGGCATCGTCTCGATCCCGGGTACAGCTCCCGACTCGATTCCGGCTTCCATGAGCTTTGTACGTAGAGTTTTTTGCGCGGCTGAGCGGTGACGTGGCACTCAGTCGCGCCGCATCTCGCGCTGCTTTGGAGCCGTCGCCGCGAACCAGCATCGCCAAAAAGCCGAGTGTACGGCATCAAGTCGCTGCTGTTGGTTCTGAGACTCGGAGCGTAGACGCCACGCATCGAGCAGCCACCAAGTCCCGAGGTACTACCTCTTGTGAGGTATACATTGCTACGATCTCGACTAGGTGCCCGACGACGCGGCCGAGTCGCCTGCGGTACTTTGATGCACTTTGAGAGGTGCTCAAGATATCGCGTAGAAGCCGACAAAGACCTCAGCACCTATCGAGACGCCACAAGTGCGTCTCTAGTCCCTTCATACTTTGTGATAGCGTGTTTGCCAAGGAGCCTGTCGAGAGGGTAACCAAGCGACCCGCCGAGAAGGCAGAGCAACCGGCGTCTGTCAAGCCGGAGCGACCGCACGCTGTCAAGGTATACATCGAGCCCTTCATACCGAGTCTGTCATGCGCTCTAGCCCGTTGCGACACCAAATGCCGAGCCTCCCAAACGACCAACAAAGCTCAAGGTACCCACCCTTCTTCACAACGTAGCTCCCAGCAATTGCTCTGCAGAGTCTCAAGCCCGAGACGACACCAGTCGCAGCGCGGGACGAGAGCGACGAGCAACGAAGCAATAACGTATGCATCCGCCTTAAGACAAGCGCTTCACTGTGTGTAGGTGGCGTTCGAGCCAACGAGCGACGAAGAGGTGTTTGCCTACCTGCAAGCGCAGCTCCCAGACAAGTGGGACATGCAGTTCACGAACGGCGGCAAGCCCTACTTTCGCAACTTTGTTGCCAGGTGCGGGAACCAGTCCTGAGGGAGCTTGGCTACAGGGTACGTAGATCGACGCAGTGGAACCACCCGGATGCCGACGCCGACGCCATCTTCCGCAGCTACCAGCACGCCACGAAGAAGAAATCAAAGCGCTAATCCATTCCCGTTTGGCGATTTTGTATTTGCTGCTCGTCCTTGCAGCGTCCCACGAAGCTCTTGCGTCTTATTGGTGCAGCTTAATCGACCGATCGTTCAAGATATGTTGGGGCGCGACATTGAGCGAAGGGCGGCCAAATTCGAAATTTCAAGCACTCTCATTCGCTGATGAAATTATAGATGGACCAATCAGAAGGCGTTTGATAACAACTTCAACGTGGTCGAAATGCAGGCGACCAAGCCAGTTCCACCCAGTTGCAAATAAGATGCTTCGAGTCCAGCGCCAAATTGTTCGCCGCGTCGGGCTCCGCGCCTTCTCGGACAAATGGGCCGAGCGCGAGACCGCGTACGAGAAGAGCTACGTGAACCAGCAAGACGCCAAGGCGCTGCGCCACTTGCTGGCGAAAATGAAGGCCGACGCCGACGTCTCGGCCTTGGACAAGCTTCAAGCGACAGCGGCGATGCACATTGGCCGTATCCTCGGGCACCCCGTGTCGGCTTCGACGTTGAAGAAGCTGCTCGAATGGAAGTACGGCTCGTTGTAATGCTGCGTTTTGCGGCAATATTGAGTAATTTGACGGTGTATTTCTCGTATCTTTGACGCGCTCACGAGCCGCGCCTCCTCTGAAGCGGTGGGGAGTTTCGCGCCTTTTGACTGGCTAAAAATAGGACCCTCTCGGCGTCTTTGATTGGCTGGCACATTTATCTCGAGCAATCAGATCCGGCGAGATCCGAAACAGCAGCAAACAGAGAAAAGCGGCGCCGGCCCCATCCAAGCATGCTCGACGACCTCCTCAAGCTCATCAAGAACAGCCCGCGCTGGGCGCAGTCGCGGCTCGCCCGGCGGCTCGGCTTTGCCGTGGACGAGCCGGCCGAGGAGGACCCGGAGCCCGAGACCACAGACCACGGTTCGCACGCCGCCGCCTGTCTATCCTGCTAACTCGCGTGTCTGCAGAGAGCCTCTGGACCAAGCTGCGGGTCTCGGGCGCGCAGCCGCCCGTGCGCAGCGGCCATGCGTCTGTTGTCGGTGCGTCTGCAATGCGCTGGCGCCTTCGCTTCCTCATTTCTGTGTCTAGTGAATGGCATGATGTACGTCTTTGGCGGCTACAACGACGGCAACTGCCACTTTGACTTGTATGCGTTCGACTTGACGCACCACCACTGGACCAAGCTCGAGAACAAGGGCGTCGTGTCGCCCGACGGCCGCGCGTCCCACGCGTGGTGCGCCTCGGCCGACGAGACCAAGCTGTACCTCTTTGGCGGTTCAGGCCCGCACTGGGGCCAGACCAACATGGGCAAGCTCCTCCAGTTTACGCTCGCAACGCAAAAGTGGAGCGTGGTCACAACGGCCGGTACGCATCCACCGCCGGGGTACGGCCAGAGCATGGTCGCGATCGGCTCCAAGCTCTACCTCTTCGGCGGTACCTCGGGGCATGTCTATGTCAACGACCTCTTTATCTTTGACCAAGTGACCGCGACGTGGAGCTGCGCAGCCGCGACTGGCACCAAGCCGTCGCCACGCTACAAGCACCAAGCGGTCGTGTCGGGCAACGACATGTACATCATTGGCGGCGGTCTCTATGACCCGCCGAAAGGGCCCATCGACATGTATAAATTTGACGCGCTGTCGTCACACTGGACCAAAGTCGAGTGCGTCGGCGATCTGCCGCGGTCGCGCATCGCCCACAGCGTCGTTCTGCACACGACGTCGAGTGGGAAAGCGACATTTCTCATGTTTGGCGGGCGCGACGAAACCGGGGTATGTCCATCACGCAGCATCTCTCTTGGTAGCTCATGCGAGGTAGACGCGCCTGAACGAACTGAGCTCGCTGGACTTGGCAACGTCGACGTGGGTCCGACTGGTACGACATAGCATCACATCGGATTGCTCATTGCGATGCTAGTCGGAGGACGCCAAGGCGCCGGATGCGCGGGACTTTCACACGGGCGTTATGTGGGAGAGCGCCATGTACGTCTTTGGCGGCTCCAACGGCATTGAGCGCAACAGCGACGTCCACCGGCTTGCGCTCGCGTTTGAGCCGTCGACGCTGCTCGTGCTCGCAGTGCAAGCCGTGCAGTCCCAGTTGCGGTCCAACAAGGCGCTCCAGATGCAGTACCGGGAGTCGTATTTGCCGCTGGAGCTGCGCACGGCCGTCCAGTCACTCAACCCGGACGTCACGATCGCGTCGAACGACCAGTGGTTTCCGCTGCCGGATGCAAACCGCGCCAAGCAAAAGGTGCACCCGCACGCCTTTTGCAGCTAAACGCTGTGCCCCATCAATGTCATAATCGCCACCGTAATATACTCTCATAGACGCTTCTTCTTACGGGTCCAGCAGCTTCCACTGCAGCACGGCGCGGTCGTTCCCGCCGGCCGACACAATGTACTTGTCATCGCACGTAAAGCGCACGCAGGTGATGTGCGAGCAGTGGCCGTCGCCTTGGACCCACTTGGCCTACCGTCATCAGCTTGATACGATCTTGAAACATTGATAGATGCGTACGCCTTTGGTCAAGCATGGGTACCGAAACACTTTGAGTTTGGAAAAGTCGTCGCCTGTGGCAATGAAGGCGCGCGACTTGGACGCGCAGACGCTGTTGATGTCGGTGCCGTCAGCGCACTCGGGCCAAATGCCCTGGACGGGCCACCCGAGGGTGCACGTCCACGAGTCCCAGATGACATCCTTGAGCGCTTTGGCGGACCGCATCTGCTTGCCCGACTCGACTTCGCAAAAGAGAAGCTCGTACGCGCCGCAGTTGGACTAGCTACCGCATGAGTTTTGCGTGCAGTTGGCTCGCTGTACCTGGAGGTACTTGCCGTCGCGGGAAAAATCAAAGTGCGTAATGTAGCTCATGTGCTTGGCAAACACCTGCTTCTTGACGATGCTCGCACTCGCGCCAGTGCCCTGGATGCTGTAAATGTAGATCTTGTCGTCGTGCGACCCAAACGCCGCGATAGCCCCGGACGCTGCAAACTTGACCTCGCTACGCAACCTCAGCCGTTGGACACAGTGCGGGCGGGCACCTGATCGCCGCTTTGGACGGGCGATCTTCCAGCACGACCGTCGTTGTCGACGCTTCGTAGAAACCAATCATGCCGTGCTTGTTGCCTTTGGTCTTGCCGCGGCCAAGGTCGCCGCCGTATCCGATCGCAAGCAGCAGGCCGTCGGGCGAGTAGGCGACGGCGCGCGCCATGTCGTCGAGCTCCATGAGCACCCACGACGTCTTGAGCTTCAAGTTGTAGACGCGCGCGACCGCGTCGTCGCCCACGGTGCAGACGGTGTGGGGCTCGATCGGGTGCACCGCGAGACCCCAGAGCTCGTCTTTACAGTGGCCGCCGGTCACGGGCTTCCCGAGCACGAGCGTCGCGTTGCTCACGTCGATCTCAAAGATATCGCTGCCCCACGTGCCAAGAAGGATCTTGGTTTGGCTTGCGTCCATGCACACGCTGCGCACGGTCTTGCCTCGAAGCCCGCAGACCGGGTACAAGCTCTCGAGCACGAACGAGCTCGTCTGCTGGAGCGACGAGTTCCACACGCAGACCTTGCCGTCCTTCCCACCCGAGACGACGGTGTCCTACTCGCCAGCATCAGCGATGACGTTGCATGTGAGGCAGAGCGCACGAGCTTGGACGTCGAGTAGAGTGCTGTGAGCGCGCCGTCGTGGGCCTTGACGCTCTTGGTGACGGTGTTGCCGCACCATTGGTACATGTCGCCGTTGTCCGCGCCCGTCAGCGTCGCGTCGTCCTTGAAGCTGCACGCGCACCAGAGAGTTTGAATCGTCGCGAGCTTCCCAAACTGGCCCTTGGTGCAGCTCGCGGTCTTGCCCTGGACGGTCCAAAACAAAACGTGCTTGACACCCCCCGTGACCTACACATTTGTGAGCCGCTGGAAGGCAAGAGGCCAAAATGATGTACAAAGCGGCCGTGGCGTGCGTCAGCCAGCGCAAAGACGTTGAGCGCCTTGTCGCCGCGCGTCGAGGTTTGGAGAACTCCTTTGCTCCACGCGCCGCCCTTGTCCTCCCAAATCGCGAGACTGTGGTCGTCGTCGTCGCCGACGCTCGCAAGCGTCTTCTCGTCGAGTGCGAACGCGAGGCTAAGGACGCCGCGGGCGTGGAAGCCCTTGAGCTCGCTCAAGAGCGCACCGGAGCGCGCATCCCAGACGCGAATCTAGAGCAAGAGATGCGTTTGTCTCTACTGCAGACGACGGCCACTGACGCTGGGCTTTTTGCCGCGCTCGCCCGACGCAACGAACCGCCCGGAGGACGAGATGGCGAGGCTCAGGATGTCATCGTTGTGGCCCACATGGTGCTGCGACGTTTATTAGTACATACTAGACGCGTTTTGTAGTTAGTACCTTTTGCGTGTTGGTCGGACGATCGTAGATGATGCCAACGGCTGCGGCATGGTACACGATCTGTCCGTCGGCATTGTAGCGCAAGTTGTTGCGCGCCAAGTCGGCTTGGTAGCCATAGACCCTACACAATTACGTAGTCGAAGGTACCAGATTGAGTAGAACCGACCACTCGAGCCGTAGTTGGATGTCGGGGGCGCGTGGGTTCTCTTTGGGCGGGTTGCTCGGCGCACAGATAGCGCCGATCCACGGCTTGACAGCCATAAACTCGTCGCCGCCCCCTTCGGCGGGAAACGCGACTGGCACTGAGGTCTTGGGGAGCCCCTAAAATGACATTGCTCGCTTTTGCTGCGTGGCAAGACGGCGTACAAGGTCGTCTTCGTCGTCGCCCTCGGTGGCACCGGCGTTGGACAAGGCGGTCGCAAGCGAGGCTTTGGACGGGGACGTCTTGCCGACGTCGATCGCGGTGTCTTCTTCGGCGCCCGTCTCGTGGTGCCACTGCAATATCGACCGATCGAGGCCGCCAGTGCTCACGACATGCGTATCGTTGTGCAGCCAGCGGACGCTCGTCACGTGCGACGAGTGGCCAGAGTACGCGTAGGCGACGCTGTGCTTGGCGACGCACGGATATCGAAAGAGCTTGACCTTGCCAAAGTCGTCGCCTGTCGCCAAAAGCTGCATGTTGGACGACCGATGGACGGCGTTGATGTCGGTGCCGTCGGCACACGGCGGCCAAATGCCTTGGACAGGCCACCCGAGTGTGCACGTCCACGTCTCCCACGCGACGTCACGCAGACTCTTGGCCGACGTCAAGTGCTTGGCGCTGGACGGATCCGAAAAGAGGAGCTCGTACGCGCCGCAGTTGCTCTAGGCATGGCGTTGGCAGTGTCGAGAAGAGAATGTGGTGTTACCTGGAGGTATTTCGAGTCGCTGGAAAAGTCAAAGTGTGTGATGTAGCTCGTATGCTTGCGGAAGACGCCCGTCTTGACGATCGAGCTGCCCTTGATCGCGTAGAGATAGATGCTCGTGTCGTGCGACCCGACGGCTATCATCGTGTTGTTGGGCGAAAACTTGATCTCCGAGAGCCACTCTTTCGACGGCTTATCTTCAAAGACCATGGCGAACGTCTCGTCGTCTTTGACGACAATTAGTGTGCCGTACTTGGGGTGCTTGCGACCAGCCTCGATGCGTCCGCCGAGACCGACAGCGATCCAGTAGGGCGCCGCATTCGAGTACGCGCACGAGCGCGCGATGCACTCAAAGGCCTTGACGCGGAGCTGCATTTTGTGCACAGCGTCCCACACCCGCAGCGTCTTGTCGTCGCCGACGGTGCAAAACTCGTGCTTGGTCATGTCCGGGTGAACCGCGAGACCCCACAACTAGTAGGACAAGCGGTTGTAGTCGGTTGAAATCGAAGGCGCATCGTACTTCGTCTTGATAGTGGCCTTGCGTCACCACCGTGGCCTTGGCGCCCGTGCGGTCAAACTGCACAATGTCGCTGCCGTACGTGCCGAGGAGGAGGCGCGTGTTGGTGCTGTTGAAGCACACGCTGCGCACGCCAAAGCTGGCTTGCATGAGCTTGGCCGTCTCGGTCGAGAGGTTGAAGAGCTTGGTCAGCGGCGGCGCCACTTCGAACGACGAGATTTGCGCCAAGTGCACGTCCCATATGATGACTTTGCCGTCCTTGGCACCGCTGACCCACTCGGGCTTGGAGGCTGTGATCTAATATGAACATCCTATGGCGAGAGCCACGTCGACGTACGGGAGACTGCGACGGCAAACACGGGGCCCTTGTGCCCAGACAGGACCTTGATTAGATGTTTGTTCTCAAAGCAGTAGATGTCACCCCCCTGTGTGCCGACGACAGTGCGCGTCGGGGCCGAGTTGGTCCCCGTTGCATTTGGGATCATGCACGCACAGTGGAAGAGCTGCGGGGTACCGTGCTTGCCCAAAATCGCCTTCTTGCCCGTGATGTTGCGGCCTTGCTCGGTCCAGTGTGTGAGGTGCTTGTCTCCAAACGAGACCCACTCGTTCGTGCCTGGGTGGTGCAGCACACCAACCACCTACCGCCCTATTCGTCGCCAGCACACTTTGGCACACGACGTACCTTGTTGCGCTCGCCTTTGCCCGACGCCACGATGACCCCTTCTTTCCACTTGTAGATAGCCAAGCTATGGTCGTCGTCGTTCCCGATCGAGCACAGTTTGGATCCGTCCTAATGTCCCACAAATAGTCGAGCAGTAGCGATTGCAAGGCACTTACCGTCGAAAATGCCAGTGCCGGTACAGCGCGCTTGTGAAAGCCTTTGAGAGAGGCGAGGCTGATGCACTTTTCGGTGGCCTTTTCCGCCTTGGCGCTCGTGAGCTCCCACACATGGATCGTCGGCGGTTTGCCCATTTGACCGGTTGCGACGCAGCTGCCATTGGGGTGGAGCGCGAGACACACAATGTCATCGTCGTGCCCCTACACCTAGCCCTTGTCAAATGCTCAACGAGTGGGTAAGTACCTCGAAGAAGGTCTGCGTGTTGGTCGAGCTGTCGTAGACAACGCCGAGGGCGGCGACGTGGTACACGATCCGACCGTTGGAGAGAAAACGAACGTTGTTGGACGCCGCCTGCGCTTGGTAGCTACACAGAGCCCACGTCCTATCTCTCGTATCAGCGTGGTGCTTACCCATAGGCGTGGGCAAGTTGCAACGTCGTCGACGGCGGCTGCGTGTTGTCGACCACTGGTAGCTTAGAGGGCGGCACGATGGCGCCGATCCAGGGCTTGACCGCCATGAACTCGTCGCCTTCCGAGCCGCGGACGAGGTCCATATCGACGTCGTCTTCGTGGCCCTTGATGGGCGACCGCACAGGCGAGGTGGATGCTCTCGAGCCCTTGATTTTCTGCACGTCGTGTTTCCAAAGAAAGAGGCAGCGGTCGCCGCCGCCCGTCGAGAGCAAGTACTCGTCGCTGGTCGACCACGCCACGTTGGTCACGTGCGAAGAGTGGCCGTTGAGCGTCGCAAAGCCGGCATGCTTCTTGGCGCACGGATACCGAAAGAGCTTGACCTACACAGAGGCATTGGCACGAGAATGCGCCTGCGACACTACCTTGCCAAAGTCATCGCCCGTTGCTAGAAGCGTACCGGCATGCGACCGCGCAACACCGTTGACGTCCGACCCGTCGCTGTCCGGTGGCCAAATGCCTTGAACGGGCCAGCCCAGCGGACAAGTCCAGGAGCTCCACTGCTCATCCTTGAGCGCTGATGCACGCGTGACTTGCTTGCCCGTCTTGGCGTCGGCAAAGAGGAGCTCGTAGGCGCCGGACGTGCTCTAATCACGACAAGATGAAGGCTTTGACAAGACTTGCATCGTACCTGGTAGTAGGAGCTATCGGCGGAGAAGTCGATGCGCGTGATAAAGCTGCTGTGCTTCTTGAACGCGTGCTTCTTGGTGTACTGGTTGAGTGCGTCGTACAGCACGATGCTATTGTCGTGGCTCCCAAGCGCGAGGTACTTGCCGCACGGCGAGTACGTAATGTCCGAGATCCACTTTTTCGCGTCGTTGCGCTCGACGACCTACATAAAGTCTCTAGTCCCCACAACTTTAGAGTAGATAAGCCCAACCTTGGTCAGATCGCCCTCGTAGACGACGAGAACAGCGCCGTTCTTCGGGTGTTTGTTGACCTTCTCTCGCCCCGGCAGCTGCCCGCCGAGACCAACGGCAATGTACTTGCCGTCCGGCGAGTACGCGACGGCGCGCGCGAGGCAGTCGAGCTTGAGCCGTCGAAGTTGCTTCTTCTTGACCAAGTCCCACACGCACAAGAACTGATCGTCACCGACAGTTGCGCACTCTTGCCGCGTCGGGTGGGCGGCCAAGCCCCAGAGCTCATCAGCGTGGTGCCCCGACAGGAGCGCAGGTGAAATGGCTTTGGTCTTCAAGCTACAAGAGACCTCTGATGGGCGCCACGTCTAGAGGTTCGTACTTGATTTCAAAAATGTCCGAAGCTTGGGTTCCAAGGAGAACAGTCGTGAGGTCGTTGGAGAGACAGACACTCTGAATGCTACCAGCGCGACTGGCAAGGGCCTTGATGTCGAAGGACTGCGTGCTTGTGAGAGACCCTGCTTTGTCCGGTGCCCAGATGCGTACAACGCCGTCCTTGCCGCCACTCACGAGAGTCTTGTCCAGCAAGTACAGGCTCTGAACCGGGCCTGCATGGGCTTTAGGAATCACCGTCTGGAGCTCGGGCGGCTGAAAGATGTACAGCGAGCCATCTTGCGTTCCCGTCACGAGAAGGTACCCGCTGTCAGTGTTGAGCCACACGGCGGCCAGAATGCCCTGGACCGTGCCGGTCTTTCCAAAGATCCCTTTGGCCTTGGCGACGGTCTTGGGCGATACGTTGCAGGTCCAGACTTCGAGGTATTTGACGCCAACGCTCGCAAAGACGAAGTCATTGATCGGGTGCCACGAGACGTCGAGCGGCGCGGCCTTGTTGCCCTTGGAAAACCACGTCAACGCTCCCGACTTCCACTGGTCGGTGGTCGAGTAGACGCCCAAACTGTGGTCGTCGTCTGCCCCCAGCGAAGCGAGGTGGTTCCCAGAGGACGAGAACGCGAGCTGGATGATCCCTCGCTTGTGATACCCGCGGTGGGTCGAGAGCACGCTGACCGAGGCCGCGTCCCACACAATGAGCTTCGGTGTCTTCCCCGTCTCGCCCGTCGCCCCAATCGAGCGATTCGGGTGCAAGGCAAAGGACAAGATGTCGTCCGTGTGCGCAATGATGTGCTGCTGGCGAGGCCCTGCCTTCTCGAGCAGCACGACGACGCTCGCCGCCGGGTACGCAATGTCGCCGCTCTTGAGGTATCGGACGTTGTTGCGCGCGTAGGCGTCCTGGGCTGAGTAGCCAAAGATCCACTCGAGTGAGAGGTCGACTGTCGGGGCGCTCGAGTCGATGGGCGGCGGATTTGTCGGCGGAATGATGGCGCCTTCCCACGGCTTGACGGCCATAAACTCGTCTCCGTGGTCAGCGTCGCTCGCTTTTTCAATGGCGGCTTCGGGGTCCATGTGCCGTGTCTCTTTCGCCGACCGCTCCGGCACATGCGTCGGGTCGAGACCACCGAGGGCGTCGGCGCTACCGTCGTCGTGGTTGGAAGCACTCACGGCGCCGTCAAAGACATCAAAGAGGCTGCGCGCGTCGTTGTTGGTCAAACAGTAGCTCCGAAAGACGTCGCATGTGATGACCATCGTCGACTGGATCATGGTCGACGGCGGAATGTGCAGCATATCGCGGAACGTCATCTCGGCAATGCGCCGAACTTCATCGTCCTCCAGCAAGTCGACGGTCTTGTCGTTGGCCTTGGAGACGACAATCTTGCCGAGCCCCATGAGCGTCGACTTGAGCTACACGGGATCATGAGCCATATAGAGGTAGAGTGTTCGTACGGAAATGGTAAACTCGTCAATGTCGAGCGCGCCTACATCCATCATCATCACTCAATCAACAAATATCGTCATAACGCGGTACCGTCTTCCGACATGTCCCAGCTATCAAAGACGAGCTCGACCTTGTCTTGGATCGGCGCCGTCGAGATGAAGATGATGCTCGCTAGGAACTCAAGTGCATCAAGGAGCTTGAACGGCGAGTCGAGCGTAAGCACGTCGAAGAGCACGTCAGCTTTCTGCGCAATCTGGACGGGCGAGTGACCGAGGTGCACAGCCACGTCGATGCAGATCGCGCCAAAGTCGTGCTTGGAGAGCGCAAAGCCGTGGGCGTGCTCGTAGAAGCTGCGCCAGTACGCCTCAATCTCTTCGATCGAGAGATTGTCAAAGGGCGTGATGGCCTCGATGAGCGTCGCCGAGTAGCTTGGCGGGTTCGAGTCCGCGGCCGGGACCGCCGTCAGGCCCACGACGTTGCCCATGCAATGATCCGCGGAAGAAAAGCGCCAATCAAGTCTCACGGGCTGCGATCTTGATCCGTTTGCAGAAAGGTCGAAGATGGGATATCGAATTTCAAAGGTGATAAAAGATGCGTGTATTGCTTCTGGGAGAATGTCCCTTCAAGATCGCGCGCCACGTGCGGTGCCAGCGCGCGCATGGAGCTACATGTACCCCAACGACGACGAGATGGCTGCCACACCGCACAAAATCCACGGCGCAGCAACCGCAACGAGGTGCAGCGAACACATGGTGGTTGTCGCCTTGTCTTGAGCGATCGCGTCGAGGTCCTCGTGCAGATACTCCTGCGCAGTCTTGGCGACGTTTTCGAGCTCGGTCGTGAGAAGAGTAGCTTCCTTCAAGCCATCGTCTTGATACTGCGGAAGCGTGATCATGCGGGCGGCCTGAACGTCTTGGGCCACGGCTGCGCCGTCGTACTCCAGCCGCGCCATAGCGTTTCCACGGTGCACCTGCGTCGCACCGATGTGAGTGACGAGCTCTGTGATGCTGCCAACCCGTGTCTCGACCTCTTTCTTCAACGCGTCGAACGTAGCATCCCAACGCGACGCAGCAAGCGAGACCCGATGCACTTCCGCGTCGAAGAGGGAAAGGCAGTCGTAGTCATCGGAGCTTGGTGCATCGTCTTGGCTTGGTGGCGGCGTCACGATGGCGACTGGCACTGACGCATCACTTTTCTTTGCTTTTTCCTCGTCGGCGAGCCGAGGCTGGCTCTAATTGCCGGAATCTGTGATAGGGCTCGGCATGTAGCAGTACCTCGCGTGCTTTGGCGCAGCTCAACGGTCTGGAGCAAAGCTCTTTCTCAAATGCCAAAAACGTCTACGGATCGTAAGACCACATCTCGTACAAGCCTCATGTCGCACCTTGTGATCGAGGAGTACCCGCATCCATTGCCCGCTTTCGTCGTACTCCTCAAAGCACACATTGGCCATGGCCGATTCGGCATCGGACTTGAGGCTGCGAACGTTGGCGTAGCGGATGTTTGTGACGCTGAGAGCTTCGTCATCTCTGCAGAAAGAGAGCGCGGTCGAGCCCAAGTCGATCCAGCCTTCGTGCTGCAGCTCCTCCTACGCCCCGCTGCTAGTTCCTTGCACCGTCGGACGTCCCTACCGTTGCCTGGCCGTGCAATCGCGTCCAGCACTGTAGGACGCGAAAGGACGCAATGCGCTTGGTGACGTCGTTGACTTGGTTCAGCTGCTGGCGCATGCGAATCGGGTTGATCTGTGCCAAAGCAATGAGCAAGGTCGTCTCGACGCTACGCACGCACGAGGTCGGCCTCGTTCCCGCCCGGAATGGCCAAGCGCAGAACGAGAGGGACCCCTCGGCAGATCTTCTCGAGGTCCTTTGTCCGTCGCTCGCGCCGAAGGGTGCTCATGATGCGCACCAAGGCAGCGTACAAGCACTGCTGCACGGGGAAGTACGTCGACGAGACGATGCTGAGCCCCAGAACCACGGGTCCATTGGCGACTTCGCTCCATGCAGCAATGTCCCGAGTACAGGCTTTCCGGACGCGGCTTAGGAGGTCCATTGCGCAGCTCATGTCGTCGGGCCGTGCTCGCAGCGCGTCCATGGCTTCGACGAGCGGGGACTTGGCCATCGGGCCGTCCATCTTCCGGCGCGGTCGCTTCACCTCCGGAGCATCTTCTTCCGAGTCCGAGATGACGATCGCGTCCATACTCCCCGCGCTTCCCCCGCGCTCGCGCTTTGTCATGTTCCTCTCGACCTTCTCGCGGACAAAAATGAGACCGTTTCACAGATTTGGATTTGCTTTCCGGATAAAATCCGGATGCGTTGAGGTTCGCGCACCTGAGACGCGTCGTGGCGGGAACCACTGGCACTTCAAGCAGGAGGCCCCCAACTGACCATGGTGGGCTACCTGCATCTGACTCGGACGTTCTCGGAATGAAAAGATGGACTGTACATGCAGCGACAGTGGGCACGCGAGTAGCAAGGAACGTTTGGATTACTCAGTACATCGTTGTCGACTAACTAATCGAAAGACTAATCGAGAGGTGACGCATTAGCATGCTTCATGGCCCGTCGCGCAGATAAAGCGGGGCGTGTTGGCGCCGCAGACCGCGTGCAGCATGAGGTTCCACGTCGGCGTCTCCTCGGACGCTGCCGGGTAGTGCGCATCGACAAACGTCTGCTTGATCTTGCCGTCAACGGCCTTGAAGGCGCCGACCTTGCCCGAGAGGTCGCCGCGTTCGCACGCATGCGGGCTCACCACATACGTCTCGGGCGTGCACTTGTACTTGGGAATGAGCGGTGCACACTTGGGGTCGGTCGCAAACTCGGAGTTGGGGCCGCACGCGTAGTCCGGGTCGTAGTGGTTGCCCGCGGGCGTGAGACCGCAGTCGCCAAGGAAGCCCGACGGCGCCTTGTTGGTCCACTTGGTGTGGATGTGCCACTTGAAGTTCGGGATCGCGCCGGTGCAGTTGCCGTCCACCTTGGTGAGCGCGGCCCAGTCGGCGTTGGAGACGTCGAGGTCGGCGGCGATGGTCGCGCCTACTGCCTCGCGCGTCACTGTGATGGAGCCCTTGACGCCGCCCGACGTGACGGGGTCGAACGTATAGACCGTCGCGGCCGAGGCCGTCGCGGCAAGAAGCAGAGCGAAGCGAGCGAAGTGCATTATCTTGTGGAGAGCAAAATGAAGAATGGCAATCTCAGACCGTTGACGGTTGTTGGGACAGGGACCCAGCTGGCTTTGCATAATACGCGCCGATCTGAGCCATACGAGCGAGCTATACCACTGGGCCTTTTGTATAATTTGTAATTGGTAGTCGTATAATTTGTAATTGGTGAATTGTCGTTTTCAGCTCTGTTCCACTACGTTCTTATTGGGCCGAGGGAGCCGTCCCTCCGACAACAGGCTCCGACAACACGACGATCGTCATGTTGCAGTCCAATCCAGCACACTGCATCTCACACAGCACAGTTTAATCTACAGCGTTACGACTCGGAGATCGAGTTGACGCGCGCGAGCTTTTGCTTTTCGAGGGCGAGGAGGACGCCGTCGGCGTTGAGCGTCTGGAGCTCTTCTTTGGCCTTCTCGAGCACCTTGAACGCGTTGACAGTGATGCCGCTGATCTCGCCATTGTACAAGCGCGAGTTGGTCGCCATGAGCTCGACGTCGCCCGTGAACGACCGCATCGAGTCGTACTCGAGGTTCTTGAGCTTGAGGCTCATGCGCTGGAGGTCCATCGGTCGTTTGATGACCGTGTAGTAGTCTTTGACCACGTTGCCGTCGACGGGCACGCGAAAGAGGACGCTCTCGGGCATCGCCACGAGCTTGAAGAGCACTAGCTCGAGGTACCCGTTGAGGCGCGCGATCGGGAGCCGCGAGAGGCTGCGCGCGGGCTTCTTGTTGGCGCCGTACACGCGCTTGTACAGCGACGCGCTGTCTTCGTGCTCTTGCTTGCGCTTGCGCTTCTTCTCCATCTCGTGGAGCCGCGCGCTCTCCTGGAGATTCGAGAGGTTCACCGTGCACGACGTCGGGTCCAAGTCGGACGCGTTGATCGACGACTTCTTCAGCGTCAGCTTGAGCGGACGCACGTCCTTACTCTTGCTCTCGCCCTTGGTCATTGGCTCCATCATGTACAGCGGGCAGTTGCGGTTCGTGCGGATGTGGCCGACCTCGCCGCACTGCGTGCACTTGATGACGCCCTTCGCAGCCGTCGACCCGACGTCCTCGCCCTTCTCGAGCCGCTCGACGTACTCGCGGGTGCTCTCTTGCTTCTTCTCGAGCATCTTGAGCTCCTCCTTTAGCTTGTGCACGTTGGGAACGCCGCCCGTCTCGTCGTCGGCCGCGCGCATCTGCTGCATACGCTTGCGCTGCTTGCGCATCTGCTCGCGCTCCTCGTCCTTCTGGAGACGCTCGTTGCGCGCCGCGTTCGCCTTGTACTGCCCAATCTTCTTCGGGTCCACGATGAACTCAATCTTGATCTTCTCCGACCCGTCCTCTTCGATCGTGCGCGTGATGCGCTTGATCGCTTGGCGGTGCGGCTGGCTGCTCGTCGGCGCAGCACGCGGCGACGGCACGCGCGACGCGGGGTTGGACGGCGAGTGCACAGCCGACGACATGACCGAGCTCGCTTTCGTCGACGACTGGTGCGTTGCAAGGAGCGACGTCGGGCGCCCCGAGCTGTCACGGATGCCGCTGGCCTGCAGCTGCGACCGGAGGTTCGACGCGTCAATGTCTGGCCGACTCCGCGAGTACGTACTCCCAGAGTTGTCGGCCATATCGCGCTTGAGTTTCTCAAGCTCGGCCGCGTCGTCGCGCTCCCGAAGCGCCGACTTGGACCGGTTGAACGCGACACCGTCTTTTCGAAACATGTTGAACGGGCCGCTGCGCGAGGTCGTGGCCGTGAGGCCGTCGCCGTCGGCCCCAAAAATGTCTTCTTCGAGGTCGCCGAGGCCGTCGTCGCCTTCGTCCGACTCGTTGTCGTCGTCGCTGTCCTCGACGACCTGCTTGTTGGAGAGGACCTCGATCTGCGTACTGTAGCGCGCATCGCACTTCTTTCGGTACTCTTGCTGCTGGGCGTTGAGCGACTTGCGCGCGCCTCGAGCAAACTTGCCGAGACCGCCGGCTTCGCCACGCTGCGATGCCTTTGTACTGAGCGTCCGGACCATCTCGATGCGATCCCAGCGTCGAAGCTTCTTGATGTCGGCTTCGTCCATGCCGAGCGTCTTGAGCACGTCGCCGGCCTCCTTCATCTTGAGCTTCCGCAGATCGGCGGTCGTGCCCGTGACGGCCGCCAATGTCTTTTGCACTTCGGCTTCGTCTGTCGCTGCATTCTCGTCGCCTTCCTTCTTCTTCGCACGCGACTGCGGCGCGCGAATAAAGCTAAAGCCATCACCGCACGCCGACGGATCGCCGTCACCACCGAGCTGGAGCATGCCCGAGCCCTTCCCTTGCAGGTGGCACTCGACATAGTTGTTGGTCCACGTCCACGGCGCCAGCTCGAGCTGGAGCGCGATCGATCGTGCAATCTGGATGTCGCGCTTGAGGCTCGTGAGGACCGGGTCCAGCTCGTAGAGCTTCTTGGCTTCGTTCTCGAGCGTGCGGCCCTCGAGGCCTTTCGGCATGAGCACCTTGGTCTTGAGCAGCGTTTGTCGGTAGTTGAGGCGCTTGGTGAGGTGCTCGATCGCGTTCTGGACGCCCGTGGGACTGAAGAGCTTGGAGAGACCCATGTCCATGAGGCGGCGGTGGCCGCTCATCTGGCTCTCGTAGAGGCACACCGACTCGGGCGACACGTTGGCGCGGATCTCGTCTTCGCTCGTGAGCTCGTGCGCCGCCTTCTTCTTCCACCAGCCCGAGTCGTTGCCGCCGCGCTCAAAGGTCGCGACTTCCTTCATGCGCTTCCGGATCGCCGTGCCCGACTGGTTGGGGAACACGCGGTGGATGTCTTCGATCTTGAGCCGCTCGCCGTCGCTCGCCTTCTTGAAGAGCCGGAGAATGTGGAACGACATGTACGGCCGAATAAAGTCGTTGGCGCCGCGCGAGTTGGGCGCAGGGACCTCCATTTGCGGCTCGACCTGCCCCGCAATGTAGAGCGGCGGTAGCTCCATGAGGTACGTCGTCGTGCCCTCCTTCAAGCCGCCCTTCTTGGAGACGGCGCGGGCGAGGAGGAAGTAGTCGTAGTCGTTCGAGCGCTCGAGCATCGACCCGCGCGCGGCGTGCTCAAAGATTGGGATCTTGAAGAGCTTCGAGTTGAGCGACGTGACCATCTTCCCGGCCGGCACGTCGCCAATGAACGGCGTGTCATCGTTCGCGCCAAGCGTCACGACCTGACCGAGCTTGACGCTCGGCGGCTCGGGCAGCACCTGCTTCTTCTTACCCTTGCCCTTCGTGGCGCCATCGTCGCCGTCGGCCGCGGGCGGGCGCCAGTAGTGCAAAATGCGGGAGGCCATGCCGGGGTTCGAGAGCATCGGCGGCTTCTGCTCAATGTACTCGAGGAGGATGAGCTTCCCACCCGCGGTCGGGTTGAGATCCGACGTCTTCTTGATCTGCGACAGCGTCGGGTCCGTCATCTCGAGCTCTGTGACCTTGGAGGCTTTCGTGACCTTCTCCGCGTCCTTGGCGTGCACCATGACGAGGCGCTCGTTGATCTTGAACTTGCCGCGCGGGCGGTGAAACTCACGGAGCTTCTGCTTGGGCAGCTCGGGCTTGGTCAAGCTGAGCTTGATGGCCGGGAGTGAGTGGTGCACGTGGCCCATGTGCTTGACGATGCGCGTGTCCTTGTTGCGCTTGAGCTCGTCCGACCCGAGGCGGCCCTCGGCCGTGTCTTCGCCGAACGTCAGATTGCCCATGACGCCCTTGATACGGTCGTCCTTCTCCTTCTTCTGCTTGGTCAAGAGCTCCTGCCGCTTCTCGTGGACGCCGAGCTTGCGCTCCGGAATGCGCAGCGTCGCACGCACGTTCTCGACGAGCGGGTTCGTGAGCACGAGGTGCCGGTCGTTCTCGTCGAGGATGACCTCGGACTTTGGCATGTCGAGGCAGTGGTCCCAGGCGACCGCGTTGAGCCACGCGTCGTCCTCGAGCGACGGATTCAGCGCGCAGTCGAGCGCGATGCGAGCGGCTTCTTTGGACGCCGACGCGTTCAAGCTCATGCTTTTGCCAATGAGCGCGGCCAGCGGCGCTTCCCAGCGGTACGAGCGCGGTTGCGTCATATCGAATGGTGCCACCTCTTGCGGGACGAGGGACGTAGCGTTGTCCATATCTTGGCGCGCCGCCTTGGAGGGTCCTGGGATTGCCGACGAGCGTGGTAATGGTGCTGCGCGCGGAATCGAATACTGCTGGTACGGCGTGTCGTCCTCTTCCGGGACAAAGGCCGGCTCGGACGTGCTCGCGTCGTTCTCGTCGCCCCACAGAATGTCCTTCTCCCAAGGGACCTGCTCGACCTTGTGATAGAGCGCTTCTGGCACGGGCGGCAAGTTCTGGGACGGGCCGAGCTGTGGTGGCACGCCTGCTTGGTACCGACTCGTGGGCTTCCCGATGCGGTCACGCTTCAAGGCCAGCGACTGCGCGCGCATCGAGTGCGACGTCGTGGACGAGTTGAGGAGGACCTCCGTGTCGTCCTGCATATAGCGTGGGCTGTCTTGGCGACCCTTGAGGATCGACTTGGGCTTCTCGGTCTCGTCGATGCGCTTGACGAGCTGCCGCAGGACACCGCCGAGGTCCTGGCCCTGGCCTTTATGGCCATAGAACTGCATAAAGCTGGGCTGCGCCGAGCCTTCTACATCGGCGCTCAAGGCGTCCATCTGCAGCGGCTCAGCCTCGAAGCCATGGACGGTTGGTCGCTGCTGCGCGAATCCGCTCATGCGTCCGCTTGCGTTCGCCACCGCAATTCGCCAACTGAGAAACCAAACAGCGCTGACCTAACATTATTTCCGTATTTTCGTGTTCCCATTAGTGTGAATTTGACCCGACTTCCGCATGGTTCACACTATATACACAACGACCAACACTCGGTGATTCGTTTTAAATAGTGTGAATAAACTGCCCTGGCGCTTCGTGTGCAACTTGATAATTCGTGGTCTTGTTGATACAATCGAAATGCAAAGATATCGATTCGGTTGGATCTGTTGCTTCCACAGCTAAAGGGCTACGCGTCGTCTCCTTCCGAGGCCACCAAGACCCAGTGGTTGTCGTCCACTACGCCGTACTCGACCAGCGCGTTGCTGCGCTCGGTCTCGTCGGGGCTCTGACCTGGCGCGTCTCTCGAGCCCCCAAAGACGATCATGCGTTGCTGCCACATGACGGCAGTGTGGAAGACAAGCGCGTCGGGGGCCTCCGACTACGGCTCAGTTGCGTCACGCTCCCACGAATCGCAGCACCTACCATCTTTGTCCACGTCGACGTGGGCAAATGGAGCGACCAGAGACCGCTTGTTCGCTTCTACAGCGCATTCGGCTCGATGCCTGCGAGTGTTAGCGTACCTCGGTGAAATCACGGCCACCAAACAGGAGCAGCGCGGGCTGCCCCAGCGAGTCGATGTGGAGGACGACGCTGTGGGCTAAACGCGCGGGTGGCACGTCGCCGACGCACGCGATCTTGGCCCACTGCGCCGTGAGCGTGTCAAACTTGAAGACGTCGATGGGTCCTTTTGGTGGTCCATAGAGCCCGCCGCCAACGACGTACATATCATGTCCGACGACGACGGCCTCGTGCTTGTAGCGGGCTGATGGCTTGGGTCCTGTCACTGCGGCACGGCTCCACATGAACGTGGTCGCGTCAAAGACATAGAGGTCGTTATAGTAGTCGTGTCCGGACGTGCCACCAAAGAGGTAAAGCTTGGAGCCAATCGCCACCATGCTCTGGCCATAGCCCGGCGGCGGAGGTGTCCCGGCCGTCGAGACGACGCTCCACTGCTGCGTTGCGAGCGTAAACTGGAGGAGCTTGTCTCGGTTGGCGGCGCCCCAGCGCGGGCCCGACCCGCCGTAGACGTAGATGGATGTCTCGTCGGCGGAGACACACGTCGCATGAGATGCGCAGCCAACCGCGAAGTTGGCGGCGCCGCCCCAGTCGACCTTGCTCCATTCGCGCCGCATGAGGTCGTAGGCGTAAATGTCGCCAAAGCACTGGCCCTGATCGTAGCCACCAAGAACGTACATGATGCTATTGGCTACGCCTCATTCTCAGTCGTATGCAATCGACGACCAACCGTACCGACTACTGACGCGTGGCCACTTCGAGGCGATGGAGCCGCGCTGTCGCCGTCGATCGTCGCCCACAGACCGTCAACTACATACGCACGTTGGCATTGATGGCTACTTCAGGAAGCTGACGAGTACCGTTCATGGATGGCGCATGCGATTGCTTTGGCGTTGACGTGGCGAGACCAGCAAGCTTCCAGAGACCGTCCATCATGCTTCCAGCTTGGGCACGACGGTTCCCGTGCACTAGTAACTCTAAGATCGCATTGCCGTAGCATCATCCGGATACGATCCGAAATTGTCCTATCCAGTATCAATTTCAGTCCTTGAATAGTGTTACTATTTTGCAACTCCATTGTTGCCACCCACGCCACACCTTTTCTTCAGCAAACCATGCACAACAGCCCGCTTGGTTGATTCGATGAAAAGACGTGCGTACGGCTACTGCCTACAGCGTCAAGAGCCTCTCCGCAAGCAAGATATTGTTCGAGCATGTGGTAGACTATTTCAGGGTTAGGATACCGGTAATATAGTATGAGTAAGACTATTAGAATGGGTGCGAGTAGTGTTCATCACATTGGATATCGTCGAAGAGCGGCTGGAAATCAAGATGGAAGACGGCCTCAAGAAGAGCGACCACTCGGCCGAGACCGCGGCCCTCGTGCCCAAGGCCCGCGCCATGGCTGCTGCGGGGGACATTGCTGGCGCCGTCGAAGCGCTCCTTGCCCTCGAGAAGGCTGCGCGCCTCCACAACGACCTGACCTCGCTGCAGGTGCTGGTCGTTGAGATCCTCACGCTCCTGCACAGCCACAAGCAGTTCACGCTCTTGGTCGAGCACGTGACGCTGCTCTCGAAGCGTCGCGCGCAGAAGAGTCAGGCCATCGGCAAGGCCGTGCTCACGGCCATGGCCTTTATCAACGACTGCCCGACCGAGGAGGTCCGCGTCTCGCTCATTCAAGCGCTGCGCACGGTGGCCGACGGGCGCATCTTTCTCGAGAAGGAACGCGCGCAGCTCACGCAAATGCTGTCGCAGATCAAGGAGAAGAACGGTCTCATCGCGGAGGCCGCCGACATCCTCCAGGAAGTGCATGTCGAGACGTACGGCGCCATGACCAAGCTCGAGAAGGTCGAGTTCATCTTGGAACAAGTGCGCTTGACGCTGGCCAAGAAGGACTATGTGCGCGCGTTCATTCTCAGCAAGAAGATTCTGCGCCGCGTGCTCGAAGAAGACAAGTTTGAGGCGGTCAAGATCAAGTTTTACCACTTGATGATCGAGTACGACACGCACGAGAACAACCCGCTCGAGCTCTGCCGCCACTGGCAGTCGATCTTTGCGACCAAGACGCTGACGCCGGCCGAGAAGGCGACCGCGCTCCAGCACGCGATGCTCTTCGCCATCGTGTCGCCGCACTCGAACCTGCAGCAGGACATGCTCTTCAAGCTCGCGACCGAGCCGCTGCGCCACGACCTCCCGGCCTACGCGTCGCTCATGAAGCTCTTCACGACCAAGGAGATCATCCCGTACCCGCTGCCGGTCCAGGCCGAGCTCCAGGCGCATGCGATCTTTGCCGACGCCAACCGTGGCCAGGGCTGGCTCGAGGACCTCCACACGCGCACAACGGAGCACAACATCCGCGTCGTCGCCACGCACTACCAGCGCATTCGCCTTCCCCACCTCGCGAGCATGCTCGGTCTCTCGGAAGAGGTACCCTTCTGATGCACATGGAACGACAAAGCCATTATATATTGCGTAGGTGTGCGAGGCGCGCATCTCGGCGCTCGTCTCGTCCGGCTCGATCTACGCCAAGATCGACCGGCCGGCCAAGATCGTCTTCTTCCAGAAGCCGCAGTCGCCCGAAGAACTCCTCACCAACTGGTCCTCGGACATCTCGGAGCTCCTCCGCCTCGTCGAGACGACGTGCCACCTCATCAACAAAGAAAACATGATCCACAAGGTCTAAGTAGACGCGTCTGCATGCGGTAATTCAACCCCCGTCGTCTTACGTTGCGCTCTTCCTGTGTACATACTCGCATGCCAGTTGGAATCACAACAAGTCGTCTTCGTCAGCGTCGTCAAACTGACCCGCGACGCCGCCAGGCGCCTGCGCAATGGCCGGCGACACGGTCAGAATCGAGTCGAGATGCGCGGCAATGTCCATCTAGTGGAGGATGAGTGCGTAGTCGGAGACGACGTGGTCGACCTGCGCGCCGGCCTCAACCTCGTCTTCGTTGTAGATCCATTCGCCTTCTTCGTCATCTGTACGCAGCAAATGATGAGCGAAGAAGGGTACCGTGCGTGGTAGTACCTTCGTCGTCGTCGGGGTTCAAGGCCGCCGAGGCAGAGAACGCGTCAAACATGGCTGGCACTAATTACCCGTCAACCTCGGACGATCACCATGGCTACGTACATGTCTTGGAGCTGTCGTCAGGGACGAAGCGGACTTCTTGGACGTCGTCTTCCACGTCCAGCTACTCCATGTCGATGAGGTGTGATGGAGCCATGTGCTGCACGTACATGGCAATACAGGCAGGGCTCCGGGAAGCTCGACGTATCGCGCGAAATGGCATGCAGCGAGAGGTACCGCATGTCCCATGCGTAGCCGAACTCGGCCATGCCGGGCTGCGACGTGATCCAGACCACGCGCCTACATGGACGGCGTCACGGACGGCGACCACGAGGTCGATCGTACTTGGTTGTGACGACGAGGTTGCCCGCGCCCTTGGCGACAACGGAAGCCTCGTCGTCCTCGTCGTACTCGCTGAAGAACATGCGGATGCTCGGGAAGACCGCGAGGATGGACTCGTCTGCGGCGAGGACCGGCGCGCCGTCGGCCCCGCAGTCGTTGGCATGGAGCGTGTTCATGGTTCAATCCTCGAAGTGGCCCGCGCGTCGTGGATTGGCCAATTTTCCAATAGTTTTGTTCAATCGCAGCGCGTATTTTCATTTTAGCCAATCAGCATGCAAACACGAAATTAGGTGGCGCGGAGTGGCGGTTTTGTTTGGATATGCAGCGACTTTTGGCCTATGGGATGCGAGTCCAAGGCCATGTCCAAGGTGCTCAGAAGTGCGATGACGAAGGTGCTCATCGTCCCCGGCAACGGATGCACGCCCGTCGAGGCCTGCAACTGGTATGCATGGCTCGCCGAGAAGATCCGCGAAGCTGGCCACGAGGTAGGCGCGCTGCAGCTGCATGGAGGTCATACCTTTGTAGGTCGTTCTGCGTGACATGCCCGACCCGTACGTGGCCCGCGAGTCCGTGTGGTTACCGTTCATCAAGGGCGAGATGGGCTGTGACGAGCAATCGGTATCGAGCGACCATTGTCATCATGGTACTTCTAGGCTCACATCACTAGATCATCGTAGGCCACAGCTCGGGCGCGGAGGCCGCCATGCGGTACGTCTCGTAGGGCAACCACGAAGGCGTCTCATGCTGTAGCTAGCCTCGCCGAGACGACCAAAGTTCGAGGTACGAAATGACCTCGCAGAACGCAGTGGAGCAAACCCACAACAGGGCTTGTCCTGGTCTCTGCGTGTGTGACGGACCTTGGTACGTGACCGTTGAGACTCGTCGATCGCTCACGTCGACGAGAAGGCGACGACAACGAGCGCGCCTCGGGGTACTACGCCCGCCCGTGGGCGTGGGCCCAGATCAAGGCCAACTGCGATTGGATCGTCCAGTTCGGGTCGCCCGACGATCCGTTCTTGCCTGCCGCTGAGCAGAACCTGGTGGCCGAGGGCTTGTCGTCCGAGTTCCACTACCTCCGCGGTCGACTTTTCGTTCGTTGTCCTTGCTGCTGACGCTGTGTGTAGGGCGCGGCCACTACATGCGCGAGGAAGAGCCCGTCATCTGGTCGGCTCTGGCGGCCAAGCTTGTGCCGCAGTAATCGCCTAGTATCGACTTGATAAAATATTATCAAGGGTTCCGACCAGAGTATTTGGAATATATATGGGGCTCGTTGTTCTGACGATGAGTAGTACGAGCGGGAAGAAGCTGCGGCCTGCGTTTCTTCGAGAAGCCAACAGACAACCCTAGCCCGCGCAGGTTCAACGACAGCCGCCGGCCATTTGCAAAGCACCGATGAAGCGACCACGGATCCTCCTCCTCGTGCCCGCGGCCGACGACTCCAACTGGTACCCCTGGCTCGCGGCCAAGCTTGACGCCGCCAAGTGCAAAGTGGGAATGATGGTCGGAACGCCTGTGTCACGCCACGTCATGTAGGTAGTCCTGCGCTGCGCCATGACGCCGCTCGCCGCACTGCGCGACGAGTGCGACCGCGACACGGTGCCGTCGGCCCCCCACCATCTCGTTGATCGATAGAAGCGCGTAGATCGTTCTGGGGCATCGAAGCGGCGCGGGACTAGCGTTACGGTGATTATTCAAGTCGCCGCGACCTCTCCACTCATGCGCCATGCCATACTAGATTGACCGAGCAGGCTCAAGTGCTGGGTATGACCGTTCCTCGCGGTCGTCGACACGACCTCGACCTAGGTCTTATTCTTGTCGCGCCGTACTTGGCCGGACCGCCGCGATGCACCGTCGGCAGCGTTCATTCGCATTTGCACGACGACTCTGACGCTTTCCAGTACACCAAGGTGCGACGCAACTGCGGCTGGATCCTGCATCTGGGGTCGCCCGACGACTTGTACACGCCGACGCCCGCTCAGATTGCACTCGCGCAGACCCTGCACTCGGACTTTTACTTTTTGCCAGGTACGATACTCGTCCTCACAAGCGTGCGCCGTCAAAGAGGCCGCTGGTAGGCCGTGCGCAGTACACGACAATCGAGGCGCATGACCTCTGGGCCGTCCTCGCCGCCAAGCTGCCCCCGCTCTAACTTAACCAATACATACGCAAACCGACGTTTCGTTCGTATCCTCATGCCGTCGGGCTTCAAGGAAAACTACTGCGCGTACGCGCCGATGGCGTAGACTAAGATCTTGACGCTGCCTTCTCGTAGCGACTGCTTTCTTCAGTTCGAGTCGGCCGTCGACTTCAGTACGCACCGCGCCAAGGTACCTCTGCCCGCAATGCTCTGGATGCCAAGCGGATATCGGCTAGTTTTGCGTCCAGAGCGAGTATGGCGACCCGGCCAAGCTCGAGGCTGCGCTGGCAGAGCCCGAGCGGCCGACATTGGCAGCACTGCCCCCCATGAGCCTAGCGCAGGCGCAGGCGTACTTGAGTGCGCCGTCGATGGCACCAGGCCTCGGGCAGCTCTCTCTCCGCGAGCTCAAGGCGAACGTGACCGCGAACGACCGCGACATGGAGAAGCTCAAGGCACAGCTGCAGCGCGATCGCGCGAGAGAAAAGGCCGACGAAGTGCGCGCGCTCAAGGTGCGGCAGCAGCAAGCGCTCTTTCAAAAGCAGCGCGAAGACGACGAAATCGAAGCACTTCTCATGGAGATCGAGCGGCGCAAGCAAGACGAGCTCCAAGCGCGCTTGAGCCAAGAGCAGATCAAGCAGGAGCTGCATGCGCTGGATCTCGTAGCCGCTCGCTACTACTGTCGACAAGTAGCAAGTGCGTTCTGTCTAGGCCGGCATCGCGTCGCTCGAAGAAGCCAAGAAGCGCGACTTGGCCGAGCTTCAGAACGCCAAAGAGGCTTTGCAGAGACAGGAAGATGCGGCGCTGCGAGACATTGAGGCCCTCGAGAAGCGCGTCAAAGACCAAGTACTTATTTCTATCACTGTGATGGCATAACGTGAGCACAACAGGAACGCCAGCACCGGGAGCTGGAGCGGACGATGCTGGAGAAACTCCAGGACGCCGACGCGCCAGAGGTTGGCGACGATCGATCCAAGGCGCTTCGCTCCAAGCACATGGAACGGAGTCGCGCGCACGGCGTGGCCACAGCGAATCTCGAGCAGCAGCGAAGAGAGCTACTGGCGCAGCAGGCGCAGCTGCGTCGGGCGCTGGGCAGCAACCAAGAAGCTGACCCTCTCTCAATGACCGGTTTCGACTACTCTATTGAACAGGAGCGCGTCGAGCGGCTGGCCAAAGACGTCGAAGTTGCTGGAAAAGCGCAGGCCGCCGCGCGCATCGACATGGAGACCCAAGTGGCGTCGCTCTTGCTCGTGCGGGAAGACCCCGTCGATGTTCAGATCGACCATTTGCTCCAAGACCTCCAGCCAGCGCCATGTGCGAAGAGGCGCAGTACGAATCAAAGCCCTCCGCGCGCTCGAACCCGAGCCAAAACACCGCCGCCCGCCACGTTGCCACCGTCCGACTCGCTGGAAGAGCTCACACGGCAGCATACAAGTCGCAAGAGGTCGCGCCCGCCGACACCAGCGCGTCCTCTCACCACACCGCCCGTAAACATCTCTACACCCGTGGTTTCCATCCCAACGACCGCCACCCCAACCCTTGCCACAAACCCGACTACTACGGCACCGTCAACGAGCGGCTACCCACCCGGAATGTACCCACAAGGGCCAAGCTTTGCGCAACATCCCGCAGCACTGGGGCCATATCCTGCGTCTGGATCATACTTGGCACCAGGGCCATACTTGGCGGCTCCCGCAGCTTACTCGGCACCAGGACCTTACCCGGCATCGATGCCGTGGGGCTTCGGTAGTCCCTACATGTACCAGCAGCCACCTCCGTACTACTCTGGGATGGCGGGTGTTGGCGCCGCCTTCATGGGGTACCCTCCTTTTGCACCTCCGTTTCCAGCGCCGCCGGATTCCGAGACGGCAAAACTCCAGGCGCAGCTGGATGAGCTCAAGCAGCTGCAGGAGCAGCGCGAGTTTGAGCGCGAGACGTCGCGCTTCCAGCAGCTGCTGCAGAGTTTGCAGGGCACGGGACCCGAGAAGTCTGTGTCCTCCGAGACTCCCAGCGACGAGCCGGCAGAGCTGCGAGCCCTCCGACTGCAGCACGCACAAGAGATGCTGCGTATCCAGCACGAGCGCAACCTCATTGAAGAGCAGGAAAAAGTAATCGATTTTTTGATAGATTGATACAAAACGACCTATGTAGCTGCGCGCGGTGCGCGAAGGCGCCGAGCGACGGCGCAAGGAAGCCGACGAGCAGCTCGAGCACGACGAGTGGGTCGCCAAGCAGAAGCGCATGGTGCTCGCCCTCCGCATGAAGAAGGTGCTGGCGAAGGAGCAAGGAGCAAACTCAACGGTCGTCGAGAGCAGCGTGTTGCCGTACGATCCCGACCTCGGCTTTGTGATCTTCTGGGACTTTGTGCTTTGTGTACCACTCAAAGCCCCGTGCTTGCAGGTATATTTGCGTCAACGGATCGTAGCGCGAGCCGTCGAGCGTAGTTGACCTACGCGCTGTACGACCAGACGACGACTCGCTCCAAGCACAAGCTCGTACGCGCGCACGAGTGCGAGCCCCACGGCCTCAGCCATCAGCGCTGTGTGTTTGCAACGCGCCGCGACTTTGAGCAGATGCCCGCGAGTCCGCATCTCCGCCTCCTTGTCGAGGTACGCATCTTGGTCGCCGTCGACGCCACAAGTCGTGTAGGTGGCCATGGTGGCGTCGCCAACCGAGCCGCGGGCGCGGGCGCCGGCCTCGCTCGGATGGACGGCTGTCGACATCTTCTTGCCGTCGCTCGAGCTCCAAGAAGGCTGCTTCAAGCTCCCACTGAGCTTTACGCCGTTGCCGCAGGCGAGTGCGCCATGGGCACTGCCTTTGGGCGAAGACGACGCGTCGGCAAAGCTCTATGTGCGGATCGTGCATGCGGCGCAGGCCGAAGAAGCCTCCAAATTTCCAGTCAACCCCGACTCGATGGCCGGTACCACTTCACGCATGGCTGCCGCCGCCAAGTCCAATTGTCTGTAGACAAGTACACGCTGCCGCCCAACCAAATGCAGCCAGCAGCACCCACGTCACCAGGTCCAGAGCGTCCACCCGAGAAGAAGGCACCAAAGAAGCTTGCGGCTGTGACGCCAAACGAGTCACCAGACTCCATCGCCACTCCACCGCTGCCAATACCACCCGAGACGACAACGCCACTGCGTTTGTCTAGCACTTGCGCATGCAGCATGTTTAGCGTTCTCGCATAGGTCCGGTCGAGGTATCGCGGCCGGCTACAGTAATGAGCGAGCGCAACGTTGCGACCCAGGACGAGACCAGCGTCCAGCCCAAGGCAAAGCCGCCAGTGATTGCCTCCCCGATACCAACATCTCGCCTCTACGCCCACTCAGGTAGAAGTCACATTCCGCTGCGATGCCAGAGCGACTGTAGACGAGCTCGAAGACAGTGTATTTCTGGACTGCGACAACACGAGCCAGCGGCGGCGGCAGCTCTTTGCCCGCGGCGACGGTGTCAACTTGTACATTGACGGTGCGCGGTCGCTGCCCGACTGCACGAGTGTCACAAAAGCAACCGTCTTTGCCTTCCACAGCGACATGACGCTGTGCACGTCGCTGAGCGAGACCTCGGCGCTCTGCAGCGTGCAAGACAAGGCGGTCGCCCCGACGTTCCGTCTCGTAATCTTCCTCTGAAGAGCTCGGGAATCAACCTCTACCGTAGCTCGTCGAGTTTCGGGACGAGCGCTTCAACCCGACACTGACCGTCGTCGTGCGGCTCGACACGATCGCCGTGCACTCCAAGAGCCCAACTGTGCTCGGCTACGTCGCTGTACCAGTGTTTCTTGACGCCGATGGTCAGCAGCCGACCAAACCGTCGATGCAAGACGTCTATCTCAACGACGGCGCGTTCCAGGTGCCGCTGCGAACCGGCATCACCCTCGGCTCGAGCGGGGTACCGATGACCGCCAAGGCCTGCGAGAGCGCACTCAAGCTCTCTTGTGCCACACTACTCCTGCGCATTGCACGCGCGCCCAAGGTACTTCTGCCAATGTGTGAGCCAACGCTGAAGGTGCGTCTCAGTCGGAGGACGGTCTGCGCTGTCTGAGTCGCAAGGACGCCCCGGCAACCGAGTGGGAGGCGCAGCGCATCGTGCTCCCGGCCCCGGCGTACGCCAGCCGCGCGTACGATAGCACGAGCGCCCGGCCCAGTGCGATGGAAGAAAAGTTGTACGAGCTGCGGGTACGTAGGTCTCCAGTCGACACTAACGGACGCGGGCGTAGCGACAGCGCAAGCCGCGGCTTGTGGGCGAACTCCTGCAAAGCACCCTTGGCGTGGACACCGAGAGGCTTCCGGCCGTCCTCGCCGACCAGCTCGAGGTACGTACGTCTTGCAGCGCGGTTTCTGAAGTTCAACGCAGAAGAAGCCCAAGACGTCGCTCCTCGATATGCTGAGCAGCATCTTTGTGTACCAGCCCGAGATTGGCTTTCGCGTCGCCATCGACGGGTTGCACAACCTTCCGTCGAGCACGAACGGGAGCTTTGTCAAAGTCATTGCGAGCGTCGCGCCTCCAGCTGCGTTCTACCAAGTACGCAAATTCCGTCTGCAGACTTTGACGTACTTGCACAGACGCCGCAGCTCACAGACGACGTGCAAATGACCGTGAGCTACGACTGGACGAGCGCAAGCTCGAGCCCCGAATTCAGCGACGGCTACCACGTATCGATCTACCGAGAGGTCGTATCGACATTACATGGTAGACCTACCGTGATGTCATGCCATCCGCGCCGCTTCTCTTGGTCTTGGACGTGCGCTGCATCAAGATGGGAAAAGCCGGCGACTGGTCGTCGGCGCCACTCGGGTGGACGTACCTCAAGCTGCTGCACCCCGAGAGCCGTGGCATCGTTCCCGGCAGCTTCCAGCTGCCGCTCTTTGCCGGCAACGTCACGCTCGTAGGAGACGCGACAACTTCTGGTTCAAACAGTGTATGCTAGGACGTCTTGCAGCACGATTTGGATATGGACCTTCTCGTGGCGCAAGAAGTTGCCAAGAAGAAGGGGTTGATCGCGTACATCCCAGGCGCGTCGCTCCTGTTGCGGATCGAGGACGGTCAGCTGCCCAACGTCTGTCCGACGCCCTTTGTACCGTCGCTCGTCCGCCGCCTTTGGTGTAACGTGATGCATAGACCAAGAGCGAGCCCAAGGGGATCCCATCGAGTCTCTTGCCCAAGTACGCGTACGATCCGTCAGCGATCCAAGCGCAGCGCAAGAAGAAACCACTGAGCAAGCTCTTGCCGCCCAAGCGCAGCGAGCAAGAGCTCGAGAAGGAGCTCAACGTAGCGTTCGCTGCCGAGATGGGCATTACCCACTACGCCTTCTAAATCGAATCTGGCGCCAACTGCTGGAAGAGCCCCATGTACTCGAATTCCGGCTGCTTGGACGGTCGCCACACGGTGCCACCAGGCGGCACCGATGCTGATATCAACTTGATACGCCGAAAGAATGCGATGATGATATTATCATCAATGCATTGCCCACCATATCAGTACTGATAATATCAGTACTGATATGGTGGGCAATGCATTCGGCGTTGGTCCAGTCGATGTCACTAGCGTTGCCAGTGACGCGTCGTTTCTTGGCACTGACACCGATGACGCCCCGTACGAGGTGGTGCTGCACTTGACCTCGACGTTGGTCGGAAAATGTCCATGGCATACCAGCAACGACTCAGTACTGCTCCCTTTTGGTCTATCGAAGTAAGGCAACGACTGATATGGAAGCAGTGCTCTCCTGCTCTTCCGTGCACATGCCCACGTCGCCTCGTCGTCATGACGGCTGCAGAGTCCCACGACCCCTGCCGAGTGCTATGACTGCTGCATCCCGACTGCGTGCCGACTGCAAGTACTAGTACATTTTTTCCACAGTACTCGTTGGTGCGACTCGGAAGCTGTCCATGCGTTGCGCTTTGTCGTACTGGCCGCTCCTCTCCGCTGTTGCTGGTATCCATGTCAAACAAGCAGCAAGAGACGATGCTCGTGGTCGTAACAACAACCACTTCTGCTTGTCGCGACTATGTTGCTGGTCGTGTACTGGCCCGACAAGTCGCGTTCTACGGCGTCTCCAGAGACCGCTGATGGAGCGGTGGCAAGACCATGACGGCTACAAGGGCTCGCCGCGGCCATGGCCCGCGGGACGGCGTCGGCGACCGGAGAACACCACCGGCGACTTCAACGCCCAACGCATCTCGCCACCCACCGCGGTTTGTTTCTGGCAGGTTGGACTGTTTGTAATCGAAATATTTTTGGGTTGCTCGCCAACACCTTTCATTTGTATGGAGTCTCGCATTTAAAAGCTGGATAAAAACAGAAGTTTATAAAATTATATTAGAATTCAATAAATACGCACGCCGATGCGGGACCAGTGTGCTTTTCTGCCGACGCGACCGACCCGGCGACCATGATGGCGACGCAGCACCTGGCCGGCGGCAAGATGGACGCCCGGATCGAGGACCTCGCCCTCGAGATGCAGGCAACGCTCGCTCGCCTCGGCGCCTCCACCGAGCCATCGAACCAGGACGAAGAGGACGACGAGGCTCCGAGCGAGCTGGCTGTGAGCCTGCCCGAGCTGATCCATCGCATGCAGGCCATGGTCGAAGTCATGGAGCGTCAGACCGAAATGTACGATGTCATGAAGGTGCGCTTGAGCTACGTGCCGAATGACGCGGACAGTCGCGACTCTCGGTCGAGCCTCTGGCTCAACGACGCCGGCCGGGACAGCGTCTACACTGGCAATCGCGGTAGCCTCGTGGGGTACTTTGACAGCTCGCGTGGCTCCGAGTCGTTCCACAGCTCGCGCAGCTCTGAGTCGTTCCATAGTTCCCGCGGCTCCGAGCCGTACTATTCGCGCCACTCGGAAAAGCCGAGCCGCATGCCATTTGCGCCGTCAAGCTCCCTGTCGTCCCTCGACACGCCGGAAGAGGAGCCGCGCCAGTCGTTTTCCTACAGCGAAGCGTTCAAGCGGCCGGCCACGAGCGTCCTGACGCGGCAGCGCAAGACGTACCAAAAGCCGGCGCCGGTCACAGTCGAGAGCCTCCCGACGCAGGGCCGTCGCCGCCTCGACGTCGTCACGCCGGTCGCGCCACTGCTCACAGGCGCCAATTCCGAGTACTCGGTGCGCTGGGCGTCTGGCGACCTTGGCATCTCACTCAACAACTTTTCCTCCGACCGCCGCGGCTTGCAGATCTCGAGCCTCGAGCGCTGTGCGTCGGGCGTCGCCGCCGGCATTGGCAACGCACGCCTCGGTGACGTCCTCGTCTCGATCAACAAGGAGGTCGTCGAGCACCTTCCGTACGACCAGATCAAGGACGTTCTGAAGAAGACGCGCCGGCCAATGCAGCTCGGCTTCCGGTCGAACCCAAGTTCGGTGACGTCGCCGACGTCGGCCAAGCGGTACGCGAGCAGCCAAAAGACGTTTGAAGAAGAGGTTGGCACCCCGTCCGCGCTGACCACCTTCAAGGACGAGCCGTCGCTCTCGATGGCATCGACCGTCGACTCGGAGGTGGACGAGCTCGAAGACTGGCTGCGGCGGCAGGACGCCATGCACAGCGAGCTCGTCCTGCTCCTCACCGAGACGATCCAGCGATGCGAGTCGCTCAAGGAGGAGAATTTTGACCAGCTCCAGCTCATGATGCAGCGCTCGATGAAGCGGCGCAACTCGACGTTCCTTCGACGGGACTCGCGCGACTTCTAGGTGTACCATAGTAACAAGACGTAATTTTCGATTCGCCAGAGACCGCGCAGGAACAAGTCGTGTGTATTAAAGCATGGACATCGTTGGGCGCTCCCGACGCGACGCAACTTACCACGAGCTGCCCGTGCCCGACTTGGGGGCGACGAACGACGCATAGTCCCACTTGGTGTCGAGCGCGTACGGCTCCGAGATGGACGTGCCTTGCGCGTTGACGCGGCCGATCGTGATGCGGTTGAGCGTGCGGCAGTCGCGGTAGAGGCAGACGCGCATGCACTTTTCGAGGAGCGCGTGGGCCTCGGTCTCGGTCATGTCGGCGCGCCACTCGTTGCGCAGCAAGGGCGTGGCCAAGTGGTGGCCAAAGCCCGTCGCGAGGTAGTTGCCTGTGAATGCGTTGCCGATCATCGTGACCTGGCCAAGGAAGGCCTCGCCCTTCTCGACGCCCGCGACCAAGAAGGTGTTCCAGAGCGGGTCAAACTTGTTGCGGCGGTGGTACAGCACGCGCTGGAGGTAGTGGAAGATCTCGCCGGCCGTCAAGTCGCACTTGTCGTCTTTGTTGAAGTCGTTGACCGCCATCTCGTCGAGGTGATCGGCGAGGAACTGAAAGTCCGAGAGCTCGCCGCCCGCGCCCACCAAGGTCGTGTTGTGCACGTTGAGGATGCGCCGGGAGTCCGTGAAGCGCGCCAGCGAGCCGTAGCTGCCCAGCGTGTCGGCGGCCATGAGCACGCCTCCGTTGTACTTGACGGCGATGACCGACGTACCGGTCACGATCGGGGACTGCGTGCGCTGGGCCATATTGTCTCGCCGCTTGGGATTCTTTCGGGTTTTGGACCCCACGTGCCACCTGCATAATTAGCTAGATCTGGTATCCTGACAGCCAAAATATTAACTTTCACGGGGTATCCAACTCCACAGGATAGATTCTGGATACGCAATCCTCGATCCGCCATTGAGCTTTGGCCTCGGGAAGAAGTCTTTGCTGCATGCATGGAGTCGCGAGACGCTGCCCATGCTTGCGTCAAGCTCTAGATATGTACTGCGTCCGACAGGTGCGTCGGCCCTGCGTGATGATGTGGCGGAGGAGCCCAGTTGATCTAGCCATTGGCGCGCCGCCGCCTCCAAGCACGATCGGCTGCCGACGTGACAGCTACCGTGGCCGCAAGGCGAAGACGACGACGTAGCGCCATGTAGGATACCGTGTAGCAACGACGATGGCTGAGCTAGAGTGCGCCAAATGCGAGTGGATCGAGATCAGAGCAAATATTTACTACATGGTGTTGACTATCTTATTCGCTGCTCTTGCGCGTCTTCTTGGCCGGCCGGTCGTCTTCGCTGTCCGAGGACGACGACGAGTCGGAGTCGGAGCCACTGGAATCGCTCGACGACGATGACGACGAGTCGCTCGACGAGGAAGAGGACGACGAGGAGGACGAGACCGAGGCCTTGCGTCTAGCCTTCTTGGCCTTGACAGGCGCCTCGCGCTTCTTGTCCTTGGCATCGTGCGGCGACTGCAATGTGTCGGTGCTAAACGGCCGGCGCAGGCGCGGGTTCGCGAGCACTTGCGTGCGGCTCGGGCGCTGGAGGTAGACCGCCTGGCCTTGGCACTCGTAGGTCCAGTGGCCCTTCTTCAAGCACTTCTGGCACGTCGCGTTGACAGCGCCCGTGTCCTTGCCGCGGCTGCCGAGACCCGCGCGGCCGTACAGCATCCCTCGCTTCGCGTCCATGCTTTCTCGACGATCCTGGTCTCTGCAATTTGATACACTGCTGGACAACAACCTCTAGCAATTAATATTTGCACCTGGAACCCAACACAAGATCGCTCGCGGTCGTCGTGAGGACGTGGCCCAACGAGCTCGCGCCCTCGTACCTCTCAACAGCAACCGACAGTAGCTGCCCATCGTATCTACTTGCTGCAGAGTCTCGCCTATGGCCATGTTGCAGCCAGCCAAGGCGGTGCCATCGTATGCAAACCAAAACAATCCATTCACCAACGACGACGAACGTCTACAACGTGTCGCCGTACGCAAAGCCTCGGACATGCACGGGCAGACCGCTGCTGTCTTCGCCAACGCAGCGCTCGAGTGAGGCGAGCTCGAGGGGATCCGTGGCGGCGTGCATCGGCAAGGTCGAGATCATGAGCGGCGCCGGAAGCTCCTTCGCCACGAGCTTGTCCCAATCAATCGCGTCAAAGAACGGGTGAGCTCGCACCATCCGCCCTTGCAGGCGCGTCGTGACGTCGCGGTCGAGCAGCCTACGCGCAGCGCGTCAGACACCCTACATTCTTCATGTTGCACGTACTGGCGCAAGAAGGACGTGGCCGTCGCTGAGAGGTCGGTTGGGATCTCGATGGCGCCATGCAGCACGCGCTCGACGATGACCTTGGGGTTGCGCTCGCGGAAGAGGCGCTGGCCCGTCAAGAGTGCGTAGGCCACCGTGCCGAACGACCACCAGTCGGCGGCAGGACCGAACGGGCGGCCACCGGCAATCTCTGGCGCCATGTAGACCAGCGTCCCACACGTGCCTTGAAGCGGCGTGCCGTTGTACACCGCGGCCATGCCAAAGTCGGTGAGCGCAATGTGTCCGTCGTTGTCGAGGAGGACGTTCCCGGGCTTGAGGTCGAGGTGGAGGAAGCCTCTCTCGTGCATGTGCTCGACCGCGAGGTAGAGCTGCGCGAGGTAGAACCGCGCTTCGTCCTCGTCAAAGACGCCGTAGTGCAGCGCACTGTGCAGGTCGCCGCCGGCGTAGACAGGCAGAACCAGGAACGTCTTGGTCGTCGACTGGAACGCATACACAAGGGGGACGGTGTGCGGGTGCGCGAGCGTCGCAAAGAGATCCCGCTCCAGCGCGAGGTACTTGAGCATCTTCATGTGCTTGGTCTGGACCTTCATCGCATACCGCGTGCCGGCGTCCTCACCCGATATCTTCTCGACCAGCAATACGTCCCCGTGGCCGCCTTTTCCGAGCCGACCCAGTAGTCGAAAGTCGCTCAGTCCAACGACCCGCGAGCCGCGGCGAGGTGACGACGACGTCTTGAGATGGCTACGCGCGGCGTTGGCCTCGGAGACGGTCGCGGACACTGTCGGCTGCGTCGCACTGCGCGTCACCGGCTTTGGCGCGTCCGCACATCGCAACTCGCTGTCCTTGGTTGGCTTTGGCTCGTTGGGGTGCTTGGCCAGCGATCGACGTGGCGGCACCGAGTGCTCGGCCGCAATGCGCGTGCGCTCGCTCGTGCAGTTGAAGCACTGCCGCCCTTTTGCCTCTTTCACGGAGCAGCGATAGCAGACCGAGCGTCGGCAGCCAAAGCACTTGGACCAACAGAGGTGGAGCCGGTGGTGCCGGCAGCGCTCCATGACGTAGCACCACTCGGTCGAGATGGTGATCGTCCCGCGCCCGTTCTCAAGGGGCACTGCAACGCGGTCCATCTCTACGGCTAGCATGAGCTTTGTCGTGGAAGAAGGATGAAATGGTACCTTTACCGAGCACCGTCATCGGAAGGGCAGCCACTGCGTGCGTCGTGTACGGCTGGAGCTTGAAGCGCGAAGACACCTTCGTCTTGACGGTAAGCTCAAGGCACCCGCTTGGAGCGATGAACTGGAACGCTTGGTTCCACTCTGGAGCTGACTCGTGTGTCGTACGCGGGGACTTGCCGCCGCAGGTGACGCGCACGTAGCTCTTGTGCACGGGCGCGCGGCTTGTCAAGGCCACGCTGTGCACCGTGACGATGATCGAGTCGAAGCCTAGCATCTTTGAGTGGAATCGTAGATTGAGCTAAACCCGACTTCGCGTCCAGGAAGCATCAGACGACTGGGAAAAGCTGTGGGTGCTGGCTCTGGCTCACGTCGCGACCCTTCTGATTGGCTCCATCGTTCAGTTTTGGTGTCGACAGTGTTGCTGATTGGTGCGTTTCATTTTCACCAATGGCGAATCGATAACGTGGCAGCCGGAGGGGCCTTCGCTGCCGCCACTTGCTTGGCCGCAAGACGCTCCGTTGCTTGTTCCGTGTTCCGAGACTGGAAGTTGCCCTCCTCGTCGATACGGCGCGTCGACGATCGGGTCGCTGAGAACACACTGCCTATCTCCACCACGATGAGTCCTGGTCCGTCCAATGGCAGTGCAGCTGGTCGGATCCTCCGGTGACACCACCGCACTCGTCCAACTCTACGGTTGAATCTTCGATCGAATCGCGCTTCTTGGTGGTCCGAGCTACATTGGTGGCTACCACGAGTGCGGCGCGTCACGATCGTCATTCCAACGTGTCACGTTGAGGTCCCCCGAGACACGCATGTTCGAGTCCTGTGGACTGGCCATTGGGGACGGTGTGGACGCTGGAGACGTGCGTAAACGCATGGAAATCATCTTGTGCTGGTCGAAACACCACAGGACGGGAGTCTTGAGCCAAGGATAGACGACTGCATGGATTCAACTTTCCCTTTTATGGGGTAAACGTGCAGCAATGATCTCGACAGCAGTGCAAGCGGTGAAGTCGCGAGGCTGTTCTTCGTGTCGCCAGCCGCTCTCAGTACTTAGCCGTCGAGGACGTTTGCAAGTGACCCAAAAAGAAACCGCACTTGGTTGCGAAAGAACGCTTTGTAGCGGTCGACCACGGCGCTCAGAGGTGGATGGCTGGGATCATGGACCGTTGATGATCGGGACGAACCTGGTGAAAGAGCCAAGCGGGCCTAAAAGCTGGCTTTGGTCTAGAGAGCCGTTGAGCTAGCTTGTCTTGCGGCTAGCGTTTCGGTTGACGGTATCGACTACGGTAAATACGGCGGTGGAGACACGGATGCGGTCTGCTGCGTGGCGGGCGCAGGGGGCGGTGCCACGTCACGCAGTACTCTCGGGGAAAACGCACCTAGTAACAAGATTGGGTGCTCTAATGACTTTAAATATAGCTTGGTATTTGTATGTAAATGCATGAAATATAAAACAGCAAGCCCGGTGCAGGTTTTGACCAAATCTTGCCATTTCCACGCCCCTCAAATGTCGGAACTGGCGGCCATCTTGGCCCGGCGACGCGCCAAGGACGGGACTGGCGAGCCTGCGCTCGAGACGCCTGCTCCTGCTCCAGTGGCAGTGAGCCGGCCTTCTCCCCCGAAGCCATTTGTCATGCCCTCGCCCGAGAAGCCCGTCGATGCCCCCGCGGCGGACGCCGCACCGGTGGCTGCCCACGAGGACGAGCACCCTGCCCGCCGAACGTCGTCGCGCATTGCCCAGCTGCAAGGTAACCTGGGTGCGCTCAACATGAACGCGTTCCGCCCGATGCCCATGGCGCGGAAGAGCAATACGAGCAGCGCCCTCTCGACGGGCGAAGACTATGATTATGAAAGCACGATGAAGGTCGGCGTCGCGATGCCGGGCATGGCAGGCGTTCCCATGATTGGGCTTACCAAGCCTGGCATTGGTCTTCCTGGCATGATGAAGGTCCCATCCTCTGAGGAAGAAGCGGTGCCGGCCGACGAGCCTCAGCCGACCCCCGTGGCCCACGTACAACGCCATCGTCTCCACGTTGCAAAGATGTTTAAACTGCTTGTTGTATAGACAACGATGAGCCGCGCTGCTGGGCCCAAGCGCCGTGCCCCCACGAAGGCCAAGACAGAGCTGCCCATCACTTCACTGGATGCGGCGGCACCGCTTGTCGCCGAGGCGGCACCGACGGCTGCTGTCCCGATTATACCTTCAACAGTTGTCGCCTCTGAGCCGCAAGAAGCTGCGTCGCTGTTTGGTGCGCAGCCTCGCGATGCGCCCCAAGCCCCGGCGGAAGCTGCTCCGTCCTTGTTCAGCGCACCACCGGCCCGCCCGGGCTCGAGCAAGAGTCTCTTCAGCGACGAGATTGTGTCGTCGCCGTTGGCCGCCAAACCAACGCTGGCGGGCCCGCCGCGTATGAACACGGCGCTCTTTGGGTCGGCCTCCAAGGACAACTCGGACGACAGCGACTGGAGCGACGACGACGACGATGCCAAGGGTGGGCTCTTCGGCGCCCCACAACACAGCGCCACGTTGCACGCCGCACCCGTCGTCGCGCTGGCGCCCCATGCCACGCCGGCCCTCCAAGCCACGCCGGCCCTCCAAGCCACGCCGGCCCTCCAAGCCACACTGGTGAGCGCCCCGGCGGCCTCGCTGCATGCGGCACCGCAGGCCACGCTCTTTGGCCAGCCCATTGCAATTGCACCTTCCGCAACATCGCTCTTTGGCCAGCCACTCCCGGCGGCGCCTGCCAAGCCTCGCCCGAATCTGTTTGCGGCCTCCGACAGCGACGACGACAGCGACGACGGCGGCGGCCTCTTTGGCACCGGTCTCCCGAAAAAGTAAAATTGCAACCAACAACGAGCTGTTGCATGTTCCGAGAATGTTGGTGCTGGATGATTACCACGCCTGCGCCGGCGCGAGCGTCTTGGTGTTGATAAAGAGCGTCGTGCCCTGGACGCGGCCGTAGAAGTAGGCCTTCGTGCCACCGACGCCGACGCCGCCGCCGCCGACGCGGTCGATGGCCGCGACGATCGGACGGTATGCCGATGTCTTCGCGTGCAGAAACGTCTTGCGCGATCGGTCCTTGTTGTAGACAAGCATCGGGTGGTCGCCGGTGCCCATGGCTTTTTGGATCTTGTAGAGTTCGCCGAGGGCGCCGTGGGCCGCGCCGGCCGTGCTGTGGTTCATGCGGATCGTCGCTTGGTGCGGGTGCGACCCCATGTACATCACCGGTTCGTCGAGCGCCATGGGCATCCAGTCGTCCGACTCTGGTGCGGCTGCGGTCGCCGGCGCCGGTGTCGACTTGGACTCGCCGCCCACCGTCATGAGTGACACGGGCTCGTCGCTGCCGGCCTCGAGGTTGCCCATGAGCCCGAGCTTCTTGAGGTACTTCTTCACGCGCGCGAGTGGCACGTTCGCAAAGAGGCCGCCATGGGTCAGCACCTCGGCGTGCACCTGCTTGAGGCTGAACGCAGGGTGCGCGAACTTGATCGCTTGGACGAGCGCCGTGAGCTCTTCGGCCGAGACAACGTCTGCCATTGCAAAATGCGAAATGCAACCTGATTGGCCAAAATGATGGAAATTCGTTGCCATCGAGATGCGACGATGACCAAGAAGACAAGCAGAATGACGGTGGGCACTAGGTGCAAGAGCCAGCTAGGCGATCCGCTAGCGACCACGCCGCTGTTGCAAGACAGTCCCAGGTCGAGAGCCAACACAGCTCTTCTTCACACGATGTACAGTCTCTATTGGAACGTTCAACTACAAGGCTTGCAGCCGCTGCAACTCGTCGCAGTTGGGCGTCGCCATGGCAGCGGCCTTGCGCAGGGCCTCCTCCCGCGCCTCGACATCGTAGTGGCTGCGCGCCTTGGTAACGCGCCGCTTCTGCTTGAGGCGCTCGCCCTCGCAGCCTTCCCGCAGCCGCGTCACGTGCCACTGCTCCACCTGCGGTCTCCATGAGTACACCATCTGTGCACGCGTCCTACCATTTGCTCGACGCGCATGAGGTCGCGCCAGTCGTTCGTGTACTTTCGATCAAAGTCCTTGGCCACGTAGTACGGGATGCCGTTGACGACGTTGCGCATGCGCGTGTTGCGGAGCACCGAGTGCTCGTTCGTCGGCTGGAGGCTGAACGGCACGTTGCGCTCGGCCGGGAACGACAGCAGCGAGAGGCAGAAGACGAGGATGAGGGGCAGGAACTGCAGCAGCTGCTGCATTGGTGTCCGTGGCACCGCGTTGTGCTGGCTCGGGCGCTGGCGCTGCCGGGCGCGCTGCGGGTGGAGCCCGCCGCCGAAAAACATGTTGAAGATCTCTTCGGGACTGATGTCGTCCTGCTGGTACCGGTACGCGCGCGGCGCCTGGCCGCCGTTCTCGCTCGGCGCGTTGTCACCAAACCGGTCGTAGTCGGCGCGCTTCTGGTCGTCGCTGAGGACGGTAAAAGCCTTCCCGACCGCCTTGAACGCGTCCTCGGCGCCCGGCGCGCTGTTCTTGTCCGGATGCAGCTTCAGCGCGAGCTACAAGGACGTACATAAGCATACGATTTCATGCGACGCCGACCGGACCTTGCGGTACGCCTTCTTGATCTCGTTGTCATCTGCGGTCTTCTCGACGCCGAGGACGGCGTAATGGTTCTTGCACGCCTTGATCTGGCGCACAATCTTGACCTGCTCGTCCGTGAACGGTCGGCTGTCTTCTTGCTCGCTCGGGCGCGCAGCAGACGACGATGGCGCTGCCCGCGAAGTCGACGCAGCGGGCGCGGCTTGCGGCGCGGCCTGCCCTGCCATGGACTGCTCCGCCCGCGCCTTGAGGGCCTCCGCACCGGGCAGCGGGAAGAGGCGGATGGACTTGTCGAACCACTTGGCGGCCTGCGCAAAGCTGCCTGCGCGGAGGTGCTTCTTCCCGAGCTCCATGCACTTCTCGGCCTCGTCGCGGTTCATCTCCATCGTCGCGTCCTCGCCCCGCGACCAATTGCCGGAATGGAGAAGGATGACGTTTGCCGGTGCATTAATATTCGTCGATCGGTTCCTCACCGGAATTTAATTGCACTGGATACTGCACGCTGCAGCTAGACGCACCCAACTTTCCGTTGCACCGCCACGTGGTCGCGCTCGGCCTCTCGCAGCGTTCGGGATACACTGCGCCACCGAGTCTCGTCTTCAGAGCTCTCTGCCTGCACGTGTATCGAACCACAGAGGACGCTTGGGTCGTGTGCTCTATGTATCTGACCTCGGCTCCGGCTCGGGGCGTCGTGCAACCGTGGCGTCGGATCAGCAAACGTTGCGTGCATTTAGCGGCAGGTGTCTTTACCCCACTGCCTTTTTATGATGGTGGCGAATAAAATAGCGCAAATTTTAATGCTGTGTATTTTATTACAGTCTCGCGAGACTGGATTGCAGACCAAGATCCGATTCCAGAGGTCGTCGCGATGGCATGCTGGCCCGGGTACGCGCTCGGCGTCCGCGAGACGTGCTTCCGCCCGAGCTCGAGCTCCGACGCGGACGTGGATGCAGCGCTGGACGCAGCGGAAGCAAAGCTACAGCAGTATATGGAGGCGCTCGTTAGGCGAAAGGCGCCGGCGCCATGGGGCCTCGCCTGCAAGGAGGCAAGTGGCCACCCGGTGCGCAGCCAGCCAGCGTCGCCACTGCGCAGTGCGCAAGACGAACCCATCGAGGTGGAAGGCAATGGCGAAGAGGAAGTCCTCGCGTTGGAGCTCGATGATGACGACGAAGAGGACGACGAGGACATGGACATGGATGACGAGATCGCGCCGACGCCCGACCGACGCCACTTTGTCTTGGCCGACGACGACGCCCACGACACGTTCAACGCGAGCTTCGATGCGATTGGCACCACGAGCAGCGCCCAGCGCACGATCACGTTCTTTCCTTCGCCGATCGAGACGCGACGGACGACGCCACGCAGCGCAGCGCCGCACTTCAGCGATGCGAGCCCCGTCGTGCCTTATCCTCGAACGATCCCCGAGCCCATGTCCACGGACAGCCACATGTCGCTTCAGATGGACGACCCGGATGCGAGCCACATGTCGTTGGATTGGGACTCGAGCCTGCGCTAACGCCCCAGTAATTTGGTATTTATGATCCACTCGTTGCGTAATGGGCGGCGTGCGCAGAACGACCGCAGCATAGCCGTAGCCCGGCGCGTTCCGAGCGCGGTGCCCAAATCCGACACCTGGATGCAGCGGCGTCTCGTGGGCTGTCGTCGGCTCGTGCTCGCAATGGTTGAGGCGCCGCTTCAAGCACGGGCACAGTCGCCCAAAGAAGCGGAGTCGTCGGCGTGCGTCACGGCATCGTGTTTACGGTCGGCGCCGCCTCGCGTCGGCCCGCTTACGAAGAGACGACGACCGACGCCCGTTCGGGACGGGCGCTCGGGATCCAGCGCCGCCTGATATACCGTCGTCGATGACGAGTCGCTGCTTCCGACTACGATCCCGTCTTTTGCCCATGCGCCATCGTCCACAAGACCGTGCTCCTGCCATGTACACGACTGCAGATTCAATGGACTTGGTTGTTGGGTCCACCGAAGCATGTGTCAGTTGCTCGTCCGTAGCCTCCTCAAAGGGAAGCGACGCGTATGGCCAGCCACGGACGCAGCGACAAAGCGTGGACGCAGACAGGCGCTTCGACATGTCGAGTCGACGCGGACCAGGGGTTGACGCAGCGCGTGACTCACAGCGTGGGTGACGTGGGCCGCCAGCTGTCTGTCGACCAGGATATCCATCGATGCAGTTGATCATTTCCCAACGTTCCTCTTCGTTATCGCAGCATGGCGCAGCTCAAGAAAGCAACCTCGGTCGTCTTTGCGTCGCCCGATGCGTCCGAGGCCAAGCCCGGCCACGGCGCCACGTACCGCGTCGGCCCGTTCCCGATCTGCCCCGTCCAGACCATCATGCAGAACCTCCAGCAGACCGTGCGCAAGCACCCGAAAGGCAAGTTCATTGGCCACCGCCCGATTGACTGCCGCGGCAACGCGGGCCCGTACCTCTGGCTCAGCTACGAGCAGGTACAAGCGCGGTGCTCGAAGAGCGCTCAGAACTGAGGTGGTGTAGGCGTACACCCGCATCCAGCACTTGGCGGCCGGCCTCGAGAACCAAAAGATGCTGCAGCCGACGGCGGACGGCCACCGCATGCTGTGCATCTACATGAAGAACCGCCCGGAGTGGACGCTCGCACAGTACGCCACGTATTACGCCGGCGGCATGGTCACGCCGCTCTACGACTCGCTTGGCGCGTCCGCGACGTCGTTCATCCTCCAGCAGACGCACGCGTCGACGGTCATTTGCACGAGAGACGAGCTCAAGCACCTCTTGACGGCCAAGGAGGCCGTCTCGACGCTGCACCACGTGATCCTCTGCGACGTGCGCGTCACGACCGAGGAGGACTTTAACCTCGCGGCCAGCGTTGGGCTCCGGCTCTGGAGCATGACGGAGGTCGAGATGCTCGGCGAGCGCTACCCGATGGAGCCGTCGCCGGCCGCGGGCCACGACCTCGCGATCCTCATGTACACGAGCGGCACGACGGGCGAGCCGAAGGGCGTGCAGTTGACGCACCAGAACCTGCTCATTGCGGCGCTCGGCGTCGAGGAGCGGCTCAAGCAAGGCAAGGCCGTCGAGGTCTTTGAGAAGAAGCCGATCTACCTCTCGTACATGCCGCTGCCGCACGTGATGGAGCAGATCGCGCACCTCGTCGTCATTAGCCACCACGGCTGCATCGGGTTTTACCAGGGCAACACGCTCAAGCTGCCCGATGACCTCAAGAGCCTCCGCCCGACCATCTTTATGACGGTACCGCGCCTCCTCAACAAGATGTACGACAAGATCGTGGGCATGGCGTCGTCCGCGGGTGGGCTCAAGACGTGGGTCTTCCAGACCGCGCTCAACGCCAAGCTCCACAACCTCCAGAAGGGCAAGACCAACCACGCGCTCTTTGACAAATCTGTGTTTGACAAGGTACACTTTCAGATTCAGATTCATATTCAGATGGTATGGGTGTAGATCAAGGCCAAATTGGGGCTTGATCGGTGTGGGCTCGTGCTCACGGGCTCAGCGCCGCTCTCAGACGACGTGCTCTACTTCTTCCGCGTCCTCCTCAACTGCCCCGTCTTTGAGGGCTACGGCCAGAGCGAGTGCACCGGCGGGTCTTGCTGCACCGATATCAACGACCTGAGCGCCGGTACGGTCGGCGCGCCGCTTGTTTCGAACGAGATCAAGCTCGTGTCGGTGCCCGACATGGGCTACAATGTCACCGACAAGTTCCACGGCGACGACGAGGCGACGCGCATGCGCGTGAACGGCCGCGGCGAGATCTGCTACCGCGGGCCGATCGTCTTTACCGGCTACTTCAAGGCGCCCGAGAAGACGGCCGAGGTGCTCGACGAAGACGGCTGGCTTCACTCGGGCGACATTGGCGTCTGGACCATGGACGGCCGCCTCAAGATCGTCGACCGCAAGAAGAACATCTTCAAGCTCTCGCAGGGCGAGTACGTGGCCCCCGAGAAGATCGAGAACATCATCAAGGGCAGCGTGTACGTCGCCCAGCCGTTTGTGTATGGCGACTCGCTCCACTCGATGCTCGTCGGTATCATTGTGCCCGAGGAAGCCGAGCTCCGGCGTCTCGGCGACTCGTTTGGCGTCACCGGCAGCTTCCCCGAGCTCTGCAAGCACCCCAAGGTACACATTCTCGCGTCTCTCAGTGTTGAGCTCAGCGTTTTTGTATGGTAGATCATCGCAGCGGTCCAGACCGATATCATTGCGGTCGGCAAAAAGGGTCTCCTCAACGGGTTCGAGACCGTCCGTGCCATCTTGCTGCATCCGGAGCCGTTCACGGTCGAGAACGAGCTCATGACGCCGACGTTCAAGCTCAAGCGCAACGACGTCAAGAAGGCCTTCATGAAGGAGATCGACGCGCTCTACGAGAAGAGCGGCGACGTCGTCGCGGGCAAGAACGTCAAGCAGCACTAACCTAGTCGTCGTCGTCTGTCAGATTATTTCTGTAAATGTCTTGCTTCGATGCCCAACTTGTCCTCGACTTGCGTGACAACTGTAGCGTCAACGATGCGGCGAAGTAGGAGGCTTTCCCCAACGCATTTTTGTCTCAATTTGCTCACAAATGCAATCTGGAAAGCAATCTGGGAGGGTCACCAGCGGACACGCGCGCAGATCAGGATGACAACCCGTCAACAACCCGTGAACGAAGCGTACACGCGTCGCGCAGACAGCGAGTGGATCAGACGGCTGTACCAGATCGAAGCGCGACCAGGCGCGCGGCATTCACACCATTGGCCACGGGATGTGATGACGCGCTCGAGAGGCTTCTGAACTCGAAGATGACCCTTGCTATCCTTGAGTCAGTTCTTATTTGTGTAGCTTTTGAGGATGCTACCGGCGTTGGCCGTGTTTGGCGTCGTCGTCCTCGGTGTCATCTACCAGCAGTACTGCCTTCCAAAGGGCAAAGTCGCGCCACCACGTGTCTACTGCGCGCCGGACGACGCGACTGCGCGTCCTGGCCACGGCCCCATCTACCGCACCGGGTCGTTCCCGAGACCAGCGTACGGGACGCCGCTCGAGGCACTCGCAGCGTCCGTACGTCGGTACCCCACGAATCCTTTTCTCGGTCGCCGGAGTCCCAACGCCTCGTACGTCTGGGCGACGTACGAGCAGGTCTACGCGCGCATCGGCGACCTCGCGTCCGGCCTGCTGCAGGGCCAGCTCCTCGACGCCTCGGGCATCGCCTGCATCTACATGAAGAACCGGCCCGAGTGGGTCCTTGCGCAGTACGCGATCAGCTACTGCGGCGGCACTGTCTCGTGCCTCTACGACTCGCTTGGCGCGACGTCGACGGCGTTCATTCTGCAGCAGACGGCTGCGTCGGTAGTCTTTTGCACGACGGCCGAGCTCCCGCGGCTGGCGACGACTCTGACGCTCCGCCACATTGTGCTTTGCGACGTGGCCGTGGCGCCAGCAACAGAGATTCCCGGATGCAGGCTCTGGACGCTCGAAGAGATCGAAGCGCTGGGCCGCCCGCACCCGATGGCGCCGACGCCTCGCGCCGCCGACGACGTCTGCTTCCTCATGTCGCCACGATACTATCGACACTAGGCACTGATGGACAAGAGCGTAGGTACACGAGCGGCACGACGGGCGACCCAAAAGGTGTGCAGCTCACGGGTCGCAACATGCTGAGCTGCATGATGGGCATCGAAGATCGGCTCAAGCAGGGTCGGCTAGTGCCGCACTTCAACTGCGGCGCCGTACACCTCTCGTACCTCCCGCTGCCGCACATTCTCGAGCAGCTCATCCACTGCCTCGTCATCACGTACGGCGCGTCCATTGGGTTTGCGCAAGGCCCCAC